AGGAAGACGATCTGATTAGATTTTGGAGTACGTAGGTCAAAGGTCACAGGTCACAGAGGTCAACTTATGAAATTCCTTGTATTGAGTTTAATTGTTAGCGCGATATCTCAAGAACCATTTGAGATTTAAACTTCAAACTTAAGGATAGTATGTATCACCATAGGAAGACGATCTGATTAGATTTTGGAGCACGTATGTCAAAGGTCAAGGGTCACAGACGTCAACTTATGAAATTCCATACATTGAGATTGTTATCATGATATCTCAAGAACCACTGAAGATTTAAACTTCAAACTTAGTGATAGTGTGTATCACTATAGGAAAACAATCTGATTACATTTTGGAGCACGTAGGTCAAAGGTTAAGGGTCATAGAGGTCAACTTATGAAATTCCATACATTGAGATTGTTATCATGATATCTCAAGAACCACTGGAGATGTAAAAACTTCAAACTTAAGGATAGTATGTATCACCATAGGAAGACGATCTGATTAGATTTTGGAGCACGTAGGTCAAAGGTCAAGGGTCACAGAGGTCAACTTATGAAATTCCATACATTGAGATTGTTATCATAATATCTCAAGAACCACTGAAGATTTAAACTTCAAACTTAATGATAGTGTGTATCACCATAGGAAGACAATCTGATTAGATTTTGGAGCACGGAGGTCAAAGGTCAAGGGTCACAGAGGTCAACTTATGAAATTCCATACATTGAGATCGTTATCGCGATATCTCAAGAACCACTGGAGAATTTTCACTTCAAACTTAATGATAGTATGTATCACCATATCATAATATCTCAAGAACCACTGGAGATTTAAACTTCAAACTTAATGATAGTGTGTATCACCATAGGAAGACAATCTGATTAGATTTTGGAGCACGTAGGTCAAAGGTCAAGGGTCACAGAGGTCAACTTATGAAATTCCATACATTGAGATTGTTATCATGATATCTCAAGAACCACTGGAGATTTAAACTCCAAACTTGTTTAAATTGCTCTATGGCGGAGGCATCATTTTCGACTGCGCGCAGTCAAAATTCCATCTAGTTCATTTAGATTTCAAAATCATTCGAGGGTCATTGCCCTATTTTCTTTTAGGAGACGCACGCCCCCGTTTCCCCTCCCAACCAACGCCCGTAATTGTGGTAAAATATTTTACATTACCTTCTCACTCACTAATTGATACTTAAGATCAAATTCGTTATGAAAGAAATGTCATGATAGTGTACAATCCTGTAGTAAAGGAAGCTTGTTGTGTTGAAACAAAATTCACTTTTTTACACGTATAGACCTAAATTTGAAGGGATATCGCAAGAAAAATCAGCCACTTAGATTTAATCCAGTGATTTCAATAACGTTATCTGTTCTTCTCCTTTTTAATTTTGTTAATGTAAGGTATCTTTATTGAGAAATGAACTTTAATAATTCTTTATTTGCTCAATATATAGCCCCCTCCCCCCCCCCCCCCCATTATTGGCAGCCGAAATTGGGAGAAAGGGGAGAGAGAAGAAATAAGAAACTTAAAAGAAAATACAATGAAGAGAAAAGGGAAAAAGAAAAGACTAAACATGAAGAAAAACGGGGAGAAGCAGGAGTAGAGAGAGAGAGAAAGAGAGAGGAGTGTAACATCCGACTCATAATAGGGACTTTTAGATTTGCGTGGACTGATACGTGTGACGTCCTTTCGAGGCAGTGCATTAAAAGGGCGTCGATTGTAGCATAGACCTATTGTCCTCGTGCGAATATAAAAGTCCCTAATACCTCATCCATGACGCCCGGATTATCGCACACTCAATCGATGACGACCGACCCATTACATCTCATTGATGACACCCTCTCAATAAGTCTAATTAATTCATTGATGACACCCAACCCATTAACATCTCCTTTATGACACCCGACCCATTACACCAAATTCATGACACCCGACTCATAGCAGACGTCATTCATGACACCCGACCCCATCAATGACACCCAACCCATTACACCTCATTCATGACACCCAACCCATTACACCTCCTTTATGACACCCTACCCATTACACCTCATTCATGACACCCTACCCATTACACCTCATTCATGACACCCAACCCTTTACACCTCCTTTATGACACCCGACCCATTACACCACATTCATGACACCCGACTCATAGCAGACGTTATTCATGACAATCGACTAATAGCAGACGTTATTCATTACACCCAACCCATTACACCTCCTTTATGACACCCGACCCATTACACCACATTCATGACACCCGACTCATACCAGACGTTATTCATGACAATCGACTCATAGCAGACGTTATTCATGACACTTGACCCATTACACCTCCTTTATGACACCGACTCATTACACCACATTCATGACATCCGACTCATAACAGACGTAATTTATGCCACCCGACCCATAGCAGACGCCATTCATGACACCCGACCCATTACACCTCATTCATGACACCCAACCCATTATACCTCATTTATGACACCCAACCCATTACACCTCCTTTATGACACCCGACCCATTACACCTCATTCATGACACCCAACCCATTACACCTCCTTTATGACACCCGACCCATTACACCACATTCATGACACCCGACTCATAGCAGACGTTATTCATGACACTTGACCCATTACACCACATTCATGACATCCGACTCATAACAGATGTAATTTATGACACCCGACCCATAGCAGACGCCATTCATGACATCCGACCCATTACACCTCATTCATGACACCCAACCCATTACACCTCATTCGTGACATCCTAGTTATTACAACTCCTTTATGACACCCGACCCATTACACCTCATTCATGAAACCCAACCCATTACACCTCATTCATGAAACCCGACACAGTTTACCTCATTGGTGACACCGAATCATAATAATTACCTCATTTGTGACATATTATGATTCAGGGTTCTCTGGATCCAAGTAGAACAAAAGACGATACAAAAACGTATTGCATATTGATATAAAATAATTAATTGTTATGCCATGATACAACTAAGGATTATCAAATAGTTAAATGCTATTGTTTAAATAAATGTACAACGATAACATTAATTATCAAACCTCTTCTTCAACTGAAAAGTTTTATCGATATATAGTTTGACATTTTTCACCAACGAAGATTGATAATTATTTGAAAACTGACTTCATTAAAAAAACATTTAATTATAAATGCTGGGTTTTGTTTCATGATTAATGGTGTTATTAGACAGCTCCAATATGAATATGAACTCAACCATTACAACATCGCAAGGGAAGGATGAAATATGATCCTAAACACCATCATTTTGTTTCTCATTATTTAATGTGACATCTCTGTACAAGCCCATGCAGGAACTAGCATTGATGGTTGTGCCATTGTGTGTGTGTGTGGGGGGGGGGGGGGTGCAATTCAAGAGCATGAAAGAGAGCAAAGGGACCGACCGTGCACTATGCAGGGGAATGTTGTATTTAGGAGTGTTTTGCTGCGACTTTGAGCCTAGGTCATATTTTAATAACCAATTGCATTTTTAGAGTGAACGGGCAAATTAAGGAGGGGATCCTGAAGATCATATATCAGCGAGGGCGAGGGTTATTTGGCCTCTAGCAGTACAAAGAGAATGCAATAATGCGTTTTCACTCGAACGAAGGATGAATTGATAGCATGGACATCTTGTTCTAAGTGTAAGCAATATAACTAAATAACTGATTTTATAAAGATAACTTAAAGGCACACTGCACTACTTGTAGCTACTGGCGCCCTCTATATAACAAACAATGCCTAATCGGTGACCATTGGTCCCCCATGATCCTCTTTTTCTTATGTTAACTGAGAGCTGAGTTGATGAGATAACCACCTGTTCAGTGACCTTGTAGGGCGGTCTAATCCCTCCTGTAAACTATGGCAGATAAGCTTTAATCTACAGTGCACCGTGAATCATCTTCTTAGGATTTTGTGGAAAGTAAGAAAATATTAGTCACCGATAGATGTTTTTCCCCGTATCCGGACAACTACCCCTAGGGCAACCACCCTCTAGGACGACTACCCCCGGGACAACTACCCCCTTGGACAACTATCCCCCGGACAACTACCCCCTAGGAAATAGAGGATGGGTGTCATAGGGATAGTTGTCTGGGTGGTAGTTGTCCTATAGGGTAGTTGTCCTAGGGGGTAGTTGTCTAAGGGGTAGTTGTCCGGGGGTAGTTGTCGTACGGGGTAGTTGACTGGGTTGGTTATGTGGATGTCCAGGGGGTGCATGTCCAGGGGGGGGGGGTGTGGTCCTAGAACCGTTTTACCCACATGAGTAATCAAATGAAATGGTATAAATACATTTGTTGATATAAAATACACAAGAAAGGTTTGATATAAAGTGAGCATCCCCTATACAGCATGCTGACAAGTGTGAATGAAGGCAGCAATGCATATTACTAATTATCTACAATCGTGAAGTTGGATGTACATCTGGGATGTACAAAGTATTTTTCTTTTATAATTTTTTTTTTTTTTTAAAGAAAGAACCTGTATCTATATTTTAAGTTTATGAGAATTAGATCAATTCTCTACAGAGAATCTCAAACATGTTTTTCACACGGATCATGTTTATTAATAATAATAATAATATAATTATATAGCGCCCAATACATCGATACAGCGATGTGCCTAAGCGCTTTACAGATATATTGTTACCCCGGTCATCGGTTTCAGGCTTACCCGCAAACAATGTATGCACATTTTCCACTCCCTAGGGAGCATTCCAAACAGTCTCCATTTAACAAGCGCACACTTGCTCATCCAACCACATGAACTTTCGCATCCTACCAGGTACCCATTTATCACCTGGGTGGAGAGTAGCAAGTGCAGGTAAATATCTTGCCAAAGGATATTAGTGCCCTCGACCTTCGCATCTCCAGTCAAGCGCCTTAAACCACTTGACCACGACACTCCTGTGTAATATTTAAATGACGTTTTTGTGACATATATTTCTTTTCCGTTTCAATATAAACAATACATTGTATCTACACATGATATATACATAAAGGCCTAATGGGTTTCAAAATTAATCTACTGTAATATGACCAACTAATTTAACCAGTATATGTATAAGGTTATTGATAAAATGGGAAGAATATAAATTGAATGAAAAATTATAAGATCTAAAATGTATGCTTAGAAAGCAAGTCTCGTTGTCCAAAAAAATACGTAATTTTAGATAATGATATACATTACAACTCATGGTAATAGTAGTACAAATACTATTACAACCAAACAAGATTATGGTAAATAATTATGTTGGGTTATGAGAAGGAGGAGAGAGAGAGGGAGAGAGAGAGAGAGAGAGAGAGAGAGGGAGAGAGAGAGAGAGAGAGAGGGAGAGAGAGAGAGAGACTTGTAGAAGATAATAGAATTATGATAGACGGATCGGAAACAAGGGCAAGTATTGAAAGAGAAAAGGGCAGATTAGAAAAGATAATGAGCTGTCATAATTATTAATCCTTGCATGGCCTCGTTGCATAGCTATAGACGTACAGTAAATGGAGTCTAACATGAAGTAATTTCATCGATTTTAAACTCAATGATTAATAGCTCTCCTATCCATTTCTGGATTTCCGTGCATCTTTCACCGATACGCGTTTATTAGTCTTTTTAAGGTTTTTTTTTCATGAAAAATCTTTTTTGTTTAATCTAAAACCAACTTAAAGTCTGGATAAACTAATTCCCCCATTAAAACTGAAGGATGTAGATTTTATTTATCATAGTATGTCCATGGTTTAAGCAGACCTTAGATTCTGGTGCAATGGAATATTTCATGTTCCGGTCACCGATTTCTTTATTTCTCTCATGTTGTCACTTCCTCTAGATGTTCGAGTGTTCATAAGTTTATAAAAGTCTGCCAATGCCGTCACTCAGAAATAATTATCTGCATACTTCAACAAAGTGGCAGGGAATTTTGTTCATTTACAAGTGTAGATATCAGTGACCGTTTCACAGACCCTACATTTCACTTTGCAACACCAGATGAATTTACAATCACACCTTTCAACTCTTCTGATGACTTGAGTGTTATAGCCACGCCCACAACACAAGAGATCACAGCTATCTGATCCAGTCGATGTTCGGTTACATTCTCGTCCCGTCGTTCCTACGATACCGATTTCCCGGTTAGTACGGCAGTAATTCGGTGATCTCTGCATGTAGACGAGCTCATCCGATGCAATGACTTCACGTCGTACACGTCTGTCTTTCCGACGAAGTCGTATCTGTTTCTTGGTTCGGACGACAACCTCCACTCCTTCACTATATCGACTCTTAGCGAGATCACCGATCTCCTTGAAGCTCGGCATCGCCTTCCAACAGGTCTTCAATGAACACGAAGCTGAAACACCATGACATCGACAAAGGGTCTTCATTCCAGACTTGATCAGCTGTTGAAAATAAGAAGAAAAAATGTGTTTTAGTAGTTTAGCTGTGCATGATCTTTCGGGTATAATTAATTTCATTATTATCATCGTCACTATCATAGGCGTACGAGGCGGGGGCTGCCGGCAGGGGGCATGTATTTCCAGGGTTTTCAAAGTTATGATATTGTGCAGCAGAGTTCCCCAAACAACCTATTCGGGCAAAGATTGCATTTATCTGAATATTCAATGCTATTTTCGAAAAGATTTTAAAAAGAAAATCAAATCATGAAATATAGTAGGCCCAATCGTGAAGTTGTATCAATTTTAAAATGCCGCGCAGAAGCAGAGACATACACGGGTTGAAGTACAAATAAAATTAGAGAGAGAGAGAGAGAGAGAGAGGGAGGAGGGGAGAGAGAGAGAGAGAGAGAGAGGGAGGAGGGGGAGAGAGAGAGAGAGAGAGAGGGGGGGGGGGGGGGGGGGGGGGGGGAGAAAGAGAGGGGGAGGGGAGGATAAGGACAGTATAAGCGATGTGTCTTCCTGGTGATCCAACGCTCACACGTACGCAACACTCATGTTCACTTGTTGGTGCTTTTGCTATTGCGCCACCATTGGCATAAGCTGTATAGGTGCACATGTATAATTTTATAGATATGAATATTCCCAGACCAATATCCATTAAAATTAACATCGTAAACAGTTTTTTCTACATTTTACAAATTGCGCAATGCCTCTGATGATGGCGTCACTTACAAATAAAGGTTAATTCTGAAATATCATAACAACCAGACTATAGATTAATACTCATAGCTCTACCAATAAATACATCGGTCTATATCATATCCATGTTTAGAGCACGAAGTAACCTAACCTTCTATTCATATGAAGAAACAATACTTGTTAGAATTGCAGATATAGAATAAACTTCCTCAGTTTAAAACAAATTGGGAAATAAACATAAACGACCAAACGTAGAGATTCATTTTTACTTTTTTTAAAAGTGTTTCGACATTGAGAAGAAATGTACGGTATATTTTAAATATATATTTCTGTTACAATTATTCAGGACACGGTTTAAAGAGATGACATCGTTATAATCATTACTCGCGTTTTCTGTAAAATCTCGAAAAGACACACATAACACAAAATGAAGGGGAAACTATGAGTATTATGGTCCATCAAAATGTATCCCTTTATTGTTACTATAGAATGCAAGGTTTCTATTCCCGTCATGATGTAGTAACAGTCCAGATCTATGATAAAGACGGCTATCGTCGAAGACTCGAAGTAAGACAACCCTTGGTAAATGCATCCTACATGTATGACAAAACATGAAGAAAACCATATCGGAGTGTGATACCCTGTGGTTAGGCATGTCCTTGGCCAGTATTTTACAATCTTAGGAGGCTTTTTATGTAAGTCCGCGTCGGCATGGCTTTTGATCTTAAAACACGACATCTCTTCTTACCAATCACAAAACGCATGGGTGGGCTATCGAAGCCCTCCTAACAGTGACGGAGAAACAGAAAAAACAGCGGGGGTACAAGGAAAGAGAATTTCAGATGACGATCATGACGACGACAATTATTTCATTTATTCATATATTCGTTTATTCATAATGACGTAATGATTCCATGGATCAAAAGAGAATAATAATGATAATCTCCCGAGAAAGTGCTCATTTTCCTACCTTCATTATCCAGTACCTTAAAAGTCATGACCTACCCAAGAAAAAAAGCAGACTGGATGATCTGTCTATATTTAGCTCATCACTAACTTGTTTATTGGTTAACAATTATTGTTCTGAAACAATGGAAACATCAGTGACTTAACTTTTTCATAATTATCTTGTTTACATTTATAAATATAGAGTAGAGTAAACTTTATTGTTTGAAAAAGACCGCTTTGCCGAAGATTGATTTACCATTTCTGTATTAGAATGACAATGGACTATATTGACAATGGTTATCGCCAGTAACATCGAGTGACATAAAGTGACAAATACAATTAAACTGTAAGTTTCTTGTGTCAATTAATTTTTCGGCATGTTTTCAAAACCTGTTTTCAAAGAGCAAATAACTAAGGGCGGTGGTTTCGTGTGTATGTCATATAAAAGGGTCGGAGGATGCCACCAAGTTAACAGAATAGGAACGATTGCATTGTTTGTTTGTAATTGTTTTGAAAGTTTGTATGTTCATCTGTTCTTTTTGTTCTTTTAAAGGGGTGAAATATTAACAAATAATGATAATTACAAATTAAAAAACAAGGTATATACCGCATATCATTAGTATAGCTCGATGCGGTGTAACGGAGAGAATGAGAGGAAAGAATAGAGAAGAGTGAGATATACGCTCAGCATACCTCAGTTAACAGTGGTAATTTTTCGTAACAAGAAATGTTTTAAACCCTTTTTAAAAACAATATAACTACAAAAAAAAAAAAAATGTATTACATGAATTGGTTAATTTTCTTTTACCGAACTATTTATAATGCCGATTATAGGGGTATCATCTTATTCGGGTATATGAGTTGCACCTTCACATTGCAAGGTGAAAAAGAGGCGCGATGGCTCAGCTGTTGTAGAGCAGTGGTCTTGTAACCGATAGGTCCCGGGTTCGATACCAAGTCGATGCGCAAGAGTGCTCTTTGGTAGTGAATTAATCCTCATTATCAAGTCCTTCGGAGAGGCTTAAAGCCGTCAGTCCACTAGTTGCTTACTTGCAAGCATACAGTCATGCTTTCTTAGCAGTCAGGTAAAACAAACAAACAAACAATAATCAAAGAACAACGGTGTTTAAAAACAGACGATAAACTAAATTAAAGCAGATAGGTGTGTTAATTTAAAAATATATAAACGTATGCCCCAGGTTGAGAAAGAGAGAAGATCCGGCGTATTCACTTAGGGTAAATCTAACGATGTTTACTATTCTTGTGGATTCGCTCATCTGCCCAGAGATTAAGGAATGTCTATTACCACAGGTTTCCCACCGTATAATGTGAAACACATCGGGCCAAAAAGTAGAATTGCTTAGTTTATTAGGCCCTGTATTGTTTATAAGACATAATACTTGTATAACATATTTTTTATCGACTACCTTGATGATGTGTTAGATATGTTATAAACTTGAGATAGTATGAGTAGTAACGAGGAATGATAACCCATCAATGATCCATACCGTTACGATGTCATAGAGCGCTATTTGCAACCATTTATACTCTATTATACCCTCTAAAATCATAATTTCTTTCCCGCAGCAATATTGCAATATTTCAAGCTCGGTCTTAGGCCATAGTAGAATGAAAATGAACTTGAATTTTGTTTTTCCGTTGGTGTATTATTTTGAGATGTTGTGTTCATTATTAATACAACATAGCATTATAGGATTCAGTTCCGCCGCGGCACTAATGTCCTTTGGCAAGACATTGATCTACATTTGCCACTCTCCACCCAGGTGTTAGGTAATCGGTAGATGCGAAAGCCAATGTGGTATGCTTAGCAATTTGAGCCTAGTAGCTCTTGTTGGAATGTTCCCCAGGGAGTGGAGAAAGTGCATACATTGTGTGCGGGCAAACCAGAATCCGATGACCGGGGTAATAATGTAAAGCGCTTAGAAACTCGGACATTCCAGACGTATTAAGCGCTATATAAGCAAAAATATTATTATTATTCACAGGAGTATGTTGTTGTTGTTTTAGTCTTAAAGGCGTGTGTCATTCAATTATGAATATTTACGCCGTTCTTGAATGTCTTCGTTTCAGGGAAATCATATAGTAAGTTTTTATTTTGCTTATACCTCTCTCAAACATGTCGATCTAGCTTTGAGTTAGGATGCGACACTGGCCACTGGGATCATTTTTTTTAAATAGCCATAAATAGATACAGTTGCAGATCATGACTTCAAACTTACATTTCCATTTTGGTTTCTCAATACCATTTACCTTGTAATCATAATCATAATCATCGCTGCTAGTGCTATCACTTTTCGTATAGTGCCACTTTTGATAAAAAGAAATTGCTACAAAGGTTGTGAAGTTGGTAATGAGCCCTTACCTGTCTTCCAGCCTCATTATTGTGGAGATTCATTTCCTGTACACCTGGCTTTATCGTCAATGGACGGCTCAGGGCTGATGGAGGTGGCGACGGCGACGATAACGACGATGAGGAAGAGTATTTATCGCCAGAGTCGACAAACTTCCTGGCTAATTTTATTCCATAATCGACGTCATCTGTACATCCACCCCATTTCCATTCTTCGTCATCATCCACGACATCGTCACTCGGTTGCCCCCGAGGGGTTGCACATCCACATTCGGTAAGGTTACCAAGACTACATGAGCGAGTTACGGCGTATACCACGCCTGCTGATGTGATAGCGTAGATGAACGCAGTCTCTTTATTGCCTGTAAAAAGATAAATACAATGAAAAGTTATATACTCGAGTACCGCTGACAACAGATGATAATAGACAAAACGAACTAATAATATACAGTACCCTGCATTGCTAAGATTTTATCGATTTGCGATCGATCTAGAGTCAGGTTAGGTGGCGTGATTAGGAAAGAAAGACAATTAAAGGCCAAGTATGCCTATGTATAGAGATTTTTTCTTCTTCTTTCTATAGTAAACGATTGTCTAAAATTGTTAAATAATCTAACGAGAATGATATGCCACCATCGATACAACATTGTATAAAAATGATTAGTGCTGAGCTTTTGCTCACGCAATATGAGTCACGCCAGTAAAAAATTGTGTAGTATTCTAATATATCTGTCATCGTATAACCTCCCGAATCGGTCGAAAAATAAGCACTGGAAGTTTCAATCCTTGAAATTTTGTAAAAACCCATTACCAGTCAAATTGTCAATAATAGAGTTTGTATTCTAGATTCTAGGCAGTGTCTACCATGCCTGTCTGTAAGATGAAAGTACATGTGAACTGTAAGGTAGATGCTATACAAACATGTCCAGTAATACCACTTCATCTTAGCTTCATCCTACATGGATCCGACAAGATGGAAGAGGAAGACTTCTTAAAGGTATACATCTGTCATTCATAGTCGACTTAGTACATGTATATAATAAAGCAAATATGTACTATCTTGTAAAAATGAGGGGATTCCCATCGCGTTTGGCAAGCTGAGCTAATTATTACTCATGAAAAACTAAACAACATAGGATTCAATGATATCAAATAACGTGTTATTATCAGTTTATACTTCAATTTCATTGCAATTTGGGTAAAGCATACAACTAACACAAGAAAGCGCTGATTGGTTGCTACTGAAACAAATTGACTACGAATAATTTTCACTCTTCAATTTTTGAAAACAGTGTAGTGTCCCCTGCTTGCAAATGGTATCGAATCAATAGTAGTGTTATCATATCATATAACACTCATTGATTAAATGGTATCGTATCAATAGTAGTGTTATCATATCATAACACTCATTGATTAAATGGTATCGTATCAATAGTAGTGTTATCATATCATAACACTCATTGATTAATGTTATTCTGATCGTTCAAATCAACCTTGTCATCATAATCACATACACCTAATATACATGAATCAACAACTGCATGGGGAACTTAATCAACCTTATTGATGAAAAACCTATCAAAATGTTAGCCAAAAATGCGATTAAGACGAACAACGACGATTAATTAGATTAAGTTAGGGTTTGGCCACATGTACATGTACACTTTAAGTGATCGTATATACATGTAGGTCTACTACTACTAGATCACAATTTTACTTTTCGTAACTTTCCAAATACATTGTGGTTCTGAGTTATGAAAGGACAAATGCAACTTCAATTGCGGGTCCAATGGGTCCATTGGGCCTACGGTTGTTTGATACGTTCCCACGTAATCATAGATATCAATGTGAATGTAGAACATGTATTATTCATTACTTTTTCTTCTCATATGAATTTCGTGTAATTTTCAAACAGTTTTGGAATGAGGTCTGGGTTTTGTGGACTTCCACAACGGGGAACTTAAAATACTTAGATACCTAAGTTTTGGGAAATTTTGAAAATTGGGTGGATAGCCATTCTTTACAATTTTGAAATATTTGGATGCCCCTGTGGATGTATTATAAGCACTAGAAAATAATTTAGCCCCTAAAACAATTCTGCTTTCGAGAAGATTTGAATATAACAATTTACCGGTGCTTCCGGTAAAATTTGATAAATTTCAAATAGCGCCAACGGTCGTAAAATGGTAGCTGCGACCATGAAAATCTCAGAATATTTAGTTGTGATATATAATTTCCAAACGGGAATAGCTAATCGGTTGATTTTAGTCAAGAAATATTGTTTTATATGTGTGTGTGTGTGTATTTGGTTTTTTTTACAGACGTGTATCAATCAGATATGATTATTTACGTCTGGGGACCGACCTTTAACGTCACCATCCGAAAGACGTGACTCAGTTTCGAACCTGCGTCCTCGGCTGAATCAGTTTGTAACTTCCACTGTTAGCTGGATTACAGGCGCACGCCACAACGCCTAGTTATAGCTTAATAATATCTTGACCTTGAGAGGGAGCTATACAACATACAAAGATTAATATTTAAAATTTCATAACTTTGGTCTCGATTTCAACCGCGACTTCAATCATTGAATATTGTAGGATCGCATATGCTTCCCATAATTATGTTCATTTGAACCAAATCCATGACCTCATACCAAAACTTTGTATTGCCTTTAATATGACGTATAGAGAGTCTTAAGACCAAATTCAGTATATACTTGCCCCATTCATTGAAAATCTTTCGAATTTACCTCGCAATGATTTTGTATACCAAATTCGATTTGTTGGGAAAGGTCGAGTAACACCCAAAGGCAGTCAAACCATCATGTTTAATTTCCTATTGAAGCAGCCAGGCTTTCCATATTGCAACTTTGAAACATTAAATGGAACTAAATCAGGAAAATGAAATTCGTATCTCGCGGCAGTGTTTACTTTGAATTTATTTGAAACTGATTTTGACACTATTTTCCCGTTACCTTCTCTCATTTCCAATTTGTCATCTCATTCACTGTACCCTCTTTCTCTCTCACTCTCCTAAATGGGGTAAAAAGGGGAACCGTAACCAAAACAAAAATACGAAGAAAATCGGACGAAACAAGCACCGCTCCTGTATAGAAGGAAAAACGAACAAAAATCTCCCTTCAAAATCTTTAGGGAGGGCCACTTGCCCCCGTTTCCGTTACCTGGCCATCGTGTAAATAAACAAGAAAAATACTTGTATACATCAATAGCCAATGAAGGCCTACGCCCCCTTGTAAGTTGTGATTGATTTGATTGAATGATTTGATTGAATATTATCCATTCTCGCAGTCCAAAGACTGTATTGCAATGGTTACAACAGTTTACAATGTATTTTCTTTAGCCTATGCCTATACATTGGATCCATGTATTTCTGTAGTAGCTTTTAACACTTTTTTAGTACTCCATCGCCCGTGTGACTTGGGTAAGGAAAGAACAGAATCTACACCTCTCTGGTTCAAGAAAGTTCTCCCTCCCTCACTTTCTGGTATGCCATTTCCCCTCGCCTCCCAAATAATGCCTCAGAGTGAGAGAGTGGGTCTTACCACAAATTGTTCTCTTTATGCAAACATAATTATAATAGAGGCATGCAATCCCCTCAAATTTATATACAAACAACCCCATGAATAGAGAGCCGATTTCTGATATCACGAACAAATCTGTTTTTAATCTGTAGCCCCAGGGGCATTTTTTCTCTTTTAAAAAATGTCTTTGCCACAAACATGGTAGAACAACCAACATGCCAAGCAGTATAAAAAAAATAACCAAACTAAAAAGTGAAATGCGGTTCTAAATTTAACAAAAAAGCATACTTTAATTTTCCAGATGCCCTTATTTGAAAATAAACGAGAGATATTTCAGTGTTTAGGTTTTTAGTAAAATTAGTTTTTTTTAAAATTATTCAGTCATTTTTCTCAGAAATTTCATGAAAATAAAAATTCTTTATTGTGTTTTAAACAGTGTGAAACGAGTAAATTTAAGGTTACGACACATCTGTGTCTTTTCTGAACAGCGTTTCAGTAAAATTACCCTTCCCTTTAAAATTAGAAGAAAGCTACTTCGAGTCAAATATTAATTACAAAAAGTTAAACTTTGATGTTTGATTTTGTAAATCCTGCTTTGAAAAGGTGTGGAATTTACCACATAACTGATAGATATCAGCGAGACGCCAGTCAGAGAGTGAGATTAAAACCAATAGCCTCGAGTTATTTTCTCTGTTAAAGGGTACACCTAATATTGAGCCGCTATAATCACCATTTTTGTCGGTAGTTAACATTGGTCTCTAAGAGAAATTCCAGCGGAAACGGCTATGTACTTCATATGAAAGTTTAATTATAGATTACGAGCTTTGGCGATCGAAATCTTAAGCCAATGCATTTTTAAAGATTAATTATTTTCTGAAACCAAACAGACATACTGGGTATAATTTGCTAATTCGACTTATGATAGCTCAGATAAGGAAAATATCGTATCTAATAATTATTTTGTTTAATACCAAAAGAGAGCAATAACTGAATAATAGATGATGACGTACAACGGATCATATTTTCTATCAAAACGACTGTAGGATTTACCTCACTAATTAACAAAGATAAGTACAAAGGCCACTATAAGGTTTTTTGTTTTTCATTTTTAATAATGTATAGTAGTTGGCCTAGATTATTTACGTATGCAAACCAAGAAAAACACGAATGAATATAACCTTATAGTGGCCTTTGTACTTATCTTTGTTAATTAGTGAGGTAAATCCTACAGTCGTTTTGATAGAAAATATGATCCGTTGTACATTTCTTTCAAAGAAAAAAAAGAAGAAGAAGGAGATGAAGAAAGAGATAAAGGTAAAAAAGAAGAGGGGGATAAACAGAAGAAGAAGAAGAACGAAAAATAAGAAAGAAACGAAAATAAGAAAGAAAGAAAGAAAGGAAAAGGGTGTCTCGGCCTACATGTATATACACGTGGTTAAAGGACAAGTCTTTTTAATTATATCAGAGTTCAGTAGGTTACTGCCAGTATGGACATACAGAAGCTAATTAAACAAAAATCTCGTAAAAAGCATTCCATCTTTTAGTGCGGTAATTACGCTATCTGTGTATCTGACGAATATAGTATCTGGATAGAGAGGTAACGAACAGACATAAATGAAAGCTGAAACCAGGGAGTTGATGATTCCCACTTGCTGGGGTTGGGCGGGGCGGGGTCACAATTCTGCAGAAAGTTCTATCAAGCAAAAAAAAAGATGAAAGAGTTGTCCCATTTTTTAGATTTCTTTTGGGTCGGAATTTAATCAGGGGGCACATTTGAGTATTGTGTATTTGAAGTATGCCAATTTGGTGTCAAGAGGAATGATTGGGCCTCCTCCCCTCAATCTGGCAGTGCCATAAAACCCTTGTCTGTACAAAGTGTGTTAGAGCATCGAGTGTTCTGTGATGAGTTAATGAAATGTACAATGTCCGCTGTTTAGTTTACATAGATCTAATTAAAGTAATGAGATGACACTATGATAACCATCAAGAAACAAACTAAATACAATCTGGTTTCGTCTCGATTCCAAGTAGCCTAATACATTCCTAGAGATAGTTTAGAGACAATACGCATATATGGAGTGACAAAAAACTTCAGCATAACAGCTTCCATGGATTATTTTCTCAAGTTAGGTTTCATCATTGATCTTGTACGGTCAAAAGTTAATATTGAGCTATGAAATAAACTCCAGTCACTTTTATCTGTTTTTGACAACCAGAGCAGTAATATTCGGTCCAAATGGAGTATTGAATACGTTTCTTTCAACTCGTTTCCGGAGATCGTTTAATTTATGTAAAGCTAGAATTTGATAGAAAACAAACTTTTACACCGGTGCGCTTTAACCCTGTCATAATTGCTAGCATTCAGCCATGAGGTCCTTATAGCGATCTTTGAAAAATCATTGCCGAGGTCGAACATAATATACTTAGGCAGCTCAATTTGGTCGCAAGAAGGTCCTATAGTCAGCGATTAGGCCAGGACGCCATAATTTACAAGCGCCAGGAAACCTTAAATCTCTGCAGAAATTGGAATTTGCAGTTTCTGTATGTTTTATTTTTTAATACACATTGAAAGATTTTATTCTATGCGAATCCATTCCGTCATGACCAGAACCTAATAAAACAACTCGGACGACTTCACTGACGCAACAGACGTGATGACCGCAGAGGCGGACGCCGTGGTCTTTTTGAGAACTCCGCGGATGTAAACCCATACTACGTCTAAAGGGCGCTGTCGCTGCGTCCCAAATGAAGGCGTTTGAGAAGCTCAGACAAGGAACAAACGAAGACCACGCAGAGTTGTTAAAGAGATTAGAGTGCTATAACATTAAAATGAGTTTTAGTTGAACGGACCTGTATTCATGACCTCTCCAAACGGGTTGTTGACATCACCAATGACAGAACAGTTCCATCTCTCAGTGCTAAACTGACGTTGACACTCAATGATCCCGACCTTAGCACCTTCACTTATCATGTTGATGATCTCGGGTGTACTCGAACATACTCTCCGCTGCACAATGAGAAATAAAAATCATAAAAGAATAAAATTAAACACTACCAACAAGTAAGGAATCCGCATACCTATTCGAAAGTCGAAATGTAATAGCATCCCTAGTTGTCTTGACAGTTTACATATCTATAAATTTACGCAATGAAAACTAAACACAATCTAACTTGAAATAATGTGTTTAGGATTTCAACCATATGAGAATATCATAAATGTGCATGCTATTGAATCCACTTTGATATGATTAAATATTACTACCATTACGATTAATTTCAATTTGGATATACGGTTGACGATTTAAGCATTTACGTTAATTTTATTTAGGTATGATTGAACACCTTTTTGATTAATTTCAATTGATTATGAATCATAATGCTAACCTGTTCAACAGTAAGTCCCGGGAATCTTTGACAGAGAGTCTCGGGATCGACCAAGATACTATTGATGGGTGGAGCTTGAGTAGCAGTCTGGTGTCCAAGGCTCCCATCGGGGATGGTATCGCGACCAACGCTTGCCGCTCCGAGTGAGGCAGCTCCTAACCACCTTCAACAAAGCAACAGGAACATTAATTACGAAATGATGATGATGATGATGATGACAATAAAAGTAGTAGTAGTAGTAGTAGTAGTAGTAGTAGTAGTAGTAGTAGTAGTAGTAGTAGTATTACAGATTATGATAATAATAATAATAAGAAGAAGAAGAAGAAGAAGAAGAAGAAGACGAAGAAGGAGAAGAAGAAAACTGATATAACCGATCTTCATACTAAATGCTTAATGAATAATAATATGAGGAGGGATAAAGCACTCGTACTAGCAATAATAATTTTTAAAAATTAATGACATACAGTAATAACCCAAACTTTGGTGTCCGATATTTTTGAAAACATATTTGTTTTTTTTTAAGTTCTCTAAACAACTAACACTAAACAAGCATATAATTATCCGTGTTTCTCATGTTATTGTTGTGGAGAATAATAAATGAAGTAAAAAAGGTCTTCTACCAGTATCAGAATCAAATCTAATAATTAATCATTCTTTTCGGAGATCATACATACTGTACATGTCAAGTACACCAGAAACTGTCAGTAAAAGTGGAAATGTTAAGAAAATAAGTTCAATGTCAGTCACTCACGCATCAATTTGTTGTTCATTATCTGCTGTATATAAAGGAAATTATGTTAATTTTGTATGAATATATGTTTGTGAATAGAGTAAACCAAGTTATAAAATCAATCACACTTTCCTGGCTGAGATGGAGTATGGAAATGTCTATCAGATGTTATCTCCCCTAGGTGCCTTTTATAGATGGTACCCGTCCTCAAGTTTTGAAAAAAGGAAAATCTGCTGCCATGCACAAACCATTTTGATTTCCTAATAATCACGGATCGACATACATGTAAGCTGTGTTATTTTGCCCACCCCATGAAGCCGAAACCTACACACGCCACTGATCTTTTTAAAATGTTCAAAAAAAGATGTAGGTAAGTACTTCTTTTTGTGTAATAATCGTCGAAATTGCTGAACGTTACGGATCATTTAAGGTTATTAATAGATTTCAAATTAGCCCTAATGAGCTTCACATCATTCACTGTAAACTATGGAATAGATTCGGCCCAGGTTTAAAATTTGTCATTGTAAACGATTCACAATAAAGTGACAAATACGCTGGTGCCACCTGTACTTCATGCCTGCAGGCAAGTTTTCAATGACAAAGAAATGATACAAATCATGCCCTGCAGGAGATCATCTAAAACCTTGCCGGTGATGATCAGAATATCAAGTCACCCGACAAAGAGAAAAGCATCTTTCTTTGTCATGAGAAATATTTCCTTGAAAAGAAATCACTCTAACAGATTTGTGATACAGCATTGTCGTATATCAAAATAAAGTTAACTAATAATGTAGATTAGGCAGTTGATTATTGAGTTCATAAGAAACGAAATATATACAGCTATACATGAATGGACTTGAAGAAACCGGTTAAGCTCTGAACATTATCATTTACATGCATTGGTATGGAAATAAGCGTTGATCAAGTCAATATACTAAAAGACAATACACAACCATAATGATGATTTGTCTGATACCTACAGTTGTATGTTAAGCAATACATAATTACAAAAACCTTGGCTTCTTCACCAACTGGTGGACATTCCACATGCAGAAAGGATGAACTATCAACAACTTAGAGTACAACAACTGACTTACTAAGGCTAATAATGATGGGAAGTCGATTAATATCTCTAACAAAAATTTGTATGACGTTCCGCTCAATTAGCCAAATGGGGGAACGGGAAAGAAGTAAATACTATTTGATCACCGATGTGTGTGCCGCTGCTTTGGTCTAAACAAAACGATGTCAGATTAAAAAAAAGTAATATTGTGCTTCATTGAAAAGAATTTAGGTTTGGGGAGGGAAACAGACGTGTGTATTCATAAAGTTCGTCTTTTCTTATTACGTGTACAGATTTTTCGGTTTGTCTAAAGTTTTATGAGACATGGTAGATAAGGTCAGAGTGTTAAAAGTTGATTTCTTTTTTACTGATCTTAACCCCAAACTCCATGTAGAAACTTGTTTTTTTCCGGACATCAATCGGAGAGATATAACAAGGCAAAATGTATACATGTATATAACGTCACTAACACCATATGATTTATGCAATAAAGTTAAATGGCAAATGTGTCAGAGATTCAAAGATTTCTTTAAAGAGTAAAGAAAGATGAAGGATTCAATTCAATTCCGTTTCCGATATTCCATTGAACTTGAATACTTCCATGTGCAAGAGCCACATGAAGATCATTATAGACAGGACCTGGGCTTTTTCATATTCAACATCAAGTTTATCACTCGATAATATAAAAGCTACATCAAATCATGAAAACATAAGTCTTAAATCAATACCATGGAAATTTTGTAGCAAAAATGTAATCCCGTTCTTTGTACAGTAGTAACCCTTTCAGATTATGCCATAACTTAACCATAACTATGTATCTATACTTTCTCAATTGTCAGTTTTAATGATTCTCATTTTGTAGTAGTTCTTGTGACACCCCTGCCTTTGTTCCATTCTTCGGTTCAAATAATGCTGATTTCACAAAATACAAAAATTCTTAAGTTTAATTCACATTTCACTGATTGCCTGTTATAACAAATTATACCCGTTAAGAATTGTTGTTTTCTAAAACTAAAAGTTAGGATTTATTCTTTTGGTTTACAAAAGACTGTTGAGTCGTAATTTATGGAATTTTATTGGACACTGTTTATGGACACAGTTGACCAGCCACCTAGGCGGTGTCATCTCAGACAAGGCCCTAAAATCTTGACTCCTCAGTAACAAGTATCCACGCGCAGGTAATAAATTGTAAATCATAATGCCGCCTGTTATATGTGTCATTCATACTTAATATTTTTATTTAAACAGACAGAAAGGGGACTATTGTCGGACTTCCGCAATTAAACTGTACGATTATTAAGGCCAGAAAGCATATTAAACTGGGTTGTTAATGACTGGTCGTTAAACAAAATAATAATGCAGTCAAAAGTAGCGAACAGGGTGGGGTTGGGCTCGTCTGCATCTTAAACATAAACCTTGAACATCATTATCAACAAGTCTCTGTAGAGAGTCCTCCGATAATACCGGTAACGGTATTTGATTTGATTTCAATTCATTTCATTGGAGGACTTTGCTTTTTGAGCATTTGATTTGGTTTGATTTGATTTCAGCACCTTGAGTATTTTGCGTAATAGATATTGCGCTTTATTCATGCTTATTAGTATTTTCAGTATTATCATTATTATTATCATTATTATTAGATTTATCATCTTCATTATTATTATTATCATTATTATCATCTTCATCGTCATCATCATCATCATCATTAATATAATAATTATTATTAATATTTGATTTGATTGTGAATATTCCTTGCCATCTTTATATTCAATCTTTCAGTATTTGCTCGACAGATAGACACATAGGTCTCTTTAATTCATTTCAAATTGGGGTCTCAGATCGCGTTAATTAAAAGGCCTCAAAGTTGCTCAAACTAATTTCCTTTGCTAAACCTGATATTGGACAAATTAGAATACGGGCCGTAGTGTTGGCGCCTCTCCGGAATGATAAACCTGTACCAAAACACTCATATAAAAGGAATGGCAGTAGATAAGTACCCGTATACTCCCTGGTACATCATGACTGTACAGCCCAGAATCAAAGGAGAAACTCAAAGCGACAAACACACTCACAGACAAGGCCAATGTTTCCTCCAAGAAATGAAATTACAAATCACCCTCCAGAGAGCTAGAGAGACTGTCGGACAAGACGTTGACAAGACGTGCTATCGAAGTAGGTTAGAGCAGGGCGGTGGAAGCAAAGACCTTGTAACAAGGCTTAGAGCTTGTTTCCCTTATCCTCGATGCCCACACGCGTTCTCCATGTCATTGGGATGGAATATTGATGGATTTAAAAATTGAGAGGATGAATAATGGCATGATTAAGGTTAAATCGGAGTGTTTGTAGATCTGTCGCGGCCCCTTTTGAAACAAAGATATGTAGTCGATGTTAGAAGGGGTAGATATGGACTTTCACGGTAACCCTCACCCCCCCCCCCCAAAAAAAAAGAAGTAGAAAACTCTCTCTCTCACACACACACGCACACACATACAGATATTCTGGCATTTTCACTTGCATCCAAAGTTTGTTTTCAATATAATATTATCGTGGTAAGACTCCTGATTTCAAACGTAAAGTATTCATAAACGTGATCATGCAATTTCACTCTAAATGATTGCATGTGCCTTCGCACCATCTTGGAACGAGAGGTGATTTCCAAATGTTCGTAAAGGCCAAGTTTTGATTACAATTAGAGGTCATAACTTTTGAAGTATTGAACTTATATTGGAGATTAGATGATGCCTCATCTGAATATGACGGTGCAGAAATCATTTATGTGACATGAAATTTGTGTATCAAAATATTCGTGACGTAGGATTACATCCCATTTTTGTTGGTCGTTTTATTTCAGTTGAAAAGGCTGATCTGAATTTAATGATGAAAGTTTCACAAATTGTTTTCATATTTTATTCAACACACAAATTACTGAATGATTTAAGTAGGAGTTCACGAATTCATACCAATCTAATCTAGATTGTGGCATAAAACTGCGTTAGAAGGATTTAAGATTTATCGTCCAAACAAGGTTGTCACTCACTTATACACATTATAGATGATAATAATTTATTTATATATTGAACGAGATAGTTGAATTGCCATTATGGATTAATTTCCTTTCTTCTTGTTGGTTTTTTATTAGTTTTGTATCATCATCTTTACTTAAAATCACAGAGCATACTGCTAAAGCACAGTAGAACATTTATTTATAGGTCTAAATCATACATTACCTGCAAATGAGCACACAAATAATGAACGTAAAATGACGAAACTGGTTACACTCTGTCGATAAATATTACTGATCAGAAACTTAGATATCTGACTATTTTTTTAACATAAACTATAATAGTGACTTTTTAACAACGTTCCTCAACTTTGAGGGAAATCTTGCGAAGTAGAGAGAACGGTAAGTAAACATAAAAAGGTGCATAAACAAGAGTACTTACATCCATGTAGCACTAGCATCTGTCTTCGTTGGTCCCGAGAGGAAAATAGAGATACACAAGATGCAGACGACAAAACATCGGTAGCTTAAATCCATTCTGCTTTTGCAACATCCGATTAATCGGTTCTGTCTTTCTTTATTGCTACACTCCATTATTATATCCTTATCAAATCTCAACAAACTCGATAGTTCAACCGTTTCTCACTGATCAAATGTTTTGTTTCTGGAGAAGTACTGTTAGGTTGCCTTTTATTCCTTTAGTCCGCAGTCCATGATATCCTGGATATTCTTTACAAATGTTTTACTGTTGAAACGATTTGCTGAGCTGAATTTGTCCCGTTTATGAAGATTGGTCTGGAGGTATCTTTACTTCGATATCCCTTGACGATTGCGTCAAAATTCCCTTTGATGCTTGCCGTCTACCTCACCACTCAGCAAACAACACCGCACTCGTAACACGCAATGACACACCAAGAAACCACCAGTGCCAAAACTTTATCCACCCAATAAAAATGACACGTCCCTTGTGATTGGTCGACAAGGGACGTCACATCCGGTAGTATGAACCAATCAGTGTTGATGTATTACTCACTCATTTAGTGACTAGTGAAAACTGCTAGATTTCCTGATTCCTGCTTTGAGATATCATTTGGACAAGTTGTTAAACTTGATGTACATTCGAAATCACACACATTATACTGACACAGAAAATGAGAGAAAGGCATCCCCATATATTTGGGATGCAGCAAGCCGTGAGAACCGTTTGATTTTTCTGAGGGTTGCTTAGTCAACGTACACAAAGGATGTTAGGGGCATTCATTAAAGCTTTCCGTTCTTTCATGCCACAGAAATAACTGCCTGTAACTCTGCTGTAACATTCTTTAAAGTGATCTATTGTGAATCTAAGGCTCTATTGAAACTATTTAAACGATCCTTCCTGTTATCTCTATTGTTTATCATTTTATGAAAGGCTGCTCAATGTTCTCCGCGGATTTCTTCTGGTAATATAAGGATTAGCAATTGATGTAGTGAAGGATTATAGTGATATAAACACCTGTATGTCAAATTGAATTCAAACAGTAAACATGGAGGATAGAAAGATTCCATTCCAATGACCCACCTACAATTCGCAATAAAATGTTTTATGGCGCTGACACTATTCAAAGCCGAGCATAGCAACAACCTGAGTTATATAGCGAATGATGTGACACAATCAGGTTCATCGTACCATCGTCAAATCAAGGTTAAGAATGATAAAATATGGCTAGTTCAGTAATCCTAATCGACTTATCTTTGTCATAATTATGGAACTTTTATCATTAACATTAGATAAATATTAACATATCAAACAGATTATGATATCGATGTTTTATTACTATATTTGAGCCACAGGTAACCACTCATAACTATATCACATACATAAAAAGACATTTAAAACATTAAACGGTAAGTTGTACAAGATGTCATCAACAACATCATCATCATCATCATCATCATCATCATCATCACTGCTATCATTTTCGTCAATCTCACCACCACCACAGGCTTCGTGATGTGCCCCCTCCCCATCGCCTCTATCTCTCTGTCTGTCTCTCTGTCTCTCTGTCTCTCTCTCTCTCTTTCTCTCCATCCTGTCAATATGTAGTTGACTGTTTCACAATAACAAATTCAGTTCAAGCGACACAATAAATCGATATTGAGTTGCAATAAAGGTCTCCAACCAATTGAGCCAATATCATTATGATATGAATCTAAACACACGGAGTCAAATGAATTCCACAAGAGCTTAGATGAATGGCTAGTATTGAATTTTGTAATGAAATTTGATTATAATCAGAAAGAAGTAACAGTTGTTACCAGCTAAGGCACAATTTCCCAACCTACCCCTTAAACACACAAAGACAATATACCGCTGTTATAATAAGATTGAGACCTCCACTGCTGCAGGTGTTATCGACATGAGGTAGGCCGGATGAGAGGCGGTTCTATGTTGTACAGATAGTGGCGTAGCTACGGGGAGGGCGGACATATGCCCCCTTCTACCATCGAATGGCAAAAAGAAAAAGATACAAAAGAAAGAAAATAACAGATGCGGGTAGCTAGGCTACGTAGAAAGAAGATGATGATGACCCATCTATACATACACACCTCTCCTCATCCGATGGCCTCAATGTTATAAGTCCCTTTTGACAAAACCTTTCCATTTGTCTCGAACGTTGACTTTATATCACAGCCCTATTCTAAAATGTTAATATTATTACACATATTAGACAGTGCGTAAAGGGGGCATATCCCCCTCCCGCCGTCATCGCATTGCAAACAAGATTTTTATGACAAGAGGGGAAATTTACGTAAGTATACACAACAAAATGTGATACTAAAATCTAATTTCGAATTTGATTTCAGAGCGGGATCTCTTATTTGAGGATTTAAAAAACAAGCCCCCCCCCCCCCCCCCTGGCAAGGTAAGCCGAATTTCTTACTACGCTCTTGCTGTAAGCCGTTTTGAAAGATTTCCAAAAAGTTTTTCAAGGGAAGCTAAGACATAGATTGGTGAAATATTTTATGTCAATATATCATTTCAAGGGAATACGAACATCATACAACGACTGTGTGGTCTGGTGATTCATACAACACTGAAACGGTCCATCCAAACCGAACGAAATAAGGAGTACTCGGTGACGTATAATAGACTCTTCATTTTAAATAGTGAACACATCTGAGATTTCTAGATCTAGATCCAAGACCGACAGTTTTAACTTTACATCTGTTCAACTAGTGGATCTTAAACCAAGATCTTTCATGACGCATTTATTGTACGAAATTGTGGATGTTTGAACATTTTGTTTTTCACAAAGGCAAATCAGTGTCTAATATCAAGGACAAGTTTTCTCTAAATTGGGTTAGTAAACGTCAAATCATTTATTTGACACTTTTGTGGCCACCCCGTTAAACAATTTTCTGTAGAACCCCCAAGTTCAGAGATCTTGTATGCACGCCATGAGGTATCTTCCGAGACCATGTATGGTTTTCATACCTTCGACAGTATTTGCAAATCGTTTGATATTACGTTAACTTTAAACGATATCTATTGTCATTATGCGAGCGACCTAGCGAGAATATTTGCCAATTTGGAATGTTGAATCTTTGCACAAGAAAAATGATATCGCCGCAACTATTTTTCTATTTACCTCAATTTTTAGGAAACGTGTTCCCCTTCTTCCTGCCTAAATCATCATCACTGAGTTGAAGTATTTTAAAAAAGGTATTTACACTATAACGTTTCAAAAGTCGTGAAAGTATTGTACAAATATAAGTGCAAGGATATTTTGATACATGCGAGGAACGATATTAGACCACACTTTTCACTACCAGAAATAAACGACCCGAAGATTCTATCTATATTTGTTTAAATCTTACACATTATAATTATATAGATAACATTGATACATCGTATTTACATGGTGTTTACAAAAATATAGTTCTTGCCAAGTTCTTGGACCCTGTTGCAAAAATGTCAACATAAAGTACAATTTTGTGTTTTACCCTTTGGTAATTGCTTCAAGCATAATATTTCTGACTTTTATTACCATTTTATTTTCATTGAATAACCTCCACACTCATGTTGACATTCAATGTAGCAAAATAAATCATAATAGAGTATTTCAACGCCTTATGAGACCGAAAGGAGCCTAACGACACAAAACAAATTCAATTACACAACGACCAATTTCCTTTCCCCCTAACACGACCCCATTCTAACAAATCGAATTTCTCAAAAGGTTCGATTCATAAAAAGCCTGGAGCAGTGCTTTGTACTTGACAGCCAGTAATGCTCCCCTCTCAACAACTCACCGATTAAACTCTTAACTTTTCTTTTCGAATGGGTTCAACTACTAATCCTGCAGCCATAGGCTACAATAAAGCACTATAGCAATGAATACAATATTATGATAGGTTCGGTGCAAAATGTGATACCCCCCCCCCCCCCTTCCTTCTCCTCATACACCCGCCCTAGAACTTTTTAAATCCGTTCCTCTAAATTTGAGAAGCATTCTCCTGCTGGGTAAGCGGTCTGATCAGAAAATTGAATAAAGACACCGGCTCAGTTTGGCCAGCAACGTGTAACCATTTTCGGCAATCTTACGACGCCGCGTGTGTTTGTTTTCCGACTCGCGTTTGTCGGTAACCAAATACGTTTTCTATCAAATGAAGAGATTCTTTCTCATTTCAATATAATTTCAGGGAACATTTTCCCGCGGAGAATTAAAGGACTCCTTTTCATGATTTCTATGTGGATAATGTTAAGTGTACTTCTGCATCACAAATAGTTTCATATAGTCACATGATCTTATTATTCGAGGCTTAATTGTTAAGGTCTGTCAAGCTTTAATTCATCCATGGAATAAAATGAAGTCCAGAGACCAATGTATATACGTAGGCCTACTATATTTCACATACTTTGTAACTGCATATGTAACATTTTAAAGTCATGTTTGAAATATATGTTGAAGATTGACACGATGAGGAACGCGTTGGTTTCTAGAAGACTTGTTGCCCAGCAGGAGGAGTAGTTAACCATGGTTAAGCAGACGACGAGAGTTATGCCCACATGGCGGGAAAGATACGGCCTTCCCACAGCAAGAACAACGTGTTCCTCCACATCAAAGGAAATTACTTCTGATTGATGGCAAGTGGTATTTACGGTGTTAAAATGAAACAGTTGCAGATGATGTGCGCCGGAGAGTCGAGTGATGATAGGGCACTGTTTCTGACAAGGATGTATCTAGCCTTGCGGCTCACTATAGAACTTTATTTCATGATATTGATGTTAAATGAAATGTAAATTCTTGATAGGTGCTGTGCAGCGAAAATGATTGCTTGCTTCCCAAAGGAGACAGTCATTATATTAATTGTTCAGACTGTTATTCTTTTCTCAAAATGTGTTTTACATCTTATTCCAATTGGGGAAATCCGCACATTTGGTTTTCTCTCTCTCATCATCACCATCACATCATCGTCACCATCATCATAATCACCATCATCACCACCACCATCATCATTATCACCATAATTATCATCATCACCACCACCTTCATCGTCATCATCATCATCGCCATCATCACCACCACCACCTCCATCATCATCATCACCACCACCATCATCACCATCATCATCATCATCATGACCATCATCAACACTATCATCATCATCATCACCATTATCATGATCATCATCATCACCATCATCATCATCATCACCTTCATCATCATCACCATCATATCACTATCATCATCACCATCACCATCATCATCATCAATTCAAATCTCTACTCAAAACCTATCTTTTCAAATTGTAAATTGCAGTTGTGCGTCGGTCAATGGAGGTGCGCACCATATTTGTCTTTATTTAGTTGATTGCCACTGTTTTTTTACCTTATCTATGTTACTTTTGTATTTTTGCTTTTTCTTCTAATTTAATTCTACGGGTTATAGTCTTCTCTTAATCAGAACACTGTGCGCTTAGAAACATCAGTATTAAGCGCCTAATAAATGTTATGTATTATTATTATTATTATCACCATCATCATCACCATCACTATCATCATCACCAACTTCACCATAATCAACTTCACCATAACCAACTTCACCATCGCCATCACCATCACCATCATCATCATCACCAACTTCACCATAACCAACTTCACCATCATCATCACCATCATCATCATCATCACCAACTTCACCATAACCAACTTCACCATCGCCATCACCATTTTTCATAGACTTCATAGCCCCCACTAATAATAATAATAATAATAATAATATTCCACATTTATACAATGTCTCTAAGCGCTTTACAGATATATTTCACCCAGTCATCGGATTCAGGTTTGCCCGCACACAATGGATGCACTTTCTCCACTACATGGGGAGCATTCCAGCCAGATGCCACTTTACAGACGCTTAAAATGCTGAGCAAACTACATTAACGATCGCATCCTTCCGGATAGCCATTGAACACCTTGGTGGAGAATGGCAAATGTAGAATAACGTCTTGCCAAAGGATATTTATTACTGGGCTGGGATTTGAATCCTGTACCTTGCAATCTACAGTCCAGAGACCTATTCACTAGACCACAACACCTCAACACAATCACTACCCTCGTAATCAGCATCATTATCATAGCCATCATCATTATCATCACTATTATTGTCAGTTTCATCAGATAGAAAGAGAGAGAGAGAGAGAGAGAGAGAGAAACAGGAAGTGAAATGATAGATGGTGAATAGAGGGGGTGTAAAGGTTGAGGGGTAGGGTGAGAAGGGGAGAGGAAGAGATGGTGTGGAAGAGAAAGGAGGGAGGGAAAGAACAGAAAGAGAGAAAGAGACTGGATGGGAAGAATAGTCACTACAAACTTAAACCTGTAATGTGTCACAGATACCAAGTTCACTGTATATCATACTAAAAGCAAAAATTAACATTTTACAATAAAGGTATAATTTATTGGTGCATGGTAATAAAGATTTGTTTTGTTTGAGAATGGTCATAGTAAAAGGCAACTTATTCATTTATTTACCTGTAGAATGTCTCATACATCTTTTCCTGAAGTAACATATCACAAAATCTCACTAAGTACAAGTATGGTTCTAAGATATTGTTCAAAAATATAGATAACATGTCTAATTCTAAATGCAATAATTGATTTATATTGTACGTTGTTTTTACACAAAGCTGAATGTTATGTATCTCAATGTGAATGATAAATAACACTGTATATGAATACTGAATATTGCATGGTTGTTACATGAAGAAAATAAATCACTTACATGAAAACAAATCTCTATAAAAACAAGACCCTTGTTCATCGTTAGATTAAAGGGGAAACCAACCATAATTAAAAAAAACGAATCTAAAAACAAATGGAAAAAAGAAAAGTAGATTGGTGAAGGTTTGTATGATATTAGGGAAAAAAAATCAGAAATTTACTTTTTGAAAGTTCTAATCACTACATCTATGCGAATTTCAAATTGGCTAAATCCCTAATGTCAATGTGATGAAGTACCGACCCACTTTAACATTTGTTCCAACACACAAAATGACTAAAATGTATTTATGTCTTCAAATTGTATAACTTGGATGGGTCTTTTCTTTATTCAGGACCTGTGATATTATGTTATCCATAATATATATTTTTAGTAGTGCAATTAGGGAGAAGGCCCTTAGGGGAAATACAGAAATTAATAATATTTTTGTATACGAAAAAACGGGAGAGTCGTCCATGAATATGTCACAGTCCACTGACCAAATTGCCAATTTGAAAATTGCACAGATTTAGTGATGATCTCATATTTCATACATTCATTACTCTCTTATGATTGGTCCAATTTATTTCAAACTTTTGCCATTCTGTTTTGTTTTTTTTCATGCAAATTAACTATTTACAAAGGTTGGGTCGCCCTTTAAAAAAGTTTTCCCCCACTTGATTACTTCAGTTATTGATCCAATAAAATGTTTTCAAACTGTGTGTGGCTTATGTGCATATAACACTAATAAGATTTCAAGAGATGTTTTAAATATGTTTCATTGTGTCATAGTGCATTTGACTTTATCAGCAATTCTGAGACCAAGAATACCAGAAACAATGTTAGAATTCGAGCTGTTAAAGCTGCCTTCACCAACAGGGCTATAAGCCCACACATAATCATGACCTCCAGGGCTTTAGCATTGTACTACAGATTTGCCTTATCTGTTTGCAATCTTAAATAACATTCTTTTCTTTTCTATAGACACCTTAAATTGAAATGATGTTATCCACAGACCTTAAAGCAATGCCTTCTGCAATGAATTTCAGACATAACATAACAATAAGATTGAAATATGATATTAGGATTTCTTTTTGACAAAGAATGTACTAAAATTGGCTGCACTTGTGCCTGGTATGATACTGAAGACAATATATTCTCAAAATTTGCTATGGGCTTATAGAAAGTAGGTTATCTCAAGAATACAATGTGTGCCGTCTTAATACAAAGTCCTACTCAATACCTAATACTCTTAAGTAATAAATATGAAGGTAAAATCTCAAATCTCAAATAGTGATTGCATGCAGTATATCAATTGGCAAGATAAGATCTCTACAAGGTATTCTTATATACTGCTATGGTAATATCCTAGTAATATATATTAATAAGCATAATTAGCATATCATATTTTCATTTTCCAACAACTTCCAATAGTACAAATGCTGCTATGACAAGAATTTCATTTCATTTCATTTACTGATCATCAGCAAGCAGTCATGAGGGTTCCTTTAAATATCTACATGTACGTGTTTTATGTTGTCGTTATAGTCATAAATATCTTCTTATCATAGGTAGTGATTGGTAATAAAATACTATACTGAATTACAAAACATAATGCTTGTTCCTATGAATACTTCAATTACAAGTTCAGAAAAACATGATCAAAACGTAGAGTCATTATTAACAACTTAAAAAATGGTCTACTTCATTTCATGAAATTAGTTGAACAGTCACCTTAACTTAATGAATCTCCAGACTTCATCCATACATACTCTACAAACATATAGATGTAAACAACACAATGTAATAACTGAACAAATACTGTTCATGAACTTCATAAACATGTTAAACAATACATGCATGTATACATTTATTCAAGTTAAGGTACATTTTATATCAAGTTATAGAGCCAGACATATGAATACTATGAGCAGGGCATGGAATCAAAGTGTAGGCCTAGTTACTGACAGGAACACAATACTCAAAGGTGAACTACATGCAATGACAACATTTATTGGTAAATGGTTGTGCAAGTATCTGGATATCAAACATTCATTTCATAAACCCAAAGCATCCCACTAACGTGAGCCAAGGATATACAAAAACCATGTTGATCTCAATGCTGCTTAGTCATTGCACTCTGCCATACCTCTTCTCTCTCTCCATCTTCCTCTCTCTCTCTCTCTCTCTCTCTCTCTCTCTCTCTCTCTCTCATTTTGCACCGGCTCTCTTTTCCTCCTCATCTCCCTCTTTTTCTCCCACTCCTTCCACCACTCTCTCTCTTTTCCTTCCACTCCCAGTCCCTCCCCTTTCTCTTTTGCTCTCCCACCCTCCGTCTCTCTCTCTCTCTCTCTCTCTTCCTTCCACTCCCAGTCCCTCCCCTTTCTCTTTTGCTCTCCCACCCTCCGTCTCTCTCTCTCTCTCTCTCTCTCTTTTCCTTCCACTCCCAGTCCATCCCCTTTCTCTTTTCCTCTCCCTCCCTCTCTCTCTCTCTTCCTTCCACTCCCAGTCCCTCCCCTTTCTCTTTTGCTCTCCCACCCTCCGTCTCTCTCTCTCTCTCTCTCTCTCTCTTCCTTCCACTCCCAGTCCCTCCCCTTTCTCTTTTGCTCTCCCACCCTCCGTCTCTCTCTCTCTCTCTCTCTCTCTCTCTTTTCCTTCCACTCCCAGTCCATCCCCTTTCTCTTTTCCTCTCCCTCCCTCTCTCTCTCTCTTCCTTCCACTCCCAGTCCCTCCCCTTTCTCTTTTGCTCTCCCACCCTCCGTCTCTCTCTCTCTCTCTCTCTCTCTCTCTCTTTTCCTTCCACTCCCAGTCCATCCCCTTTCTCTTTTCCTCTCCCTCCCTCTCTCTCTCTCTTCCTTCCACTCCCAGTCCCTCCCCTTTCTCTTTTGCTCTCCCACCCTCCGTCTCTCTCTCTCTCTCTCTCTCTTTTCCTTCCACTCCCAGTCCCTCCCCTTTCTCTTTTGCTCTCCCTCCCTCCGTCTCTCTCTCTCTCTCTTTTCTTCTCATGTTGCCCCTCCCCTGCCCTCCTTTCCTCCTCATCTTCTCCCAATCCGTTAATTCCACCACTCTCTCTTCCTTCCACTCCCTGTCTCTCCCCTTTCTCTCTTGCTCTCCCTCCCTCCATCTCAGAGCTCTCTCTCTCTCTGTGTCTGTCTGTCTCTCTCTCACTCTCTCTCTCTCTTCCTTCCACTCCCAGTCCATCCCCTTTCTCTTTTCCTCTCCCTCCCTCTCTCTCTCTCTCTTCCTTCCACTCCCTGTCTCTCCCCTTTCTCTCTTGCTCTCCCTCCCTCCATCTCAGAGCTCTCTCTCTCTGTGTCTGTCTGTCTCTCTCTCACTCTCTTTATTCTGTCACCCTCTCTATTTATTTCTCTTTATCTCGCCCTTCTCTCTCTCTTTAGCTCTCTCTCTTTAGCTCTCTCTCTCTCTCTCTCTCTCTCTCTCTTTACATACACATAATTTATGTTTTTATTGTATTGTAGCCATGTTCACCCTGTTACTTTTTGTTTTCTATTTACTAGCCTTGTAATGCTACCAGTATGTACACTACTGTTACAGTAGAGTGACAAGGCAATTCTTTAATACTTCGATCATATAACATAATATAAATCGTCAAGTATTTGGATACCATGTGTCAACCTTTAATGTTGGCTCTTATGCCAATATGAAGTTTTGCAGCCATTTAGAATTTCAAAAATCTACCGGTACCTAACTAACTTACACAAATAAATCTGACAAGTCAATTTTTAGGCCTATCCAAACTGCTCTAACATAGCAAGGTGTGTAGAGCATGTCTGTTCCACCCTCAATCTCACCTGCCTGATGTCATCTAATCCAACCTCTAGACCTCTGGTCACCTTGACCTCTCTCTCTGTACCGGTCTTCATCTCATCTCACATCACATATCTGTGCAAGCAAGATCTCTGAATATGCAGCATTGATGCGACCGGTCACATGATATAGTCCAGTCCTATCTTCACCTTTGACCCACTTTGAATTAGGCTGAGGATGGAGGGCTCCCTCTTGTGACCTGTAACTGTTCATCTCTTCAACCTGCAATGAAGCATGGAGATAAACACAATCAATAAGTTTCCCTATTGTTCTATTTATTATCTTGTATTTGCTATAGTCTCAAGAAATGTGAAGACAAAAAACTAAATATTTCATAAAGTAAAATTTAAAAACAAATTGACCAACATCACCATACTATATATCTTCAGTTTTGACTCTGCACATAAGGACTAATATCCTTATTATTTTCAAATGATATTAAACATTTTGGAATGAAGAAAATAGTGGGATAGAAAGTGAGAGAACCCCCAGGCCAGCCATTTGTATCCCTTGATGACAGGTTATACTCTCTTAGCTTTTGAAAGGATTGCTAAATATTGATATAAGAAACATTTGAAGATTACTGTTAGTTTCCGTTTGCAAAGACCCCTCCAATGGGTGAAAGAGCAGTGTTATTACAGCGCAACATGATGACAGACATACTTGACTTAACATCTTGAAAAACATTTTGAATATTGACATGCAATCCAGAACAAAACAAGATCTCAGAAATTGCATGACACTTGAAAGAAAGAGCTCCCTCCATCCTTCCTGGCAAAAAAATATGATGAAGTAGCTTATGGAATATGCTCCCTGATCTCACCTTATGAAAGTGGCAAGCGCATTTTCCTTCTAAGAAATCCCTGTATCTCGCCATGGTCATGTTGAATGTATCTACAAACTGGCAGCCCATTTGAGATGCAGCATGTTGAAGACCTTGGTTATGAAGGTACACCTTCCTCTGCTCTGCCTAGAGAAGAACATTATTTAGACTTGAGTAATTGGAACGTTAAAATTATGCAAAATTCATAGGCTACCTGTCAAAAGAAAAAGACAAGAAAAGCGTCTAACAGGGATTTCACAAACTTCTTCTCAATTGTGATACATTCTCAACCAGCATGGAAAAAAAATACTCTGATGAAAAAAGTTACAAGGCTTGGATAACAAGATAATGAAAATGAGTTCAAACAGTAAATAAAACAAATCAGCTATAATCGAGACTTGATATGCCAGATAAGTAGTGAATGCATACTTACTATAGTGAGACAGTGTATACCATCTACAGGTTGATGAAACCCAGCTCCGAGGCCTTTTACTATCTTCTGGATACCAGTCAATCCAGTCCTAATGATGGAAAGTAAAGAAATCTATTATTATCCAAACTCTCATATACATTCTCATCAGTCTCATGGCAGTCTATTGATATTCATATTATACTGGACATCTTGAGCTCTATCACTAAACCTGTTCACATTGTGATTATCATCAATTTGTTTTTATTTTTAATACCTTCTTCTAAGGTCTTGTTTATTGTAATGCCATTGTGACTGATTTTTCTTCTCTACGGTCTTCATTATTGTGTTTATTAAACCATTATAGTGTAATATTGATACTGTAGTAGGCATAAATTTAATCATTTTCATTGTTATTTTCTATATGAAATGATCCTGTGTATTTGGATTTTCTATCACTAAACTGAAATGTTAAAAAAATTCCACTTTGTTGAGGAAATTTCTTACCTATGTAATACATGTTGTACCACTGTGAGATGATGTATAGCCATCCAATGAACCCCTCCCATCACTAGAACAGTCTCAGAGTTGTTTGATAGCGGACCAGCTATCCCAAGAAGCTGCTCAAACGTTTGCTCAAATACAGGTCTCTCCTTTGTAGGTAACCAGAATTGAGGGTAGTAAGAAAAACTGACTGATGTTTGTCTATCATTCAGGTTTGTGTATAGCTTGGTGTCATGTGTCTTGTCCCATTCATAGAGGGAGCTATTCATTCTTTCCATCAGGTAGTACATGATCCCACGGTTAGTAGAGTCACCAATGAATAATAACTAGACAAAAAAGTAGAGAGTAGAATACATGTACAAAATGGCTCATTGCTCCACAACTTTACAGGAGCTAGTATAAGTTAAAGATATATGATCAATATAACTGATTAACCACTCAAGTTTAGAATTTAGCTGGAACAATAGTTACATTCTTGTAACATTCGATAGTCCTCTGGAGCAAAGTAGATTCGTGTTTTTACTTCTTGTACAAGAGACTAAAAGAATTCTCAACTAGAAATGTCTAGCTCCCTGGCCAAACATTTCAAACTCAATACGCCAGGACACTGTGGTAGGAATGGCTTGTCAATATCAGAGTTGAAGTCTATATGTGAAAATGAAAATTTTGTTGACTTGATATAGAATTGAGAAACTCACTACATAGTATAGTATATAGATCAGAGGTTGATTCTCATAACACTACCAGAACTCTCTATCAATCCTATTCCTACCTTCTTGCCAGCTAAGCATTGTCTTGCCTCTGATTGGCTAATCTCTCTATACCGACAGTCATGTGGCTGCCATCTTGCTTTATCCCAGTCACATGACCTTTCATCTGAACATTTCTCACATGGTACGAGCCACTGACCTGGATAGAAACATCAGATATCATTATGACAATGAGATATAGCAATAGCAATAAGAGTTATAAAGTTAATAATGTACCTACAAGCCTAACCTGTCCCAAGATAAGTGTTTAACTTCAGGGTAATCAAGACTTCTGGTAATGATGGAAAATACTTTTAACACCACTGTAACAGACTAAAACAAGCATTAGCACTTGATGTTCAAATATGTGTATAACATGTTGTCTAATATCATAATATATGTAAATGTGAGTGTCTGCTTGAGTAAGTGTGATTATCAGCAAGCTTTTGTAAATGTGAGTGTCTGCTTCAGTAAGTGTGATTATCAGCAAGCTTTTGTTGGTTTGTTTTTAGTTTACTGGTCTAGACTAAACAATGCACCTACTGCATGGCAAAAAAAGAAGAAGGAAAACAAAAATCTAAATTAAAATTAAATTTCTCGACCAAGAAATATTTTGTTCATGCATATATCTATGCCTTGATATGTATATATATTCTTGAACACCACATGCTTTCACTTATAACCTACTATGAACGATCCCAATTTCTTGAATATATCATTTCTTATTCTTTATCTCATTTATCAGATTTCCTTAAAAAAAATATTCATTAATCCGTCTGTCTTTTTGAAATAAAACCAAGTTGATATAGGGGTGCACTTTCCCTTTAAGTTTGCTGGTCATTTTACCTGGTGCATCACCACTGGTACAGAAAGGTAGACTGGTTGCCTTGGCTATGACCTCTGACCAGCTCACATCAGCAAGAAGTCTCAGCCCACAAGAATGATGGGAGAGATAGGGTAAATTACAGTCCTGAAAACAATCAGATAAATCACTTAGAGAATAAGATACAGTCACAAATACAAAGAGAGATAGGACTGAGATATGGTTAATTACAGTCCTGAAAACAATCAGATAAATCAATTTGAGAAAATTGTTAATATAAAAACATACAGTCATGCATAAAAAAGATATGTGCATAAAGATACACATCTACAAACAACACATGCACATTCCAATTGGATAGTAATGAATTCTGAGTAGTTATTTGGTCGATCTCTAACAAGAATATAACCACAACATTCCATAAACTGAATAGAGCAAGAGAAAATATTCAAACCTGGACGAGTGTACAGACTGCCTGTCTCTCTTCTAAACCAATGAATGTAAAACTGGTTCTGTAATGATGTCTTCGGATGTAAACTGTGTATTCATCGAGTACCCATGGCTTTGAGTGAGTGATGTCCACTACATAGATGTTGATACGATTGTTTCCTAGGCCCAAAGTAAAGTTGACAGGCCTACATGAGGTGAAAACAAAATGAACATCTTTAACTGCTTTTCAAGAAAACCTATTTTATACATATATCAAAATGTATCATGTCAAGAAGAATTGAAGGATGAACATTTACACCGGATATAGACTCCAATTTTTATGTTATTTTTGATTGATTTTGCAATATTTCACTAATATACAGTGAAAATTATCTCATGTTTCTCTTGAATAGTCATCATGACTTCAGTCTGGGTGATTCTTTTTCTTGGAAGTGATCAAGTGAAAGAAACAATTCAATCAATTGCTCTGAGAGAACCATTTCTCTAGAGGTATCTAAGTCATACACAATTGAATTCCCTCTATAGTGCAAAGGAACTGAGTTTGTTGATATGTCAGATTAACTTCTGCAAGGTAGTGGAAGAGGTTGTTCCATTGTACAGACCTTGCTACCCCATACTTGTCCTCCAGTCTCGCCTCACAGTCACAGCTCATTGCATAAGCTCCTATCTGTATAACTATCTGATCATGGGCAACCTCAGTATGATAATCCGTCTGGTGAGGGTCAAAGGTCATGTTAAGAACCGGCCAGGTTTGTAGGGCAGCTAGTAAATACATGGTGTCAGGATCTGAATAGGGATCAAGGATACAAATGAAGGCATACAAATATTATACTGGATTTGATGGGAAATATCACAACGTATTCAATAGACCATATCAATGACATCATTAAGATGCTCACATAAGATTTTATGGCAAAAATATAGGCAAAATCCACCTTGATTGTGTAAAAAAACAAAGAAAAATATCAAATCATGTAATCACACTTAATTTGCATGACTTATGATACATTAAATATATTTAGTATATATATATTAAGTATGCCCTTTGTAAACGGCTAAGACTTTGCAAAGGGGGTCATTCTGATCACTCTTCCCGCTCCTCCACCCTAATATTCACATGGATAAACTAGACAAAACAAAGTTCCATAGATCATTTGTATTCACCTTTGAAAGCTCTCATACTCTCAAACATGACTAAAGAAACCTAATTTGCCTCACCCTCGCTACACCTAGGCCCTTTCATATCACTCCTCCTTGGATCAAGACCATAGATATTCTTGATGAGTATACCATCATCATCCTTATCCCCTACGTCATCTCCCTCTTCATCTCCCTCTTCATCCATTCCACTCAAAGCTCCCCTCTCCTCCTCAAGATACATGGTTTCCGTAGCGACCAATATAGGATGGAGTTCTTTGGTAGAGTGTGTATTAGGAGGAGTAGGTAGTGGTATGGTATCATCATGTCTGGGTTGAGAGGATGTCAAATGTTCTATTTCTTGGAGGAGATGGCTGTACTTCTCAATGTCTGCTGATGGATAGAGCTACAAGAAAGACAAAAAAAGAAAATATTAAAGGTGTCGTGGACGAGTGGATATGTCACTGGACCGTGGATCACAACAAGGTCAGCGGTTCAAGTCCCACCGCGGCACTAATGTCCTTTGGCAAGACATTGATCTACATTTGCCACTCTCCACCCAGGTGGTAAATGGGTACCCGGTAGGATGCGAATGTGCTTAGATTAGCAAGTGTGCGCTTGTAAAAATGACGCCTTGCCGGAATGATCCCCAGGGAGTGGAAAATGTGGATACATTGTGTGCGGGTTAGCCTAAATCCGATGACCGGGGGTAATAATATATATATCTGTAAAGCGCTTTGAGAGGGTCTTCGGTCCTGAAAAGCACTATATAAGAACTAGCTATTATTACATTATTATTATTTCAAACAGACATCCTAAAATTGTATTCAATTGTATTTATTGTTTGATGTTATAAGTAATTATTGCATGAAGATTATCCATTCAGCAAATGGAGCCAACTAAGAGCAAAAACTATTCAAGGTAGGCAACTTTATCCACAAATACACAGATGTGCAATCAGGATAGGTCTGGCCTTGTCATTCATTGAGACCATTTTATCAATCAACGATGCATTTAGTTATACAACATGTCCTCTCATACAAGAAGGCGGTAATATAAATACTGACCGGTCTAAAGCTATCCATAGAAAGCTGTTCTCTCCTTGATGTCATTAAGAACTCTAGATCTCCATCACTCAAACATATGCCCGTATCATTGCATCCAAATCTCTGTAAAAGGATCAAACAAGCCTCATTCAAATGAAAATGTAGCATAAATTTCTTCAAGAAACTAAATGATATTTCTATCAGGTTTGAGTCAATATATCCTATCCCTTCTTTCATTCTAAAGGAATGTCAAGTGTATTTACGCCTTAACTATTCTTACTCCTTAGGTTGAATGCTCTTGATACTAGTAAAATCCACTTTCTTTTATAATAATAATAATGATAGTATTGATTATTTAGGAGCACTAAAAACAAAAATTACCATAGTGCTTAAAAAAATCAAAGAATATGAAGAGAAACATAAAACTCATGAAATAGGTTATAAAATCATATAACTGAAGGAAGAAGTACACGGTATGTTTTGAGGGATCTTTTGAAAGTAATTAGACAGGTCCATTCTCTGATGGAAATTGGGATATTGTTACATGTTTTCGAAGCAGCCACTCTAACAACTTTTTTTGGTACATATACTCTGGACTTGGGAATAATTACTGGTAGTTTATATTTGCCAGTTGTTGATTTAACATTACAAGATGGTGTATTCATTTGGTGGGTTTCATTAAGATATTCGGGTGCCGTAGAGTGGTGAAGTGTGATGTCATCAAAAATCTATTTTTGGAATTTCTCAATTTTTCTTCATTTTCCGAAAGAGCATCAAAAATAATGTCCAAATATTGAAAAACCAATTGAAAATGTTGAGTATTGGCTGAGAAATTCTTAGAATAGATTTTTATGATGTCACATCTTCGGTACTCTATATGATTAATAATTTTAAAGACATTTCTAAATTCTGCTAGTAGTGAAGTTAGACTTCCTCTAAGGTATAGTTACCAGTATTCCAATATGAAGCTTATTCAGTGCAGCTGCTACCTCTCTCGCGACTCTCTTGTTAGAGAACAGTAAGGATATAGACTCCTCTACAGTTGTTTGCTTGATGATGTTATTACTCCATTGCTGATCGACATCACTAGATTGGAGATGAGGTTGCCCGGTCACCTGGTACACAAGGTTAATATATCAATGTTAAATAACAGAAATGGTACACACTACACAGACAAAAGCATGAAACAAGAATGATATCAATTAATCTACGATATATCATTAAACAAAGCCCATTTAGTGTATTGGTAGTGAAACAAAATTAAAATGAAACTTGTTAAATATAGTCTCATATGATTTGTCTTATATCAAAGGACACATGCCCCAGATATTCTGATAGCTTCTCCATGTTTACTGATGAATCTGACAGGGCTCATAGGCATACTGCTTGACTTATCTTATGATACTCACCTCTATAACAATGGGGTGAAAGGTGGAATTGAATATGATGTCAAAACCAAGAAGCTGGTAACAGTGTGAACATCTATAAAGAATGGAGATGGAATGGGACAATAAAAGCAGTCACAGACAATACATTCTATGTATAAATATTCAATGTCATTTGTACAATAGAATATTACACTTTGATGATCTAATGATTACTATTAATGTTAGAGGAAACAAAATCTATTTGTGGAGTAATTACATGCACTGTAATATGGAAAATGCAGAGAGTGGGAAGATATCCATTTTACATGTGGATTCAAAGGTCATTTGTGATTTGAACCAACTTTGAAATGGTCTATATCAAGCCTAACTTCATGGTTGTTAATATGAGTGAAATGTGAGAAGCTTGAACACTCAACTAACCAATATGGTTGTTTCATACAAATGTGTATCTATGATAAGTATAAACAGCCAACCTACCTGTATGGTTGTTCCCATGGATGAAAGAATTGTGAAAAATCAGCCACCAGAGATGGCTCAGCTATAAGAAGTGTTTCTGTAATCACTGTTTCAAGGTTCTGGAATACTGTATGGGTGACCTGAGACCCATAGCTCTGGACTAAATACTGCCGGAATTGAGCCAGGGACCAAGTTCTGCTAGGGATCTAAATCACATAGAATAAGCAATATCTCATTTATTATTAAGCTTTTAAATGTACAGTGCAGATTTTCCAAACACTAACAAAATTGAGTAAATTTCAAGGCATACCCGAAGTGAAAAGTCTTACACAGCAACGATTGATGATGAAAAAGTCAAACAGAAAGATTAGGCCCAGACTATCTTGGAAGATACACACGCTTGATTATAACTTCTTGAACTTGAACATAGGAAATGTTTATGTTAAGAGTAAACAAAATACGAAGCAAGTGTCAAAAGGGAACGAAAACATCTTGTCTCAAGTCACACAAAACAAAGCTTCAAACTCTCAATGTCTCAATCAATACTCCAGTCAGTGAGCCATTATACCAGGATGCTCCGTTCTATGACACACCCGCCTATTTCCTACACTAACCTATTCCTAACATCAAATCTAGACTCAACCTAGACCTAACCCTAAGCCTAATCATAAACCTAGCCCCAATATCAATCACCATACCAAACTTATCCATATATATTTGAATAAATAAAACCCACAGCAAGTGTTGGATCACCACTAAGACAGTGGATATATAATCTTACCTTGATAAATCCTTTCTGGTAATCATGTCTGAAGAACACCAAACCCTGAGAGTGAATGTAAGCTCTTAATGGATTGATGGATGTCACCAAGACGTAGGCATGGACGCTGACTGGTGAACCAAATATGAGTAGAGGATTGGGGAAATATTGCTGGACAACCGCTCTTTCACTACGGTACCTGTAAACATGAAACCAAAGTGGGCATATCAAATTAATATGTCATTCCAAATTTATTTTAATTATATTTCTGTTTCTGTTCCGCCAAGGACAGGTCTACACACCAGAGCAATTTTAATTGTTTCTCCATCCTTCTCTATCTTGAAGCCTTCTTTAAGAATTTAAAAAGAAAAGAACAAAAGAGAGACTTCTTCATATTTCGATTTACCTATTGAATTATCGTTTACAGATAGAAGAAAATATTAGAAAACCATGTACATCCCTCCAGAAATGGAGGCAAATGCTAAAAATGTGAAGATGTTTATATCACTATGAGAAAACAAAAAAGAACTGAAATGGTTATTTTACAACAACAACACAAAAATCTTTAAGCCTTCTTCTTCATTACGTCTGATGATCTGTCACCTATCAAATCTGACACCATCTCAATTCTTGGTCTACCTCATGTTTATCATTTATCATTCATCATTCCAAGATGTCCCTGAGCCTGAGCATGTTATTCCATCTACCAAAAGAGGTGTTTCTTCAATCTCCAGATGGCTTGTCTCAAGTTCCTCTGTTCATTCACTCCATAAGGTACTTCTTCTTTGTCCCTTCAACTAATTCCTTCCATTCTTCTCCACAGCCCGGCACATTTCTAAACTGTCAATCAACATTCCTCTGCTCTCATGACTATTCATTGTTTATTCTCTGAAGAAAAGGATCTGTTTCACATATTACTCACTGTTTAATTCGTTCATAATCTTTGTCTCTGGTTGGTTGTAGGACCTGTATACCACCTCCTGGTGACTTGAAGACCCATCTTACATCCTTGCCCATAGCATCAGCAGTCATCATAAACTCCTCAAACTGTGCTGGTAATACCCAGCATACTGGGGCAAGCTGGCTTCTTCTCACTGCTACAATATATATGCACAAAATCTCATAAGCAACCCTTAACAATTTGTAAAACACAATGTGTACTGTGATTATTTTGACACTGACTGGTCACAACTCTGGGCATACAATTGGATATTGGCTGTTGGGTCATAGTTGGAGGCAACACTTGATAATGCCTGAGCAAAAGTTCTTTAGGTGCATTATATGAAGCAAGGATGCATAGAGATGTGCATTAAGTGTTACGCAAAACGAAAACCATATTTACTATCAAAACTCTTCAATGGAGAAATATTCCTCATAATATATGTATAATACATGCATACATCAAAAGGCAAATTTTCACTGAAATGTTCTTTGTGACTGTTTGAACATATATACCTGTATAGCAACTATTGACTGCTAATAGCAGGGAAAGGGTTAAATCTATAGCCGGCACTCCATGAACTGAGACTGTACTATGATCCCTGCCTTGATCTCACCAGGGAATCCTATCTCTAATCTCAGTCAGCACAATAGGAGATAACCATTGCCCCTCAGAACAATCAATGTTTGTACACTAAAAGAATATGTTAACAAAGTCATGATTAATTGATACATGTATCAATTACAAATGGACTGCATTCAATCCTATCACTGATCTATGTAAACATTCTTCAAACCATTCTCATGATTTCAAGAAACTAAACCAACTGATTACATGATCAATCAGATGAACCTCTTCAGTGATATGTGTATAATGGGAATGTACAATGGAAAGAAGAATCTTACTTGGGATTTTACGAGCTTCATTTGTAGTGTAACAGAAAGCATCTTTCCTCCAAAGAACATCTTTCATTCCAGGTATTCTATTGATCTAAAAACAAAACAAAAGAGTATTAACAAATCTTGCAAAAATATTGAATTCTTTTTGAAAAATGCAGTTACTCAGTGATGCTTTTGAGAAGAGCCTTTGCCTGAGTCTTTGAGTCCTAACCTTCAGACGGCACAGTAGTGAATGAATGGGACCAAAAGAAGGACAGACAAATTTGTTAATCTCAATGCTGAGAATTTGAATCATTATTTAGATTATAGTGCTGTTCCAGAGCATTTTGATGTACAGTTTGTTTCAAGCAAAGTAATATAAAGAACTGGCTACAATGGATACACTTGGACATTCAAAGGATATTATTTTAATTGCTTAACCAAATAGGTTCATTTAATGAGACTGACCCTGAGACAGCATGATCTAACACATGGTGGATCATGCTTCTATAGACAGGAGAATGTTGTACCAAACAAAGGGCCATCGCCATCCAAAACGGAGAATATCTAGAGCATATACGGCTCTACGATGAGAATGGCTGGTGAAATCGATTTGAGCTTAGTGCCTCTCAGAGTAAAATCAAATAGGGACTTTGTAATAACATAGGAAACACTGATGAACCATAGCATGTGAAGTGCCATTGCTATAGGATGTCCCAAAACGGAAGTCCCGGTCAGCCCCCCCCCCCCCCCCCCAAACAAAAATAAAACAATTGCATGGAGCCCATCGATTGAAGAAAAAAAAAATCTTTGGGGAGGGTGAATCAACATCATTTACATGAGGTAGACAAAGCAAAGAGAAAAAGAGACTTCCTGCATTCAGTGTAGCCAGCCCTTTAGAAGCAATAGTTGAGGGTTTTTTGAGAAAAAAAACATAGGCAGTTCAGAAAATCAAGCTGCATAACTAGAACACTGCAATAGGAGCATAACAGCATACACACATAAAGAAATACTTTCATCTAAAATCATCACACATTGGATGGAATACCATTCCAGAGAATGTTAATCATCCAAAAAAAAAAAAAGGGTAAAAAGGAGAAGGAAAAAAATAAGGGGACAGAACAGCAAAAGCATTTAATATGCTTCTTGTACTTGCAAGCGAAACAGGGTAATGAGTGAGTATACATTAGTGCTGTAGTCAAACGTTTAACCGTCCGGTAACCGACCGCCCATGGCGGATTCCGTTTTCAATTGGACGGTTTCGTTTTCCCGTTTTTTTTTTTTTTTTTTTTTTTTTTTTTTTATAATTTTTTTTTTTAATTTTTTTTTTTTTTTTTTTTTTTTTTAAATAATTTTTGATTTATGCCCCTCCACCTGGCACTATGCCTGGCAATGTCTCCCAGCTCAGTAATCGGTGTGATGACTTACCACTTGGAAACTAGAACAACACTCCAATTTGTCTGTCATCTTGGTTTGAAAGTAATCTTTGTAATAGATCTCAATATATATTCATCCAAGTTTAACACATGGTGTACCACAAGGTTCTATCCTAGGTCCTCTACTGTTTTTAATTTACTTTAATGATCTTACACATTATTCTAAAACGACATTGTTACTATTATTTGTGACTAGTTCACAAGCACAAATCGGCGCCTTCAGTTAAATCACCTTCCTGCTTTTTACACGGCCAAAAAAAAAAAAAAAAAAAAAAAAAAACGATTTTTTTTTTTTTTTTTTTTTTTTTTTTTTTTTTTTTTAAATAAATCGTTTAACCGAAAACCGTCCGGTTTTGACAGGCGGTTAAACGGAATTGGAGATATCCGTGATGTTACAGCACTAGTATACATACTCCTGATTTACCATAATGTTACTTACATGTACTTGAAAGCTGATTTTACAAGGAATTCATAAAACTTGCCTACTCCCCTTATCTACCGTATGGAGGTCCCAAGAAAGAATACATATTCTGAAACACAACAATACCAAACAAAACCAAAACCAAAACAAACAAAAAACCAAACAGAAAACCTGCCTCGCTCCTCCACCTTCATTATCCATGATATGTATATCTCCCTCCCCCTACCCCCACCTCCTTGCAAACTGCCAAGAGTCACAGTATCTGGTCATCTCATGTCTCAAAACCAGATATCTCATAACTTGAAGTCATAAAAGACAACGATTTGCATAAAATTGTGTCAAAATGCCCTGCCCCATATAAAATTGCACCTGCAAATTCAGATAACCCTTTTGTTCATTTTTAACATGTCAGAGATAATTGGACTAAAAAGGCAATTGAAAAACATAAGAACTGCTTTTTTCTTTCTTTGTTTATCGTTCAAAGTTTTAGATATGTTGGATATGCTGCTAAAACCTGCTAGGCCAACCCATACAGTCACTCACAAAAATTACTGAATGTGTAACCAGCCTTATATTTGCACGCAATCTTCACCAAAATCAGCAAAGCAAAATATATCAATGGTTTAATTGTTCATTTTTAAATATATTCTATGCCCAAATAATTACAAAGTATAACAATAAATTGTAATAATGGTTTAAAGAAGTGAACAAAATGAAGAAGATTTCCATGAAATAGCAACGAAGCATAAGCAAATAAAATAGTAACAGGTATGCTTTGGAAGAACAAAAGTGAATGCACTAGAAAAGTATTTCCACCACCACAAACAAAATGAGTGATTCTATCAAAACTTACTACAAACTCTCTTTTCTGAAGAATTACTGAAAGCTAAAATTTCGAAGTAAAAATACAATGGAAGGAAACATTATAATGATAACAACAACAAATGAATTTAATATGAAAACATAAAGACAACATGGATGACAATGACACTGCAACAACAAAACAATGGTCCATTAATTGGCTGGGTGCCTGAGTCAGTTGACTCTGAAAAGGTGACAAATTTGAGCATTGACTTTACATTTCAGTAAAATACAGGCCACATGACCTATTTTCAAATTTAAAAAAAATGCTCATGGGTGATAAAAATGTGTACAAAGTTTCAAACTAATGCCAAATGATCTGCTGGGCAAATGTATTCCTAAATATCTGAGAACAAAGTATGAACTAAATTGAGACATGACAATTGATAGACTTGACTTATTTTTACGAGTTCCGATAGAACATTCATTAGGTGAGAATCCACAGTTTTTGTTAATAATATGAACATTCCAGAATGAATCTGTTTTATTTATCATTGTGAGATTGAGTTGATTATCTTCCTATCCCTAAATCAATCAGATGTCTTGTCAGCATCAAGATTATTTTTCAGAGTATGTTCAACTCTACATGTACAACACATCTCTTCTCAAATACATCGAAAAATGTCTTAATTTTTTTTTTTTAAGTGGTAATAATTATTAGCATGAACTTTTTTTAACAGAAAGCAGAGGGAATCTGATGAAAATGTTTGATCATTCAATAAGTTGAGAACCAATACCTTTTGATGTTTTTCTAATCTTGATTGAGATGATCTCTGCATGCATCCTGTCTCCTCAGCTTCACCAAGAGATAAGCAGAGGAGAATCATCCATCCTTCCCAGTCAGCTCTATCATCATGCGAACTAACAACTGCAAGATATAGAAATACATCAATCAATGTTCAATCATGTGGTGTTTGTTTGTCATATTGAAATTCTTCTTATTTACATGCAATATACAAGAGGTATACCATCTGTTGAGAACCAGAAGGGTGTTTATAGTAACTCTCTCATAAATTATAGGTGTTAACAAATAATGTCCTTCTAGCTTTAAAACAGAGAATACACATACATGTAGATAATCAATCAAACACAAAGATTGTCCATTCAATCCAATATCAAGTTATCAACCAATTATATTGAGATCCATTTCTTTACACTATACATTATTCTTGGTTATCTTCCTGTCCAAAAAATGCTTATTTGACAGGGGATATCAAAGAAAATCAAATAGTCTTCAAGTGTTATGCTCTTCTTCTTTTTAGTGTAACACTTGAAGACAATTTGTTTTTCTTTGTTATCCCCTTTCAAATAAACATTTTTGGGACAGGAAGATAACCAAGAATAATGTACCAATCAAGTGAAATCTTTCACAGGAACAGTGTTGCGCACACATGGCATTCTTGTATAAAAGTGTACTGTACTGTGCCTTCCACCCTCCAAAACAAAGTGACAGGAGACTCTGAGCCTGAGGAGCAACTTCCAAATGGGACAAGTTAATCTGCAGTGTATTTAAAAGTTGATTTGTCTTTATTTGACATGCATGAATCTGATTTTTTTGGGGCGATATTTTGGGGTTATCACAAACTTTTACAATCTCCATATTAAGCATAGGCTATTGAAGCCAATTGATGCCTAGTGAGTAGTGATGGACGGTTAGATGTACATGTATTCTACTTTTTTGTTAATATGTTTCATTTTATTCTATTTTGTTATGTTTCAATCTATTTATTTTCTTTTGTTTCATTTTTTCTTTCTTTATGTCTTCATTTATTTATCTTTTTAAGTTGAAAAATATGAATTGAGCCTCATATGTTACATAATTTGAGCTTTTCAATGCAAAAAAAAGAAAGAATTTAAAACGATTTGTAAGCAAGTGCTTTGCTTTAATGTTACATCAATCAAGGGAAACATAAAATGAACCTATGCCATTCAGACAATACCATTACCAATTTCTAAAGCTATGAAATTATGATACCTTCCCTGGTATGTACTTCTGTTGTGGCTAATGTGGCATTACCCAAAGGGTAAACAGCTAAAGTCAAGGTGATATGTGATTTTACCAGTTCAACCTTGTCATAACATTTGTCCAAGTTCAGGTGAACAAACAACACTCTCCCTAGGGTCTTGTAGGCCACACACAGGTCATCATAGCGAGGTTTGCACTCACACAACTGTGACCCCCCCCCCCCTCTCTCCTTCTATCAGCTGGGGTTTTGATAAAAGCATTAAAAAACTTGTAGTCTAGCTAGGCCTGAAGGATTGAGGAAAATCAGACAAATGATGAAACAGTAATTACTTTTCAAAACTTTTTACATAAATGAAGACTGCTATATAGTGGCTAAAGGAGACAAATTAGCAACTTTGTTCATGCCTTTGCGTTGTCCTTCCACCCGCTAATCGTCAACTGCATTGTGTATTTGGATATACAAAATCATAAATTTCCTCTATAAATAAAGTTTCTCATGCCTTAATTTGACCCAGTTATATTGATGCACACGTCATAATGTCATTCCAGTATGATCTCCACCCAGATAGACCATATGAGAGTTACTCCCTGCTTCACCCAATCTCTGGCTTATTGACTCAGTCTCAGTAGTATAGTATTATTAATAATCTGAAATGAGTTTGTTGATCTAAACCATCAAAAAAATAAATTTACAAGGTTTCCTCAGAAATTATTGTTATGGCTTTTCAAAGCAAAAGTTTAGGCCTATAGGAATATGAAAAAAAGATTGAATGAGCAATTAAACTATTAAAATGTTCTTGTTGTTACTGCAAAAGGGCTGGAAATTATTGTAGAGTTTTGGTCCATTTTCACTCTTTCCAATTACAAATGTCTAAATTTTGCATACCATTGAACAACATACAATGAAATACCCTACTTGGAAAAAATTGTTGCCTTTCTGGAAACTGTTTCAACTCAATTAGCCACTGTTGTAACTCTAGAAAGATTACCGCAATTAGCCACTGTTAAAGGGAAAGTCCACCCCCAAAATAAGTTTGTTTCGATAGAGGCAGAATAATAAGAAAATCAGGTGAGTGAAAGTTTGAGCAAATTCTGAATGAAAATAAGAAAGTTATGAATTATTGAAGTTGTGATCAATCAAATACAAATTGGCAACTCTGTGACTTATTATACGAGCTCTCCTTCATTTGCTTTGTGCATAATATTCCATAAAATCATGTTTTCTTCGTTATTGATGACGGAATATATATTTGTTCCTTGCAGGGGGAGTATAGAAACATATTTGCAATTATTATATTTAGGGTGCATGTATGGTTGAAATTTTTCTTGAGGGAAAATGAAAATTTTAGATTTTTTTAGTACTGAGCAAATGGAAGTTGAGCTCGCATGATACGTCATAGAGTTGCCAATTTGTGTTTGATTGATCACAACTTCAATAATTCATAACTTTCTTATTTTCATTCAGAATTTGCTCAAACTTTCACTCACCTGATTTTCTTATTATTCTGCCTCTATCGAAACAAACTTATTTTTGGGGTGGACTTTCCCTTTAATAACTCTAGAAAGATTCTGGTTTATTTTACTTCATTTTTACAATGATTAGAGAACTATTGTTATTTTTTGGATGCAAATGATGGGTAATTATTGATGATAATTTAGCTCCGGTAATTGGTCTGCTCGATGGCCTAGCTAGCTAGATGAGCTGGTAAGTGATGAATTCATTAGAAGCTTTGATTGATTAACAGTCTGAAATGCTTTTATCAGATTCTACTGGAATGTGATGATAAGCTATCACACAGCTGCCCTAGAAGTGTTTGCTACATCTAATTAATGGAGTTAGCAGCACAGACACAAGCTAGCTGTTACCCTCCACTTCTTGTTCATCCTTCATGTAGTACCCATGGGTCTCAGAGAAATGTCAGGGAGAAAGGAAAGTCAACTCCCTTGTAATAAATGTAGTCCTACGAATTCTAAACAAGTTGACTTGATTGAAATATATAAAACAGATCAAAAAGGGTTTAAGGAACAGCCTGTAAATTACTGTGATTAAAAGTAAATTTGAAAGGTATGATTTCTTTCATCAAAAAAAAAATGATAAAGTCTAACTGGTCTAACTTTTCACTGATGACAAACTGACATGTAATAAAGCTTGAACATCAACCTATCACATTGCCATTGGTTTCACATGCATGTTTTGTTTATTAGTAATTATAAATATATGTATCAGTGATAATTGAGTTTAATATGCCCCTGCCCCAGTTAAATTGATGGTATCTTTGCAAGTATATCATATGTATGTACCGCACTACCGGTATTCAACAGCAAGCAGTTGATAAACATAAAACAAATGTTTATGATACATATAATTATAATAGGCCTATATACATTGTGGAGCGTGTGTGCAGCGCTTTGTAACTGCAAGGAAAAGGCGCTTTATCAAATATCTTTTGGATTGGATTGGATTGGATACAAGTATGTAGGTCAAAATTTTCTTTTTCAATATATATGCTTCTAGTTGATATTTATTAAATAAAAGACTCATTTTAGAAAGAATCTAACACTACAGCTTCTTCACAATTTAAAGTTTAGCAAACATATGTTTTGATTTATTCAGTAAAACCCATATAATTATGAAGATTCTAATAATTAGAAATGTGTTTTGGAGGATATACATGCAGAGGCCACCTTAATTTAGAGAGTTTGGATTCTTTTTCTCTCCCCCACCCCCCCCCCCCCTCCCCTCTCCCTATCAGTTGTGAGGTCAAAACAGCATGATCTTACTTCATTACACAAACCACAAACATGCAAAACAACTTCATATACAACCATGTATTAGTTAGGTTCATACGACAGTCCGTATACTTCAACCAGGGTCGGATAAAAGTTTAGGTGATGGTTTTTGAGATTATCTTGTAATTATAAACTCTGTTTATGCACTCATGGTTATGAAAGTTGAAGTTTATTAAAAGTTATTAATTTATGATTAGTGCAATAACTACATGTATGAGCTGCAGGCACAAATGGTCCTCATTCAAAGTTATGTGCTATGCAGGAGTCATTAACTTCAATGTTACGGTACAGCTTCTAGTTAAAGTGACTGCTTGCCCAGCTTGTAGTATAAACTTTGAATACTCTTCGTCTCACTCCTGTGTGAGCCCTTGTTGATCTTATTAAATCGTTGTTTAAAACTTTGAGGTATGCAAAAAACTATCACGGTTCCGTGAGAACATATCTATTATTTTCACCTCCCCCCCCCCCCCCTCTTTCTACCCCATGCAGAATCGGGGGACCAATTAAAAAAGGTTTACTATATTGAAAGAACCTGTATATTGGTTTAATTGCTGATATGTACACCTACATACTGAATATGTCTACAATACTTAGACCTAACTAATACTATGTATTCTAACTGAACCATTTTTGTATCTGTAAATTGCCTTCTTAATTAATGTCAATGCCATCCAATCCCAAATTTTCCTCATCGCAATATGTTAATTTTGAAAAATCCAGTTTTTAAATAACCAAATCCTTTGTTTTTTGCAGCAGTTTAAAATTGCTTGTTACATCTGGTACTCATTTAATGGTAGACTCACATGTTCATATTGAATGAATAATTTACAAGTGCATAAAGATTGTTTACTAATATTCTAATGATTTATTAAGTGTATTCTTTAATCATGTAAACACTTATGTTCAAATAATTTAAAATTCAACCCTCAGGTTGTGATGTATATTTTTAAATAAATAAACCATTATTATCCTTCTTATTATTATTAATATCAATCATCATCATCATTATCATTTTTATGTTTATCTACTCACCAAACAAACAGAACTAGCAAATACCAACAGTTTTGTATGGGTATTTCCAGTTGTGTAAATGGCAATCAAAACACCCTACAGGTTTTTCAAAATGGTTTTGAGCAGTGTAAAGTGGCCTATCATCAATTGTTATGAAGTCTCTTACCTTGTGTTTGCACCTCTCCAAGGACTCTGTTGACTGCTTCATCTCTTTGAACTATGACCTTGAAACCCTTCTTCTCTAAGGCTTGTTTGTAGAAAGGAAGATCTCTTCTAATAACATCATCTTCTCCTCTTACCATAGCAACCTTGGCTGCATCTTGAAACCTCAAGTCTCTCTCATCTTCAAGCTGAAAGAAAACAATTATAACTTTTCAATTCCAACACACAGCAAGACAGTAATGCCTTGTACACAGTCAACATGGAACCTGTATCCCAATGCTCATCCCTTCCTTTGACTACATGTAAATGTTCAGAGAACTAACCCCGGTGGGGTCACTCCCCTGCAAAGAGTGACACGTATGACCGTTACCACCAATGCATATAACCCCCTTTTGCGGTCAATTTCAAGGACATTTTGTGAAATTTAACCCCCTTTTTTACGTCAAAACAAGGACAAAATCGTACTTTGGAATACCCCTATTTATAAGATTGTAAGGACACTTTCGCAAATTTACCCCTATTTTACCATATTTCAAGGACAAGACTCGGCTCCGAGAATTTTTCTTCCCGGTTTTCTCTTTTCCCTTCCCGTTTTTCTCTTTTCCCTTTTCCTGACCCCTATTTATCAATTTCGGGGACACCTGTGCCCCCCTATTTTCTTTATTTCGAGGAATATTTTGTCCGCGGACATTGCTTGAAATTGACCCCTTTTTCCGCGATTTTGGTAACGGTCATGCGGTCCGGAAGTCACATTGAGTGACCCCACCGGGGAACTAACACTAACAGCTGTCTGATCTTCCCACCTATTGACCCAGTACTGGTACATTAAATCCATGTTGCACCTTTCAAATGGTCACTTTCTTCTGCCATATTATACACTAGGGCCAGGACAAAAAAAATGCTCATTTTTTTAAATCCATCCGGCTTATCTACAATGTATGCAACAGTCATTCACAGCAAAATCAAAGTAGTAACTGCTACAGAATTCAAGTTCTAGGCCATTTGAAATAGCTTTTATTGATTAATGACTCTGGAACACACACAAAATCTATCTATTACCCCTATCAACTGACTGAGCTCTTCAGGGACATTGCAAATAAGAAGCAGCTGGCAAAAATGCAAAGTGTATTCTACAATAACATCTTGAGTAAATTCAGGAGATAAATCTTTAAAATATTTTCTTCAATTTGGACAATTTCATATCAAGTTACAGGCATTCATCAGATGGGTGTAACTAAAAAGCTAAGAGCGTAAAGGCCAATCCAACCCTTGCAATAAGTTCATGATATACAATGTATATATAAAAAGCAGAAAATAAGAGAAACTGAGTGGCGAAAGTTTATAATAAGTTGGACCAATGATAAGAAAGTTATAAGTGTTTGAAATATGAGTTCATTAACTCTATGCAACTCCCAAAGTATACATGGTCAACTCTCCTGTTGCGTTTACAAAATTTCATAAATTCCTTCAAAGCGCCTTTTCCCTTGGGATACGTCTCAAAATATATTATGGGTAGCATTTTGTTGCTTGCTGTAATTATCTGGGTATTAATGAACAAAAATAGTTAGTAGCTGTGATATGTGTGAAGGAAGGAGATGGATCATTCGAGACTGAGACAAGACAAGTCTGCAATCTGATCAAATAATTGCTTCATGGTGACCTGCTGGACCAAATGAGGTGCAACACAACCAATACACAAGAACTTTTAAGAACAACACCTAACATGTGTGCCATATGATTATTAGTGAGCAAGGGACTGGTTTGGATTGAGCCTGGAGCAATTTCTTTCACCATGGTCCATCAGCAATGACTCATTACAAAGGTCATGTAGGGTCATAGAACATCTTGCAAGAATTCTGAACTCTACTTCTCATGGAGTCAAGAAGAATACACAATGGATCAAAGAAGCCATCTCAGTGTACATGTACATCATGGGTTAAACAAACATAAGTCTATGTTCAACCTAAGGTTGTACATGACGTTATTGTAGACAGTAATTTCACAACATGGTTACTAAATACATTTAAGTTTAATAAGATAGAGACAATATTCCCAAAAAAATATTCCCAAATAGTTTACAAAAAAGTGGGGGATTGATAATTCACAGAATTGCACAGGTCAACTTAAATAATGTGGAGCATGTCCAGATGAAATAGATTTTAAACAAAACTTACCTTCTGCAGATGTATTAGCAAAGGGGTTTTCTTTTCTAGCACTTCTCCTCCTCCTGTATCTTCTCCCAATGTTTTCTCTTCTTCTTCCTTGGTATCCAAGACACCATCTCTATCTCCCAAATCCATCCCTTCTAATATATTCCTGTATCCTTCAAATCTATGTCCACCTCCTTTTCCATTTTCTCTCCCATTACCAGCAATGAAGCTCCCATATCCATCTCCATCGATCTTGAAGCCGGTTTTCACAGCAATATTACCCCCCTTCCCTCGTAGTCTTTCGCTGCTCCCAATGTTTGTATTTTGACATGAGAGGTAAAGACACAAGAGAAGAATAGCAATGAAGAGGAAGACAAGATCACGCACACGATGTCGAAGGAGATGCATTACATATTGTCCTGTCATGGTGAGTATAGCCATATTTACAATGTAGATGTTACTGGTTGCCTGATCCAGCTCTTGTCCTACTTCCTATTATTGATGATCGATGTTCATTAGCATTATGAAGTTTATTCCATGCTCACTATACTGTAAGTGAATGTAAGAAGGATCCCTTGCTGATAGTAACAGGGTCTTATCATGTATCTGTAGAGAAGAGAAAGGGAGCAATAAATATAATAACAGGCCTAAATAGTGTTGATTATTTGAAATTTTAGATTGCAGTCGTTGAATGCCTCATTTGTTTGTTTACAATAAGGCATTCACCTGGACAGTGCGACCCTATTCATGCAAAAATCTATAAACGTTTAATCCCTTCTCAGACCACAAGTGTGAAATTTCATTGGAAGGAAAATTGGGAGGTAAACATGTACTAAAAAGAGAATTCATAGAAAGTACTCTTGGGTGGCAGCAGTAAGCATTGTAAAAGCTTTTAAAAAATCTAACAATGAATATAAAAAAACATATGCCTTTTAATGATGTCATATGGATCTTCTACTAATTGTGTTTGGTCAAGATGTGTGGTCACTGTGGTGTCATTTAGGTAGAACTCCCCCTCTTTTGGACCCTTAAATAGCAAGATGTATCAGCTTATAAATGACCACATCTGGCAAATCAACATATTTCATCCCAGCTTTTCAGATATCTCTGTGCTAAAAAAAAAAGCCTATATGCCCTCCCTGACTACATGTAGGTTGATCCTACAGAGATGAATGACAGCTGGGGATTTGTTATACCGTCTTTCATTAAAATGAGTTGGTTTCTAATACCATGGACCTACTTCTTAGTAAGTCCATGGTTTTACACACCAATATCTTTTGCTAAGCTACATTCAATCGTATTTAAAATATCCTCTTTCTGAATATTTAAGACAAGAAATGTTAAGAATAATAATTTGTTTAAAGTCTTCTTCCTGAATCCTGATTAGTGCATTGATGAAGAAATAAATCTATTTCATATTCAGGATAGTGTGACCATGGATTTATGTAGGGCACAGGTATAATATAAGTATTTCTTTGGATTACAAAATAGAAATGAAAATTTCAAGTTTCAACACAAACTGAGAAGAGAGCTATTTGCAACTTGGGCAATCATATAGCTGCAAAAGAGCAATTCTTGTTAATATCAACAATTCATAACTTCCTAATCCAATATGATCACATTTGTGTAAATCTTTCACTGACGTCCTTGTTCAGTTTTCTGCTAATATGCTTTTCACACTGGCAATATTTTCCTTAACCCCGTACTATAGGTGGGGTTAAGGGGGGGTCTTAACCCCACCTATAGTACGGGGTTAAGCCTATTCCACTTTCTGTTCAGACTGGTTTTTACCAAAGTGGGCTAAAGTTGGCTACCCCCACCTATAGTACGGGGTTAACTAACCCTGCAAAATAGCAGGGCTAACTCCGCAATTGTGGTGCTAACTCCTGCTAACCCCGCAATTGCGGTGCTAAGCAAATGAATGAGAACAGAAACGAAAAATAGTCCGGTACTACGCAATGGAGCGTATCGCAGCTGGCCAGATGCGAGGTATGTCCAATCATAACATACACGATATCCGGGGTTAACGAAATGCAGTGAGAACAGCGGGAATTTTCTTATTCCGGAATAGGCGCTAGTACGGGACTAAAAACAGCGAGTGTGAAAAGCCAAAAAAATAGTCCGGGGTTAAGGATAGTACGGGGCTAAGCAAAGTACGGGGTTAAGCAAAACCAGTGTGAAAAGAGTATTAGACTGGACTCTCCCCCCCCCCCCAACCATCCAACCTACTCTGAGAAAGACAATACCTTTATGAATGAGATAACTCTTCCCTTTTAAAAATAGTGTTTTAGATAAGGACTTCCATTAGCAGACCTTTTTTATAGTTTCAATATCAATTCAGAGTTTGGATATGACAGGTGCTCTATAATACCAACTAATTAATAACAATCATAATAATATTATCATTATTATCATTATTATCATCATCATAATGGTCAAGAAAAGTGGGTGCTGCTTCAATCGATCAGAGAGAGACAGAAGAAATGGCTTGGACACATAATGCGACATGATGATGGCTTGATGATCAGAGTCATAGAAGGTCGTCTACATGGAAAGAAGATAAGGGGAAGACCTCGTAAAGGCTTTCTAGATAATTTAATCTCAGAATGTGGAGCAACAGGAAACGGATGGCTCAAGACCAGGGGTGGTAATCCCGGGTGGGGGGGGGGGGGATGGGACACTTCCGTTCCCCCCCCCCCCCCCCCCCCCCGTAAAATTGGAAAAAGTGCCCCCCCCCCCCCCCCCAAATGTATAGCAAATACTGACTAAAGACTGCAGCACACTTTTAGGCTCTGGAGGGCCCAAGAGTGCAGCATTTAGACTAGTAATAAACTATGCAAAAATCTTCTCCCTCACATAATCTCCTTCAAAATGTACAAGTAAATATTGTTTAAAACCAAGGAACTTGGAGAGACACTTGTCTCATAAACAGACAGATCACTAAATACATTGATGATTGTCATTATTATAATCAATATTGTAATTTTTTCAATTTTATCATTATTATGATTATTATAACTACTACATGTGATATTATTATTATATTATCATGCTATTATTAGTATTACTATCATTATTTTCATTATTATGATTATCAATATTATTATTATTATCATTTTCATTATTATTATTATCACTATTGTCATTATCATTATTATAATCATTATTATTATTATTATTATTATTAATCATTATTATCACCATGTAGGTCCATGTCATCACAATCATCCTGGTTTCAATTTATAAAACCATGGATAAAACTATTCACATCATCATCATCATCTATCATGTCTATATGGTGTAGGATATCCTGTAGGTATCCTGGTCATCACTTGGTAAGTTGGTACATTAGAAAAAGTCTATAAACCATCATAAACATCCCTTTATATTATATGCCACGGTTGCCAACCCTCAACTTTACAATGTAAACAAAAGGGAATCCTGAAATCTGGATTTAATTTCAACTTGTCATGGACTTGCAGATCAACCTCTGTCCATAAATAGTCAAATTAAATGTTTCCATTCATTGTTAATTGTTCTTATGTTCATGAACCCATGATCAGGATCTTTGTGTTTAACTTTATGGGGGATATGTGGATATATGGAATTCAATAACAAAAAACTTTCTTCTCTAGACCTGCATAGGTCTATTTTGTTTTAATACAAAAGAGAAACCATCCGACTAGTTGTTAAAAAGGCCTATTAGTAGCCAGGAATGAACATAATGCTTGGGCATGCATGGCAAATAGCGTCCTTCACAACACAAGGGGTATAACAGTCTTCCCGCTTACGGACCGGGCGGGCTTCGAGCGCTTCCCTCGCCGTTTAATACGGTAAACACAACACGAAACAAGAAAGACATGGCACGCATAAAAACTGTCTTACCGGTACATTACTCACCGTAAAGAATTTGTCAAAATGATCAAAATGTATTCTTCAGGCTGTTTTTGGTACCGTATCTGATCAACATAACACGAGAGGAGAGCTACTAGTCTCAGCTCAGCTGCTACCTGGGCCTGGGTAAAATGAGGCACTTCAATGTTGTCTCTCGATCTCCAGCTGGCAGCTAGCTCCTCCCATATATCCCGATATTCGGTCGATCCGAGCGCCCGCCCGCCCGCCCGCAATCGTTGGGGCTTTGCATTGGGGTGTTATTACGTGCCGCACGTTATTATAACTGCTACCATAGGGGGAATCCCAATGGGTGTCTGCTCGCTATTCTTAAGGACCGCTATTCATAACATGAGGGTCGGTACCGGGGTCGCTATTCATAATCACATTGAGAGTCATTACTCAGAAGGACCGCTATTCATGATACGACATCGGGGTCACTACTCATAAGTACCGCTATTTATAATACTAAATGAGGGTCTCTTTTTCAAAATTCGAAAATAAAGCTCGTTAGAATGTGTTTAATATTGAATGTATTTTGGCCGCCGGTTTTTTTGTCTATTTCGAAATAAAAAGGGGGCGGCACATGGCCCCGAATATTTGTCTTTTTTAAAAGTATTGTTTACCACACTCTCCTGAATATTTTTTAAATTATGCGCAATATGCAATCCGTATATGCTATTTATAAATGTTACGTTATGGTTCTGTTTATTATCCACATACTTTGTTTTTTTAATTCAAGACCATTTTTAAGAGATGAATGTGTTAGCAAAGAAAATATACTAAGCTGGAAGAACTTTTGAATATACTTTGACTTTTATTCTATGATATGTTTGTAATGTTTCACTCACTAATTATTGAGTATAATTAATGTAAATATGTATTGAAATTAATTATGGAAATAAAAACCTCGCTTGAGGAAGAGAAAAAACACTAATTGATCATAGTAATAATCATCTTCATTATCATAAGGAGGAGAAGAAGAACAGGAACAAGATGAAGAAGAACAACTCCCAGCAGGGGGGTAATAAGCAAAAACTTTTATTGGGGGTACAAACACTTTTTTTTTTGTGCCTGACTATAATGTTGGATTTTTTTATTTTTAGCAAACGCATATAATTAGAAACCCTCTTAGAAATAAACCACATTTGAATTTCATTGGGAGGGGGGGGGCAACCGCCAGTTCGCCAGTGAGAACAAGAAAAGGAGAAGAAAAATAATACAACAAGAACAAGAAGACCAAGAACAACAAGAGTCAATGAAACGATTAAACTGCTAAACGCACTGTAATTTTTCTTGCTGTCAAACTGCAACCAGGTCGAAGGGAGAGACTCATAGGCCCGAATTCAAAAAGGACGTTACTTTGTCGACAAACCTTGGTTTTCGTACGTCATATGACGCGTGTTTACGCGTTTTTTACAAACCTGGTTTGTAAAAACGCGTCGAAACGCGTCATAATGACGCACAAGGCGAAAACCAAGGTTTGTCGACAAACCTCCTTTGTGAATTCGGGCCCTTACAATATATGTGTAATACAAGGTAGGAAAGATAACTACAAATTTTCTTCTTAGGTATGCACCAGATTGCACGATTTCAAGTGGAAAATCCCAAAAGGTCCCTACCGTGGGAGGGGGGACACCCCCTCCCGCACCCTCCCCCCTCCCTCGGTCGCTTCGCTCCCTCGCAGTGATGGTACCTCCTATAAAATTCAAATTACCTCCTTCAACGCTGTCACTGATGATTTTTTTTTCTTTTTCAAAAGCTCATGAAAACAAGTGCGTCTTCAACAAAACTTTGAAGGCAGCACCAAACGAGGCTTTCTTTAATGTTTAGTGGTAAGTAATTCCTAAGCTTTGGATCAGCGTAACCTGCATAAAAGCGCAATCTCCAATGGTAACTTTTGTTATGAGTGAGGTAGCTTTACAAGCAGCTTTCTCTTATCAGTAAGTATGTGAAAATAGATGTGACATAAAATATGATAATAAGGACAACTAATTTAGGGCTTGACCATTCAATACTTTGTAAATGAGCAAAAGTGTCTTGAATGCAGTTTTATGCCTTATTGGCAACCAGTGTCATTAATCAATATAGGTCCGGTATGGAAAAAATGTGAGGAATTAGACACAAGTCTTGCACATGCATTCTGAGCATGCTGCATCTGGATTTTTTTAATTATAATCAAGCCTAACTGCCGGTAAATGCATGGGCAAGGTTTTTAATGTTTGTCCGGTCTAAGTATATGCGAATATGACGGAGATTACTTATTGAATGCAGGGCCCCGTCTTACAAAGAGTTGATATCAATCGTAAGTTATTTGCGATTGATATCAATCGTAACTATGTACATAAGAGATAGGAGACTGCAAACTTGCGATTGATTGGAGGACTTACGATTGATTTGGATCGATCGTAACTCTTTGTAAGACGGGGCCCAGGATTGTGTTGGATATGGGCTTCGTAATGTTTAAACGAGAATCAAGCCATTCACCCAGATTTCTCACAGAGCTTGACGGTTTTTCTTCTGAGTCTCCAAAATTATGATTAATATCTAGTTTTGCTACTTGTCTGGATGTTCCAACTGTGAGAAACATTAGCATAATAATGTTGGAACATCCAAGAACGGTTATTATGCATGATTTTAAATTTAGATCATCTTGATTTTTTTTAAAGGGCTGTAACTGTAAGAAAATACTGTGAGTCTTCGGCATAACAATGACAAGAAAAATTTGGGAAACGCCTTTGCAGAATATTGATCGGATTACTTGTATAGATTGTAAAAAAAAGAAGGGCTCCTAGACGTGTTAATTTTTTAGCAATAATGTTGAGTAGCTTATGCAAAGATATTAAATTAGGAACTTGTTTAAATCGAAAGAGCTCCCTCTATGTAGACAGCGTAAAATATTCTAAAAAAGAATGAAATGCCGATAATACCAAACAACAACAACAACAGTGTAAGGTAGTGTGGACAATAATACACTTTTCGGTCCGCCCCGTTCTTTGAGTGGGTCCTACTTGTCACTCATTTGAAAATACACCTTTTCTTTTTAAAACTTATGCTTATCTTACACCATGTTTTAATTTTTTTTTGTAGCTAGTAGAATTATATATTGTATCTTTTTTCGTTTTCCCTCTTCCTTCTCCTTTCTTCCCTTTTTGTTTCCTTTCTTTCTATTTTGCGATATGCGCTATACAAAAAAAAAAAAAAAATTATTATCATAAATATTGCTATTATTATCATTATTATTATTAGTAGTAGTAGTATTACTATTATTATTATTATTATTATTATTATTATCATCATCATCATCATTAATATCTTCATCAACAGTTTGGAAAGATTATAAGCTTAAAAGGTTGTTCTTTGTCGTTTCCATAGCGATGTGGGTTGCACATTAAGTTTGAAGATGCCCAATTTTAGAGGAGGAGTATTGTGTTTGGTTAAAAGGGGTATTACATTTTTTGAAAAAGGTAGTGAGAGCACTAAATCATCCCCCCGGAAATGTGAAAATTGCGCCAACCGATATTTCGCTCTGTGGGTGGGGGGGGGGGGGGGGGTCAGGAACATTTTTGTTTTCTTCTTTTTTTTTGCTCAATACACACCCGCCTCTCCCCTCAAGAAAAAAAAAAACATTGAGGGGGAGTTAACCCCCAACCCCCCCCCCCCCCCCTGCGTCCCATCTACAGCGGTGTCGGCCCCGTCTATCGAGGTCTTATGCATGAGATAACTCTCCCCTTTTAAAAATAGTGTTTTAGATAAGGACTTCCATTAGCAGACCCTTTTTACAGTTTAAATATCAATTCAGAGTTTGGATATGACAGGTGCTCTATGAGACCAACTAATTAATAACAATCATAATAATATTATCATTGTTATTGTCATCATCATTATTGTCAAGAAAAGTGGGTGTTGCCTCAATCGATCAGAGAGAGACAGAAGAAATGGCTTGGACACAATGCGACATGATGAAAATTGGAAAAAGTGCACCCCAAAATGTATAGCAAATACTGACTAAAGACTGCAGCACATCTAATCTTTAAGCAGCACAAAACGTACGACAATTCGGTACATGGTTCTGAAAATCAGACCATTACTTTAGTGATTGCAATCACTAAAGTCGATTTGACAACAGTTACTGAGGTAAATATCGGGTCGGCACGATTTTCAAAAATTGGGGAGGAAAATGCAATTTACAAATTTCTGGGGGGGGGGGGCAGAAAAGAAAAAGAATTATTGCTCACTACCCCCCCCCCCCACCCCTCCTCCACCACTACCCCAACCCCCCCCCCACAATAATAATGAAAATAATAATAAAATTAATGATGATGATAATGTTAATAATGGGGCTGATGATAATTATGATGATGACCGGAGTGTTGGCTCAGTCAGTAGAGCGTCCGCCTCACAACCGGGAGGTCGTGGGTTCGAACCCCGGCCGCGTCATAACAACAGACGTTAAGATGGGAGTTGTTGCTACCTTGTATTGCGTTCAACAATAAGGGATAGAGCAACGTCGATCTGGCGCTGCTCAGTGGCTGCCGTTTCGGTTAAAATTTGGAGTGGACTATTAGGCTATTATTGTTATTGTTATTGTTATGATGATGATGATTATGATCAAAGATCAACACAACACAACAGGCAAATTTGATATAGGCCTAATATGTAGGCCTAACGTACAGCATATTGCATAATTTTCCTATTGTTTTTTCTCGGGTGAAAAGTAACTAGGAGAAAGGTAATGCTCTCCTTGATTCTTTTGTCTAGTCCCGTTGCCTCTCTTTTTTTTCCCCGGTTCCCTCCCCTCCCCTTCCCTGCCATGGCCAATCTCGATCCCTTAATTGTCTTACGAGAAAAATAGCCTAAAACTGACTCAGCCGTAAAGACAGGGTAGGCTGGGCTCTGAAGAGGCCCTGAATCGTCATACGATTAACAAACACAAAACACGAAACAGAACTGAGACTCAGAAGCAGGAATGGTGGAAAAGCCGACCTGAGCTATGGAAGTTCCGATGACAAGCGGTCTAGCCGCCAAAAGGGGTGGTGGTTTGCCAAAACTACGAGAACTTCTTCGTCGACAAAGACGGGATTCAGACGTAAGTTGTGTATGATCTTGGCATTCTCGTGAAATAAGTCGTTGTTATTCACTTTGTATTTCTACTTCTTTCTAGCGGTTTATTGCGTGTATGCCTATGCAGCTGCATAGGTTTACACGCAAAAGTGTAAGTAGTATGTACACAGCACGGCACTGCACTCGATGACCATTGTCTTATTTCACGAGAAGAAGGCCATGATATTTAAAATTTTCTACTATTTATGATATATCAACCTACAGTTTACAGCTTTAAATTTAACCTTGATACAGTAGGGTGTCTGAACGTGCACTCCGTTTTGCAATTTGTGTGCTAAAAAAGTAAAATAAAACCCTTCCCATAGAAATTGCATGCTAGCAGTCTACGTACGTGCATTGCGCAATCATGCAAAATTGGTCAATGTTTTTATCAACAAATCGAGATTCAAACCTTTATTGCTTGTGATCCTGAAAGTGATACTCAATAAATGAGGTGTCGTATGAAAGAGCAGGTTTTTCTACATATTTCCAAAGGGGCGTCATCTCGGAATTCTAAAAATATCAAATATCAAAACAGCGATTTAAAAATGGTTTCCATCGTAGCTCCGACATTTGCCACTTTTGAAAAATGACACCCGAGTGATAAGTAGTCCCAGTCTTATGGAATATATCTATGTGCTTTTTTTTCGCTAGCCCCAAGAGATCATCATCACACGTGATTACAGTTTGAAATACCCTTCCCCCAACTTTTCGGATCAGCTAAGTAGGCTGTAGGAAGGCGTGCCTCCACCCAGCCCAAACCCATGCTGACGGCTGTAGAATCTACATATGCATATTATGCATGTCATGCTCTGTAGCTCAGTAGCACGAAACAATTTTCCTGCGTGCTACTTGTGTTGCAATTGTACCAAATGGTCGTACGTTTTATGCTGCTCAAAGGTTCAATCAGTTTAATTTTGGCCATTACAAGAAGTGGGTTATTGATGTAAACAAATGCTCATGTACCCTTTACAGCTCATTTTATGTACCGGTATGTATAATACCAAATAAAGAAAAAAAGCCAGTCAGTCTCTCAATAGTGTCCGACAGTGAAGTCTAGCAAGTAAACAGGTTTCCTTGCATAATTTGAATATTAGAACACTGCTAACGTTTAAATTTCACAGATAGGACATATCGTAAATCTCTGTGTATATGGCACACTTTTTTGGAAATTGCTGCAGTACAGTGAGAGAAAACAAAATTCAAATTTTGCACTCTTTGTTTCTGAATTATTTTTATTTCTTACTCAAATGAATGAATTCCATATTGTTTGTACTGTTTTTTAAAAAAAAGGTGAGTTGCCATTGCAATAATATTTTGAATATTCCATGTCTTGGAGGTTGTTTTCAGTGCCATAGTAGCGGGTTTTTCAAATGCATTTACTCAATCACTAGTTCACTACGCAGGGCGTGCTAATTGGCATCTTTTCATTCAGTACATATTCGTGAGCTGCTGGTGTGTGCATACAGAATGAGTGATGCATGAAGTTGTTCCAATCTTTGATTTTGATCCTTAGAATTGCTCATTTTGTGTGATTTGGTAAGAGGTTGAAGTTTCTTTGCCAATGCACAAAAATCATGTCCATGAGGTATCTGCAATGGATATTGGCAAGAAAAGGATTCCTTTCTTTGGCACCTTAAGGGCAATACAAAATCTATTTTTGTTAGGCCTCATCCAGATCTATGCAAAAGCCTTCTAGCAGTTGCAAGTTTTGTTGTAGATACCATGGAAGATAAGTTCAAACAAAAGACACAAAGATTTTTAGAAAACCAGATAACTCATGATATCATATTCTGGTGCATATTAATAAGTAATTTAGAAGTATGCACCTTAAATAAGATTTATGCGCTGTGCATGCGCTGGGTAAGGATATTGTTAAATAGAGGAGATAGCTAGCTAGTGACAGAAAAGTTAAAAAAAATATCAATATTTTTGTAATGGTTATGATCAGTTGAGGATATAACATTATAACAGATATAAAAGTTTTCATAATACTGCCCCCGGTCTTCAGGGAGATCCAGCCAGGTCCTGACATAAATTAATTCAGATTTAAAACTGAAATATTTTGCATATTTAGGCTAAATTCTTAAGATACAAAAATTTCCAAGAATACCATTTTGCATCAACTTCAATTTAAATTATTTCTGTAGAAAACTATTCTGCAATTTGCTTTTGTAGCCATATCAGGATGTAAAATTCCTGATAAAAAAGTTGGAAGAATTGTATACTTTCTGGCATGACAACTGAAGACAACACTCGGCCTTGTCACAAAAGCATGAAGCAAAATCACCCTGTAAATCATGCTCAGCTTAAGGGACTTGGTAACATTGTTCAGATGAGAGAAAATGGTGCTGAAGTAGTGACTTCAATGCTAGATGTACAATTAAAGATAATCTGAAAGTTTGAGTGAAAACAGACCTTTACTAATTTTCAAAATGGGGGAAAACTGATCTGATCGATTCCTTAATTCTCCTAACTATGATATTACACTTTAATTCCATTTTAGGTGAATGTAAATCGTCACAAAGCAATGTACATGTATTGGCGCGCCTCAGGGGTCATATCAGGATGAAACATCCCCTTGAACCTATAGAAACATCGATACCTCTCAAAGCAGTCAATATCCTGCATCAAAAATGTATTGGTTTTTGATTGGTTGAGAGCCTTCACATGAACATAAATATTTCAACCAATTTAAGGTTGCTCTGAAAAAGTACTATTTAGTAGTTGAAGAATTTTTTTTATTTACACTGTTTATTGATTTAATTTTTTGTAATAAATATTTGTTATTATAATATCTTTTTATTTTTAATTTTAAAATTTTAATATACTTACTCACCTCTTGCCCATAGTTTTAACCAGAACCTCTCAAGACAGTTAATATTTGTTTATGCTATGCCTTTATGGTGGCTCCATTTATCAAATTATGTTAATATCATTCTGAAAAAAATGTCAGTACTAAATGAAATGAAGAAAGGAAAGAAGGAAGACACATATTGGAGACACAGTCACATTCTTCTTTAAATAAATTTATTTCAGGGCCAAAATGATACACCGGACTTGGATTTTGAATATGATGATGCTCACAAATATAGCCATGAAATCGCAGGTAAGTTATTTTTTATTCATTAACCCTCTTTAGATATATATAAATTATATTTATTTATTTATTTTTTATTTTTTTAATTTACTGATCTATTGTACACCTTTCTTCATGAAATACATTTTTATATCTTCTAGATTATTTATTTTTTAATTTTTTAAACATAAAAAAGGCAAGTCACTTATTTAAATTTTCAATCCCCAATGTCATGGAAATTACATTGTAGTTCATATCAGTTTTCTTGTCTATTCTTGCGTGATACTATGATTGAAGTGGATTATGTACCCTCTTTGTTCGAAACAAACTTGTCTCTTTCAGAGTTATATAGTTACACTGAAGAACCAGAATTTTCTTTGGGTCAGAAGTGTTTTGAAGAGGATTTCCATTCCTATGGTAAGTTAGTGAATCATTATTTTTTTCCCATAATTCCAATGATGATTATATTAGAGCTATGATCATGTCAGCCAAATCTATTTGAATGATTTGAAAAAAACGTATTTAAAAATTGTTATGCATTAATGCTACAAGTTATTGGTTTGTAATCCAAATTTGTTTACTGCTGAATGACATGCATGATATGTGCAATCCAGTTTTATACATGCTATAGGCAGGCTAGAGGCAAATGGGTGTAGGTAAACCTTGTGTTATAAATCCAGTACATTTTGTTCTACTTAACATCAGAAATCAAATTGATACTGTTATTTATCCAAAAAAATAAAGATACATGTTTTTTATTGAACTTTTTGAGTGTAACATGTTATAGTCTCTGAGCCATGCATATTTATGTTGCTTTTATACTCCACACCTGTATAGCTGCATTGAAACATTTGATGACAGTGTTCATCTATACTGTCATTATTGTTTTTTTCGATTGATTGTTTTACATGAATATAGTTGATGAGAAATGGAGTCAGCTTGATGAGACGCGACAGGTGATGCACATCTTACATCTACAGAATAGCTTAGAATGCGCCAAGAGGGAACAGAGAATGAAAACAGCTAGAGCTGTTCTTTACCTTGCCCAAGGTAGGATACTATGCTATCAGAATTACAAAAACAAGGAGAAGGAGTAGGAGGGGGAGGGGAAGGAGGGGAGGAGGGGAGGAGGGGAGGAGGGGAGGAGGGGAGGAGGGGAGAAGGGGAGGAGGGGAGGAGGAGAGGAGGAGAGGAGGAGGAGGAGGAGGAGGAGGAGGAGGAGGAGGAGGAGGAGGAGAGGGGGAGAAGGAGAGGAGAGGAGAGGAGAGGAGAGGAGAGGCGAGGGGAGGTGAGGAGAGGAGAGGGAGGAGGGGAGGAGGAGGGGGATGTTAATATAACAATAAAATAATAATGTTTAACATTGAAAGGATAAATGGAACCAGAAAATAGCATTAAATGCTAATCGTGTCTGGTATCACAAACACACACAAGTATCATAACAATGAATGAGAATATATTGAATAATTATGAATAACTATTCAATACACAATAGCTACAAGCTATTCTACATCTAGCCTAAAATATGTTTTGAAAGTTATTACAAATCTTTGGTATTTTACACTAAATAAAAAGATAAAGAATTAAAGTTAAAAAAAAGGCAAGAACCATATTTCAAAGTTCCAAACAATTATTCTATTAACATGTTTGATAGTTCTACGAGAGCAAGACACTGATACTTTATTTTACTCATTGCTTGCAAGTATTGAGCCTGTCTAAAAAAAAAGATTAAAACAGTGGCTGAGAAAAATCAGTATGTTTTTTAAATATCCAATTTCCGTCAAGTGGGAAGTTCCACCCATATAAACTATACATGTGGTACACACTTTGAATAAAAGAATCACTTGTGTTTATGTCAAAAGGTGTATTCAGTGAATGTTCGTCGGAGGAGGACCAGGCTAAATGGTGTCGTCACAACTGTTTTCTGCTCTACAGATGTGGTATCTTTACCACATTTGTAGAGTTATTGTGCATGGAGGCAGAGTAAGTGGATCTTTACAAATTTAAGCCTCATTCACTGGTGATAAATAAGAAATCTTGCAGTATTAAGAAAAGCATTTTACATGTACCTGTAAGTTAATGACAAGTTGAGCTGAAAAAAGTTAACATGCAAAACCATGCTAAGCAGCAAACAAATAGATGGGAGCGGTAAACAATGTAGCTGTGGTAAATAGAAAAGAGCTTTGGTAAAAAACACTAAAATACCTAATTATAATATCAGTGTGAGAAAATAACAGTTATACGATGCCAGATCCTAAAAGAGCTCCCATCGACAGTATTTTTAACACTGATGCTAAATGTACTCACTTTAAGGAAAGCTTGCCCAAAGAAATAACTTAAAGAGAAGGTTGCGTTTATGGGAGAGGTGAAAAATAATTTGTGAGCATTAGCATTGTAATTATGCAAGTGTGAAATATTATACAAATAATACACAGCAGTGAGGGCATAGTAAGAATTACCCACATGAGGTACCCTTGGAAGCAGAATAATGTTCAGTTTCTCAGCAAGACATGGGCATTGCCATTTTCTTGATAATGTAACGTACTATGCAAAATCAACTAAATGTATGTGGATTGGTAGATTGGTATATTTACTGTAATTTCTATCCATCTAGAATCCCAATGAGTTAATTCTCTTTCCATTTCCTGTATTTTCTAAGGAACTCCGTTGCAGCTTCAACTGCTCTTCGTAAGCCTGCTGTATCAATAGTTGACAGTACAGATCTCAGGTAATATTAGCATCCCAGGAGTACGGATTATCAGATTTTATTTTCCATTACTTTGTGAATTTTGATAGGATGTAAATGATTTGAAGTTATCTCTCACTTGTTACTTTTATGAAACACATCACACATACTAATTGAATAATTTGTCCAATTTTTAATAAAGATTGCCTGAAAAAGCGTTCACCCCCTCTCCTCTACACCTTGGCAAGGCTTGCTGTAAAGATATGCACACTTGAAAGTGAGGGACGAAAGATCCACACTTTTTCATGGATTGCACAAATTTGTACAGATTTACAAAAGTCCCCTTGTTTTCAGGTATACATTCACAACTATGTTAATGAGACACCATTGTTGTTACAATACCGTTTTAGAATATTTTTGTTGAGCTAATGCCACCAATTGAGTATCGTGGCATAGTGATTAGTTCACAGGACTATCAGTCATGAGGTTGGGTGGTCAAATCTCAGTCTGGCACTAACATCCTTTGGCAATATATTGATCTATATATTTGAATGTGTTCCTCAATGCTTTACTGGTATGTTGTAGAAGCATCACTGCATGACAGATCAAACATGTAAGAGCAGTATATAGAAAGCCAGTATAAGGTGTAAAGCTTTGTTTGAATCTTTGCTGACAGGGTGGTACTGAGTGTTCTGTACATCATGGTTGAAACGCTTCGTACAGAGCGCCCTGAGGATACAGATGAAATGAAGACACAGTTACACAATTTCAAAGTAGAAATAGGTGAGTGCCTGCCTGACTTTGTATATTCTTTTGTTCTGTCCTGTTATAATAATAATAATAATAATAATCTTTTAAAGTCCACTCCAAATTTATTAAGTTAAACCAAAAATGGAAATTCTTTTTGCCCAATTGATTGTGAGCCCGACAGCCACTGAGCAGTGCCAGATCAATGTTGCTTTCCATCAAAAAATAGGTGAACACAGTTCTGGTTATATAATCAAAGCTGTTTACATAATGATATTTTCCCTGGCATCCCAGAATGCAGACGAGAAAACACTTGACATTTGCCTTTTCCACTTACCACTTAGCACTTAACACTTAACACTTACATGGCTTCATCCATTAGGATAGGTCATTAAAAAGAAAGTTATTTTGAGTGAATTTTGATTATTTCATGAGAAACAAATAACAAGGTAATATGCATCATGTTACCATGGAAATTTCATCTATATGTAAATCAATAAAGCCAAAATGATCTCCCTGTATCCTAGTTTCTTGTTGATTAACAAAAAGTTGTTTATCACAAATGTTGCTATGGCAGCATCTTATAGAACTGGTGATGAGGGCTTGACTATAAGATTTTCTCCATGTTGTAATCAATGATGTTTACTGCTCTTGTCAACACAACTGATTGTATGGGAAGCTATTATGCACTGCTTCAAGAATGTCTATGGTTGCCAAACTACCGATTTTTAAAAAGACACTGCCTCACAAAAATCGCAGACGAATGAAAATGCCCTTACCCAAAATTGATCTTAGTGTCATTTTACTCAGAGATATTTTTTCTGTTTTATGCCATTCTGTTAACAAAATAATCTTGAGATTATTACATGAGAATGATAAAGAACAGATAAAACACTACAGTTGGAGATGACACAGCCCGGTAGGATACATGGATAGGAAAACCAGATAAACGCTAAAATCATTGTTCGTATTACAATTGCAGACCCATTTAAGTAGAACATACATGTATGCCCATTTTTAGCCTCATCATTGACAGTTTTTCAATTTTCCTTTTTATCCTCAATTAATCTTGCCATTATGAAAAGAAGCACATGAACACAATCTTCTTATTCACTTTTTAAGCTTATGTTTCCTTCAGGTCATGTTTGGGTCATGTTTGCGTCAGATTCTAACGTTTTCAACTATGCGCGCTGTTTCACCCAAATCTGGCACAAATGGATTTTGACATGCCATTTTTAAAACAATGTTGCTTTGTGAAGTAATTGTGGATTAATGTCATCAGTGTATCATTTGAAAGCATTTTGTTTCTACTTTCTGAAAAGCAAGGAATCATACTTATACAGCTCATTTTTTGTTCACAATATCCAGGCTTTTTTTCTTGGATTCTCTATATTGTGTAATTTTAAATACTTGTTTGTTTTCTTCCTTATGATAGATAAGTATGATTATTTACCATATTTTCAAAATTGGTTTTTGCATTATTTTTGTCTTATAAATTTCAATAATTGTTAATATTGGACTTAAAGACTCATACTGTAACTGTGTAAAATAAGCGCACTAAGAGAATAATGATATCAGTACATGGAATAGATGCACTGTTGAAACACAACTTTGTTCATTCTTTTTTTCAGATTATTTTAGGTTTAAAGGCATTCCTATATCAAATTAAAAAGTTAGATAACCCTCATTGTATGTTCTGCTCCCAAGAACAGGAAACGTTACTTTATTTATTACGTCAATGCCCTAAAACTATTCCTTTGTGACAAATATTGTTTTGAATTCTTCTTTTCCTCATTCAATTTGTTGTTTGAAGTGAACAGAAATCTTGAATTTGATTCATGCATACATTTAATATTGCTCTGTTTACAGTTCTGTACTTATGTGGATTTCAAGGATTAGCTTCGGAGTTTAAATGTTCTTAGCTTTAGTGAAAGGACTCAGATAATTGAATACGTCATACATGTACATGTTGCTCAAAAACGGGGCAAATGTGGAAATAATCTGAGGAAGCGGTCTCTGTTTTATTTAAATATGGTTAATCCTCTACCTTATTTTATTTTTACAAAACATAGCCATAGACACACTTGTGTATTAAGTGATTTTAAATACTATGATAGCAACTTGAAATTAAAACTAATTAATTCTGTACGCGTCAGATGTTTTCACTGGTTAATCAAGCCTTGATTTGAATTGTTCATTATTTAACTTGTTGTTGGATGTTTTATTTGTATGCTATTTTGGTTGCAATAAAAATAAAAAGAACCCCACCATAATTTGGGCTTTAAATTTACATTAGAGACTCATTTTTGTCTCGCCTGCGTAGCAAAAAGCGAGACAAAGATGCCGCTTTTCCGGTGACGGCGGCGGCAGCGGCGGCGGCGTTAACATCAAAAACTTAACCTAAGGTTAAGTTTTTGAATTTTTGATATAATTTTTAAAGTATAAGTTCTTAGTCAATGAAACTTTGACTATAGGGTAATCAAGTATCCCCAATCATGTGAGTAGAATTTCAGATCACAAAGTCAAGGTCAAAGGTCATTTCATGTTAACAGACTTGGACTATGTTGTAGCGTCATCATCGAAAATTTAACCTAAGGTTAAGTTTTTGAATTTTTGATATAATTTTTAAAGTATAATTTCTTAGTCAATGAAACTTGGACTATAGGGTTATCAAGTCTCCCCAATAATGTGAGTAGAATTTCAGGTCACTAAGTTAAGATCAAAGGTCATTTAAGGTCAACAAACTTAGACTTTTTTGTGGCATCAACATCAAGATTTTCAAAATGCTTCTTCTTCATTATTTTTCAACAGATTTTGATTCTGATTGTTTCATATGATAGGGCTAGGAGGGGGATTTAAAGTTTCTACACAGAATCGTGAAATTCATTATCTATGCTAATTTATGCAAATTTATTCGAAATCACAAAAAAGGCTTCTTCTCCTTCATTTCTCGACCGATTTTGATTTGGTTTGCTTTATATCGTAGAGCTAACTTTGGTACACTAAATTTGTACACAGAATTTTAAAATTGTTCTCCATTAATTAATTATAGTAATTTATGCAAATGTATTCCAAAAATACCAAAATTGCTTCTTTTCCCTCATTTCTTGACCGATTTTGATTTGGTTTGCCTTATCTGGTAGAGCTAAATTTGTAACACTAAACTTCTACACAGAATTTTTTTTTTCTCCATTCATTATTTATGGTACTTTATGCAAATGAAATGAAACTATGTCCCTTCCAGGGCATCAAATTTTTATTTTTTGACCAGTTCAAAAGTGTACCACATAAAATCTACGATATTTGTTGTTGCGAGATGCGGATAAGCGCTACATCATTGACGTTCTGGTTTATCATATTGAATTGCGTTATGCAGGCGAGACCGCCGAGAGCGTTTCCCTTGTTTAATAGGAAGGCAGAAAGGGGGAATCGTTTGTTTTAATTTATCACATGCTTTTACTCTCTGTCCATGTGTGTAAGCACTTATCATTCCTATTTGACATATACCCTTCATTTTATGAAGACTACACTAGAGAAGTTACATGTACATGTACATGTGTATATATACAAATAAAATGTAATAAATGTTCTAATTTGTGGAAACTGTTCAGGTCAAGCTGTAAAGGACGATGATTCCCTTTCTATCATCCTCTTCAATATGGTGACTAAGTTCTGCAGCGGCCATGCTCCACATTTCCCAATAAAGAAGATTCTCCTTCTTCTCTGGAAAGCTATTCTGGTAAGTCTCTAGTGCTGTTTTCTGGTTAGCTCAACTTTGCACGAATATTAAAAAACAAGAATTATAGTGTCAAAATAATGATCTGAACTTGTAGTTGTAGTGTAAATAGTGTTATATTTCATCATTCAATGACTTAAAGATAAACTCCAGTATTGGTAAAAAAAATATAAAAAAATTCTCACAGAATCAAACGAAACTTACACTGAATGTTCAAGATTACAAATAAATGACATGTGCCAAACAATTTTGAAAGAAAATGTATACTGGCTGAGTAATGAGCATAGAAAGACAAGGAAATCAAGGTAGTACTAGCCCCGACACCATGAGTGTTGTCCCATATATAGCTTTCTATGTGAGTGCTTCTTACTTTACCAAGACTCGGTCAAATTTATTATGATTTTAATGACTCCAGAACCTTGCAGTGCACACCAATACTTACATGCTACATGATCAACTGTTTCTGATCCTTTCCACACCTTTTCTTTCACAATGCAATCGCATTACCAGTACTAAAGTTTATCTTTAATTACCTGTAAAACAACATGAGAGTTAACCAAAGGAGTAACACCCCCCCCCCCCCTCCCCCTGCAGAAGATACCTAATTATACAAGCTAAAGATTGTCGGGGGAAGGGGAGATTGAGGGGATATGTGTCACTTGTACACCACTTGATATTTTGCTCACCTTACAATTGTAAATGTTGTAATGTAAACTAATATGTAATCTGTATTCACATTATCAGATATCAATACATTGCTTATTATTCCCTCGCCGACGAAGTTGGAGGGGATATACTGTAGTAACACAAAACACAGCCTTACTTCGATTTCGGAGTACATGTATGTTCGTCAAATGTCATAGTTCATTAAATATGAAAAACCGATTAACTATACAAAAAAATTGGTTCTGTTCGATAACTTTAATAATGTTTGACAGATTTTAATGAAATTTAAAACGAAGGTACATGGTATCAAAATACAGCCGAAGTTCGAATTTGGAGTATGCAGGTTAAAGGTTAGGTCATTAAATATGCAAAAATGTGGTTTTCATTCAATAACGTGAGTAATGTTGTGGAGCATGTCAATGGTCACAGCTCATTAAATATGCAAAAATTGCTAATATACAGGTAGGCCATTTGTAGTTTTTGTACATGACGAGGGGATGCTACGCTTTGCGTTGACTTGTTTATAAGTGGGTTGTGATCCTCTTTTGACATGTTTGCTGATATAAAGGATTTCTTTTCTACAGTTTTCCTTGGGTAGTCTGTCGGACTACTCACAGATGAAACAGACAGCAAGAAAAGCAGCAGGTCTAGCTCCCGTTAGAGAAGATACAATGACTGTTGCTAAGACGATGAGGGCGTCCTCTCCTCCGATGGGAGCAGCTGAAGTCTTTGACCCCCAGCGCAGGTCATCTAGACAAACTAGAAGGGTATTGTTACACATCAAATCTATGTTTTTCCACACATAAAAGAACAAACAAAGATATTACAATGTTCTATCACATTTTTAAAAGTGATATGTAATTTTTTAAATGGCCCTAACATGTGGAGCAATATGTGCAGTGCTTTGTAACTGCGAAAAAATGGCGCTTTGTCAAATACCTTTTGGATTGGATTGGGATTTACTCAGTAGTTACATTTCAGTAGATACATGTATATTCTAAAGGATCTCATGTGATACATACACTGTACATGCATGCTTTATTTCTCTTGATAAATTAGAACCTTGTCCCCCCCCCCTCCCCTTTTTCTCTTCTCTCTCTCCCTCTCACTATCTCTCTCTCTCTCTCTCTCTCTCTCTCTTTCTCTCTCACACACTCTCTCTTTCAGTTTAGTTTGATTCTTGATTGTTAAATTGTTGTCGCATCTGATTATTCCCATTGTTATGTAATTGGATTTTCCTATTTAATTTAGAAACTGTCCTTGTTTATAGTGTTTATATTGTCGTTGTTCTTTCCCCATTATTGCTATGGTCACATGTTTTGAGTTACCTCACACTCTTTTATCTTGTTTAATGAAGGTATCTTTAGAAAAGTTTAATATGAAGGAATATAGAGACACTTCAAATGTGTGATAAAATACATAAAATAGAACAGGAGTGAAAATTGCCTCTTATATACATTCTAATATTAATGTGTAGAAAAGTAGAATCTCAGGCCTTAAATTGGAAACGGCCTGTCATTAAAATCTGAGAAAGATGCTTTTGAAAGTTTGAAAAAAATCAAATAAAGAATACAAATTTCACTAGTGATATAAGAAATTTTCATTTGCAACGTGGTTACATAAGTGTTATGTCATATAGGAAGAATTCCTCCATTTGTTCATTATTTTCTTAACACACACAAAAATCAAGAAGTACTTCAATAATTTCTTTTGGACAAATGCTTGTAAGGTTTTGAAAATATCAGAACTCTGACTTCTTCATGTAAGAACCAATAGAAATGGGAATTTCTGATATTGATTTACATGAAAAATAGACTATGTTATCTTGTCCCTTGTGTAAGTCACATGGACTGTATAATAGTTGACAAACATATGCTGCCAAGATCAGAGGAAAGTGGCTCCAAAAAGCCCAATTCAGGAAGGATTAAGATGGATGAAAATGGGTGGTTTTCACAATATTAGTATCTTTCAAATATTGATACTATACATTTACTTGTTCTTTGATAAATTTTCTCAAACTTTGACTGACATGTTTCTTAGATATTCATGTTTCCACTTAGGTTGATCTTTCTCAAAGTGTTCATTCCCCTTTGATATAATCCTAAAACACATTAGAAGAGCTTAGCAATGTTTGGTTGATTTTAGAGAATAGACAGTAGTTGACTTGGAATCACTATTGGCAGCTGTTTTCACTTTTAGAGCAGTCACCACTTTTTATAGAACCTTCAAATATGTTTACTGGGTCATTCTCGGTGCTCAAGGGGTACATGAACATGACCAGTCCATTTTTACTGATTAATATAACAATAAAAATGAATTGTTCTTAAAAATCTACCCCCTGAAGGTATGTGGAAAAAGTATATTGGATATTTGTGTTGCATTGTTTCCTATCAGCGCTGAAGGCTTATTAGCGTAAATTAGTGATATAGGATTAGCAACGCCGCTATCATTCGCTATCCAATACCGTTTTTACATGAACTTCAGGATAGGGTTTTGGCAACGATCTGCATTTATTGTTATTACCAGTCAGATGGGCCTGGCCCCTTATTGCATGAATGCTCATCATCTTACAATGTTTATGCAGTAACTAAATGTAGATTTTCATTGCACGGCAAAGGTTGAGAGGAAGACTGTAGAAAAGATGAAAGCAGAGTGTCGCTGCAAAGTCACTCCTTGTTTCTCTTGCCTTCAAATCTATCTTTGACATGTTCTTGTTGGGAAAAAAACTATGTGTGGTTTATTTTGATGGGTTTATTTTATTTATTGCCTAACCTGTTGTTTTTGTTCTATTTCCTTACCCCATAGGTTTAGTAATACTGACTTGCATGGTCATTTGGGTTGAACAATTAACACTTATCAAATTGAAGCACATCCTACACTATGCAATTTTGTTGATTTAGATTTTAACACTAGTTCAATCTTAATCTTCCTCTTTTTTTTTAAAGCTGTAGTTAATGTCTTAACAAGACCTTAACTAGCAACATTCAAATTATATCACAATAATGTAGCTTGAATAATATAAAGTTGTTTTCAGCGATTTTGAAAAGCTTTATTATTTATGAGATATTTAGAAGAAAAGAAAACAGAGATCTGATGTTCTACTAATCAATGAGGCAATTGAGTAAGGACACATTTTGTTCTCAAGATATGAATGATAATGCCATTTTCCCTTTCCACCTCACTTTCCTAAATGGTGTCCTCTGTTTTCTCCAACAAATGGGGAAAAAACCACCCACACACACCTTTGTTTCTTGTGGAAATCAACTAATTGCCCTGACCTTTCACCCTTGACCTGACCTGATTCTGCTGTTGCTGCTGGTTGCCCATCATCACCCGTGACCCACCCTTGACATCATTTGCTTCTCGTGTACGTGGAGTGTTGAGTAGTTACTACAGTTATGTATTGTTTCTGTATACATTCATTTAATTGTTTCCAAATTTGACAAGTTGCATCCTCGTGTCAGCAATAACTTTGTGTCCAATTCACTTGTTTGTTTGGCTTCCTCCCCACTTTTCTTTTAATGTAAATTTGTTGCATGCTTTGGGTTTGTAATGAATCCCTTGTTTTGGCATTAATATCAAATGTAAAGTAATATGTTCATGTTTGAATTGGTCATTGTGACATTGATTTGATTTGAATGAATGCAGCAGAAGATTATTCCCTTTTATCCTCATTCAATAGCTTTACATCCCTGTAAAACGATGGGGTTTAATGTAATATTAGATATCTCTAAACCATGGTGGCAGTGGGGGGGTGGGGGGGGTGGGGGGGGGGGGGGGGGGGGGCAGTGGAACACGAATTGGGCTTATTTTTCATGTAAGCTTACATGTAGTTTGAAATAATCCTCAATTTTTTGTTTTCATTGTCTGGTGGGATTATCACAGTCTAATAGCAAGAAAGCAAATTTTTCAAAATATAAATGTATGCATTCATTTGTGGATGGTACACAATGCCTATGTTACAGTAATCCAATTCTGAACAAAACCAAGCAACTTTACCTTTTTCTTTTCTTTGTTATTTTATTGAGTGGAACTCAAGCCAGATTGGTTGCAGTTTTATGTCATTGGTATTGGATTAAAAAAAAAAAACATTAACAAATTCTTGGTCACATGATTGAAACAGAGAACACTCATGCATGTGTTAATGTAGAATGCACTTAAAAGCTTAACTCTGTTTATTAAAATTGCATGTATTGCGCATGAACTTGACTTATTTTAAAATCATGGGGCATTCATTTTCTACAGCCTTATTTGATCTAGGTATATGGATTAAAACCATTTTCAGCTGCAGCTATACAGATACAGAATATAGAGGGAGGGTATTCATATATGTGTATACAGTATTCAAGGAATTCCTTCCTACCGGTACCTATACATTTTAATCATTATAAAATGGGTATTAATGGCATCACTACTGATTTTCCACACTAAACCTAGCACATAATTAGTGACAATAACAATCAGATTAAAAAATCATTTTACATCACTTACACACATGTCTTATTGGGCTGTTTAATACTGAAATGAGCTTTACTTGAACTCAGCCTGACTAGGATTAGAAACACACACACAGACAGACTGACTGACTGATCAATATCTTGCAGACATCATTTCATTTCAATTCATGCGTGTGTTGCACTCAATGATTGCTTCACAGATATCTCTTTCTTTTCTTTAGTTGATGAAACAATATTAAGGTTAAGATAAATGTTAACACTTATACATAAAAAGATTGGAATGTAATATAAACATGTTATTTCATATACTGTAGTAAAGATTAACTTATTAGGGTTGTAATAAAGAGATCATGTTGCAAAGATTGGCTGGCTGTACTGAGTACTGTAAGCCATAAACTTGTGACATGAAATTTCTGAGAATTGTATTTGAGAGCCACTTTGCTGAAAAGAAACTTTTGTAAACCCGAACCATCCACAAAATTCATGAAAGTTTAATGCATGCCAAAGTATGTGGTTTTGCCTTGGTTAGAAACTGAGTGTCTCTTTATGATATTAAAGATAATCGTTGAGGTGCTCTGACTTTGTCAATCGATTGCAAAACAGGGTTTGGTGAAACAGAATGGAATAGATGAACCTATGCCTGAGGATCCAGCCGACCAGGAGAAAGAGGATGGAAATGGGAAAGAAGATGGGAGTAATGGAAGTGATGAAGATGAGGATGGGAATGGAAAACCACCTGATACACCAAGAGAACCTAGGGTTCTACCATGGACACCTAAAGTCAGGTGAATGGGTTTTATGATCTTTAAGAATAGAAATGGGAAAGAAGATGGGAGTAATGGAAGTGATGAAGATGAGGATGGGAATGGAAAACCACCTGATACACCAAGAGAACCTAGAGTTCTACCATGGACACCTAAAGTCAGGTGAATGGGTTTTATGGGTGTTATGGGTTTTATGAAATTGAGGTGTGTGGATGGGTTGTCTAATCTTGAAGACTAAACATTTAGAATGATAGCAGTAGATGTGTTGTATGGTCAGTCTTCAAGAGTTCAAGTCCTCATGCTATCCAGTCAGTGGGAACTCCAAATAGCCTGGTATATAAAGGGTCAACTTTACTATGAAACAGTTAAAAGCATACCTAGACAGTTAAAGTGGAGTTCATGAAATTACTTCATTATCATTACTTCATTTTTAATGATTTTTCAAGATTGTAATAAAATACCTGTGTATATGTTTTGATTGTTTTGTTTTGTTTTGTTTTGTTATGTTTTACAGACAAAGAGACCTTGATAATTTCTTGGATCACACCAGGAACAAGTTTGTAGGCTATCAAGTATCATGGTGAGTGAATCCATACTGATATAAAATGCTACCCCCCCCCCCCTCTCTCTCTCACTTTGACCCCTTCCTCCCTTAGTGAATCCATAATGATATCAAATGCTACCCCCTCTCTCACTCTCTCTCCCCCCTTCCTTAATGAATCCATAATGATATCAAATGCCACTCTCTCTCCCCCCCCCCCCTTCTTAGTGAATCCATGATATCAAATGCTATCCCCTCTCTCTCTCACTCTCCCTCCCCCCTCCCTTAGTGAATCCATAATATCAAATGCTACCCCCTCTCTCTCTCTCTCTCTCACTCTCTCCCCCCCTTCTTAGTGAATCCATAATGATATCAAATGCTACCCCCTCTCTCTCTCACTCTCCCTCCCCCCCCTTAGTGAATCCATAATATCAAATGCTACCCCCCCCCTCTCTCTCTCTCTCTCTCTCTCTCTCTCTCTCTCTCTCTCTCGCTCTCTCTCTCACTCTCTCTCTCCCCACCCCTTCTTAGTGAATCCATAATGATATAAAATGCTACCCCCTCTCTCACTCTCTCTCCCCCTCCCTTAGTGAATCCATAATATCAAATGCTACCCCCCCCCCTCTCTCTTTCTCTCATTCTCTCCCCCCCCCCCTTCTTAGTGAATCCATAATATCAAATGCTACCCCCCCTCTCTCTTTCTCTCATTCTCTCCCCCCCCCCTTCTCAGTGAATCCATAATATCAAATGCTACCCCCCCCTCTCTCTTTCTCTCATTCTCTCCCCCCCCCTTCTTAGTGAATCCATAATGATATCAAATGCTACCCCCCTCTCTCTCTCTCACTCTCTCTCCCCCCCCCCCCCTTCTCAGTGAATCCATAATGATATCAAATGCTACCCCCTCTCTCTCTCTCACTCTCCTTCCCCCCTCCCTTAGTGAATCCATAATATCAAATGCTACCCCCCATCTCTCTTTCTCTCATTCTCTCCCCCCCCCTTCTTAGTGAATCCATAATGATATCAAATGCTACCCCCCTCTCTCTCTCTCACTCTCTCTCCCCCCCCCCCCTTCTCAGTGAATCCATAATGATATCAAATGCTACCCCCTCTCTCTCTCTCACTCTCCTTCCCCCCTCCCTTAGTGAATCCATAATGATATCACATGCCACATTGACAAACTAATAACAATTGCTCAACCAAGAGCAGATATAAAGACAGATTGTATTTAATTTTTAACATAAAAATCAGACTGGCTCTTTAATGATATCTGTTTTTATTCACTTCACTTTTCAGAGAGTCTACTTCACAAAAGTACAGCTTTTTACAAGTGCCTCATCCGCATCATTATCAATGTTATATTCTGCTCTCAGTTTATCTGACCAATAGATTGAATACAGTACAACTATGATGTATTTTTATGCCTCCGCCACCGAAGGTGGTGCCGGAGGCATCATGTTTTCGGGTTGTCCGTCCGTCCGTCCGTCCGTCCGTCCGTCCGTCCGTACGTCCGTCCCGTTTGACCATTATCACAATATCTCAAGAACCATTTAAGATTTAAACTTAAGACTCGGGAATAGTATTTATCACCATAGGAAGACGATCTGATTAGATTTTGGAGTACATAGGTCAAAGGTCACAGGTCACAGAGGTCAACTTATGAAATTCCTTGTATTGAGTTTGTTAGCGCGATATCTCAAGAACCATTTGAGATTTAAACTTCAAACTTAAGGATAGTATGTATCACCATAGGAAGACGATCTGATTAGATTTTGGAGCACGTATGTCAAAGGTCAAGGGTCACAGAGGTCAACTTATGAAATTCCATACATTGAGATTGTTATCATGATATCTCAAGAACCACTGGAGATTTAAACTTCAAACTTAATGATAGTGTGTATCACCATAGGAAGACAATCTGATTAGATTTTGGAGCACTTAGGTCAAAGGTCAAAGGCCACAGCGCACATTATGAATGCAAAAACAGCTTGTGATCGCGTTATCTCAAGAACCGATTGATGGATTCATGCCAAAATTAGGTCATGTTTGTTACTTGCAGAGCCAATGAACCAGGCACAGTGGAGCACCCCAATTACCGTGCGATCGACTCTCGTCCAGTAAACATCATTTGCATAAAATCAACAATTGTGTACCGATCGATGCGAAAAAAAGTAAACAAATTTCGAAGACAAATTCTTCATTACTGTGATGAATATCACCAATCAAAGCTACTAAATCGAGTATTGAATAAATTTGCAAGACACTCATGTGTATAAAAAGAGTTATTGATGCACAGAAAATGTGAAATTTAAGGGATAGTTTTGACGAACAAAAACGAAAAAAACGCAGAGCTGCCAACTAGTACGGATTTCCCGTAATTGGTACGGAAATTAACGACCATTACGGAATGTTGTCTCAAATTACGGATTTTTAAAAAAAAATGATTTTTTTTATTTTTATTTTTTTATTTTTTTATTTTTTTTTTTTTTTTTTTTTTTAATAATTTTTTTTTTTTAAATAAATTAAATATGATTTATCGTAGCGAGTGCTGTGAATAGAAGCCATTTTTCAAGATAAACTGTGTTGTGATGACCTGAAATTCAATATTTAACATCTTTGTGTGAGTAAAATCACCAAATATTTCAGATAATCATGCGTCCGCGCAGTGTTGGCGTGCCGTTTTTTTAGATTCATAGCGCCGCATAAGAAATTACTGATTTATACCCCAAATTACTGATTTTGAGCCTTGTGATTACTGATTTTCTGTTCTGGAGGTTGGCAGCTCTGAAAACGAGGTACAAAATCACCGTAAAATTCACCATTTCTTTTAGAGCGAGAAAGAATTGCCTCGTATGAACAGAAAGAAAATTTAATAATCTCAATCCTTGTGAAATATCTCTTTTCATAGTTGCTTGATAGGGTCGCAACAGAGAAAAACATACCCCAATGTCCGAATCTCATCGAACAAAAATAATCCTTCGTTGTCGCAAAATTGTTTGACCAGTCCCATACATTCAAATGTGTGTCATGTCTGAACCTCGCGTGTGCGTTGGCTATACATGTCTTGCCAGCCGACTGCACACGTGCACGCTAATGGCTCAGCTGTTTCGATCTGGCCTGCACCGGGCCTAAGACGCATGCGCAGTACATCGCTGAGATCGATGACGTCATGTTCAATGAGTTCGCTGACTACAACTTTTAAAAATGAAGCCCCATGAAAAAGAACGTTATAACCAAAAAAAATACAGCGGAGAAGCGAAAATTTCGCCCATGTATGGATTCATACCAAGTCTCTTCTTCGTGCATTGCTTGATAGGGTCACAAACTTAAAAAGTAGACGTCGTGTTTTTCGAGGGGCGAAGCTCAAAACACATTAATATCTCGAGTTTTATTCCATGGAATTTCGTATTTATTTCAATGACATCAAATTCATAATAATTTTAGTTAGCATGGAAAGTTTCATAGCGATATTGGCAGTAATAAAGGCGCAACGCGAATTTTAAGATTTGACATTCTAGCACACACATGTTCGGATTCACGCAGATGTCCGTTGGTTATTCAAATAGAACGGGCCGCTAATGATATGCAAATTGGGGTGCTCCGCCGTGCCTGGAACTGAGTAGATTCTTTGTTCATAAGGTCAAAGGTCAAAGGTCATGGGCCCATTATGTATGCAAAAATAGCTTGTGAATGCATTCTCATTAGAACTGACAGATGGATTACTATTTAACTCAGAACATCTTGCAGAGCCAATGAACTGAGTAGGTTTTATGGTCATGAGGTCAAAGATCAAAGGGTCATATATGTATATGAGAAATTGCTTGTAATCACAATATTCTGAGAACCTGTCAATGGATTACCATTGAACGTGAATTCAATTATTTTTTTTCTGTTTTGGTTTGTAAAATTGCTCTATAACGGAGGCATCATTTTCGACTGCGCGCAGTCGAATTCCATCTAGTTTTTTCTTCATTTAGTTACCTTTGTAAAATAAAAAAGGGAAAATAAATGGTTTTGTTAATGTGAAGATCTATTTAATTTTGTTGACAGTGACACAACAACTCTTGCCGGCCTTCCCCATCCCATTCATGAAGGGGTTCAGGTCCTGAAAAAAGTAAGTTTGCAGAATGTCTTCATATTAAAATTGTCAATATGATATATTGTACAGGATGTTGACTGGTAGGATGTGTAAATTTGAATCCCACCGTGGCACTAGTGTCCTTTGGCAAGACATTGATCTACATTTGCCACACTCCACCCAGGTGAAGTAAATGGGTACTGGTAGGAAGGAATTCCTTGAATGCTGTGAGATCCGAAATCGGTAGCCTAGCAGAGCCGGAGTAATATTGGAGCGCTTTGAGCACCTTGCAGGGTGGATATGTGCGCTATATAAATATCCAATATTATTATTATTATTATATGATAGTTTTTGTCTCGCCTGCGTAGCAAAAAGCGAGACATAGGCGCCGCTTTTCCGGTGACGGCGGCGGCGACGGCGACGGCGACGGCGACGGCGACGGCGTCAACATCAAAAACTTAACCTAAGGTTAAGTTTTTGAATTTTTGGTATAATTTTTAAAGTATAAGTTCTTAGTCAATGAAACTTTGACTATAGGGTAATCAAGTATCCCAATCATGTGAGTAGAATTTCAGATCACAAATTCAAGGTCAAAGGTCATTTCAGGTCAACAGACTTGGACTATGTTGTAGCATCATCATCGAAAACTTAACCTAAGGTTAAGTTTTTGAATTTTTGATATAATTTTGAAAGTATAAGTTCTTAGTCAATGAAACTTGGACTGTAGGGTTATCAAGTCTCCCCAATCATGTGAGTAGAATTTCAGGTCACTAAGTTAAGGTCAAAGGCCATTTAAGGTCAACAAACTTAGACTTTGTTGTGGCATCAACATTAAGATTTTCAAAATGCTTCTTCTTCGTTATTTTTCAACCGATTTTGATTCTGATTGTTTCATATGATAGGGCTAGGAGGGAGATTTAAAATTTCTACACAGAATCGTGAAATTCATTATCTATGCTAATTTATGCAAATTTATTCGAAATCACAAAAAAGGCTTCTTCAGTTCTTCTCCTTCATTTCTCGACCGATTTTGATTTGGTTTGCTTTATATCGTAGAGCTAACTTTGGTACACTAAACTTCTACACAGAATTTTGAAATTGTTCTCCATTAACCCTTACTGTACTGGGCTATTTTGAGCACCCACTGACTGGGGGGGGGCCTGGGAGGCCCCCCCCCCCTATGATCTCGGCCGTCGATTGTCCGATGAACACGAAAATTTGCATGTTTGTAGATATTTACGTAAGGAACAAGATGGTATAATTAGTTTTTTCCGAATATGCAAATTTTTGTCGTTAGCCTAATTAATTATGCAAAATGCGCTAATTTTATGCATTTTACCGAAAACGTGTCAAACTCCACTTTTTGAATGTTGAAACTCATTATCCATATGAAACTTCTTTTCTCACACAAAAAAGTTATTTTAATGTAATTAATAATGATAATTTATGCAAATTTTGATGCGATTTTCATTTTTCATTTTTTTTTTTGATGACATGCGCATACTAATTGTTATGTAACGCCTTACAGGTATATCCGATTTCGACGAAAATGGTATCAAAATGTGCGTAAGACTTGAGGGAAAAAAGTCATGAAACGACAATTCAAAATTCCAAGCGGTTGCGGCGCAATCTCCGAAAATGTCGAGGGGGGGGGCCTCCCAGGCCCCCCCCCAGTACAGTAAGGGTTAATTAATTATGGTAATTTATGCAAATCTATTCCAAAAATAACAAAAATTGCTTCTTTTCCCTCATTTCTTGACCGATTTTGCCTTATATCTGGTAGAGCTAAATTTGGAACAATAAACTTCTACACAGAATTGTGAGATTTGGCTCCATTGATTATTTATGGTACTTTATGCAAATGAAATGAAATTATGTCCCTTCCAGGGCATCAAATTTCTATTTTTTGACCAGTTCAAAAGTGTACCACATAAAATTTACGATATTTGTTGTTGTGAGATGCGGATGAGCGCTACGTCATTGACGTTCTGGTTTATCATACTGAATTGCGTTATGCAGGCGAGACCGCCGAGAGCGTTTCCCTTGTTTGAACTCCAAAGGAAGTTATATTTTCCCCAAGGGTTAATATTTTCATGTAGCGTACTGCTGAGGGATAATATGATCACAAGTGAAAATATAACTTGTGTGCGGTCCAAAAATGTGTCATTACACTTCCTACCAGTCAATATCTGTAACTGTTATATTAGAAAGCCTTCATTACACCTTGTTTCTTGAGCCATACAGCCTTCCACGTCAAATATGCGTGGCTAAGACAATTATGCAAACAATGGGTACACGCTAATGCGTGCAGGATTGCATAGATAGGTATGATGTAGAAATATACTCATTGGACAGGATGGTCACTATAACATCAACAAATGACCAGGGGGGTTTACAAAGATCCTAAGTTGAACTTAACTCTAAGTTGGACTTAAAAATTATGGAGAGCCATTTGTAGCCTCAAAATTAATTATTTCCAAAAGCAAAAATTGAAGTATTTTAGACTTTTAATAAATTCCACATCGAGAACTTGATAATAGAAAATATGAATGATTTGAATCAACTTTTTATGCCTTTTAAAATAACTTTTACAAAATATTTTCATAGATGCTAACGGCTTTCCATAACTGTTAAGTCCAACTTAGAGATAAGTTCAACTTAGGATCTTTGTGAAACATCCCCCAGGAGTAAAATATGCTCATTTTAATCCTCGCAATCGATATCACGTGAAGAGCGATGGACTAGTTGCAACTTTGTTTCTATAAGAGTGATCTTATATTGTTATACTTAACATGAAACCCTATCAAATAAAGCTCCCCAAAAGTGTTCAAATCATCAACGTGTTGAAAGAATACCGGGATCTATGAATGATTGTAAGTGACTTGCTTGTGCACAAATCTCTACATGGAAATCCTACTGGTAATCTACATGGTAATATTGGGGCTCATTCTTCTGTGTCAGTGTCAACATCCTAAACCATCTTATTCTCAGATTGATGTCTCTTATCTTTCTTTCTTTCTAGCATGTGTATGTGTCACTGTCTGAATTACAAGTCAAGAGAGAGGAGGAAATCAACAAGAACCCCCTTTCCAAGGTAAGATCAGATGGCTCTTCATTGGCTCATCATCAATGTGTATGGAGGTTCAATTCTTACTATGCCACCAGGTATATCTATGGTTCTAAAACATATTTAACAATATAAAAACTATCATGATCATATCAAATTTTGAATAATACCCTAAGATATAGAAGTATATTGATTTAGATTATGATGACACTTGCAAAAGATTCTACATGTATAGGGTTTGTTGTGGCAATACCATACCTGCCAACCCTTCAGAATAATCCGAAATATTCCGTTTTGAGGGATTTCTAGGACCTGAAAATCCAGAATATTCTGATTTTTTTTTTTTTTATTATTGATTTTTTTTATAATAATTTTTAAAATATTTTATTTATTTATTTTGTGCTAAAGCAAATTTAAGCTCGTTTTATAATGTGCTGCGATTTGGGAGTTCACGTATTGTGTGCATTGAATGGCTACATGATCGAGCAGCGAACTTTTATTCGCTTTTTAATACAGATTTACCGCGTATTGCCAGTTACACTGCCGCTGCAAGTGCGATTTCTTTTTTTCGAAGGCATACTGTGCTAAAAATTCTTAATTCTTATTTTCAAATGTTGGCAGGTATGCAATACCTGTATATGTACATGTGTTATGATGTTACTATAACATGTATTTGAAGGAGTAGCTGGTTTAGTTTAGTTTAGTTTAGTTTGTTTTATTATCATATCGCAGCCTCAGCTGAATTACATGACAATTCACAATTAAATTAAAAATAACATTTCATTTCAAAACAACATATTTTTATAATACAATGCATTTATAAAGGTATATACAGAATAGATACTTTGCATGTGATATAATTAATATTAGTTAATCCAAAAAACACATAAATACTTAGTTTTCTTAACCTATTTCCAGAAAATATCTTACAATGCTTGTCTGTAGTTGAAAGAGTATTCATGAATTTCATTAAAAGAAAGAAAAGAAATTTTGGATGGAATACTTTAAACCTTTATCAAGAGCCACTTCTTTTTATACTTATGTAGATACTTATTTTTTCCATATTTCATATAATAATGAAATTGTGATACAACAGTGGAAAGGATTTGGTTAAATTGTAACTACATGTATTTGTTGTTTTGATGATGTTTACAGGGAGAAGGAGATTCTGCATCATCGTCTGTTGAATCCCTCTACCAATCCATGCTACCTAATCTACCCCAGTACATGGTAAGACAGGAGCTTTTGAATTGGTTACTCACATTTCACCCTGTATAACCTACTATTCAATACAATTAATTTTGACGTCTTTACAAAAAACTGATTATATAATGTGATACTTTTAGTATATTTCATATTATGTTGTAATTTTGTCAATTATGTCAATTCTTTTTTGTGAAATGTGAAACAAAAATAAACTTGAACCTCTTTTATTACCTCAAAATATATAGACTTATATTTCTTGCAGCAGTAGGACTTTAGTAAGATTAGTGGCGATCTAGAAGCAATGCCCCCCCCCCCCCAAAAAAAAAAAGTTAAATTGAAAATTGAAAATATGGTGCAATAAACATCTGACATGGCCATGTACCTGTCTTTAAGCCTTTGGATAATGCACACTAACACCACAGGCTCTCTAACCAATCGGGAATATCTGTGAGATGATGGCCATCAGATAACACCATGTATTATGTGACCCTAGAGGGGTCACCTCATGGAGTCGCCTCATGGGGTCGCCTCATGGGGTCGCCTCATGGGGTCGCCTCATGGCCATGATGTAGCCATCACATCCAAGAATAGCACTGATTTTTATGTGGTAATCCTCATGGTGTCGGATGACATGATGTAATCTGTTGTGTTCCTCCTCGCTATAGATATCGCTTCTAAAGATCCTTCTTGCCGCAGCTCCTACTTCTAAAGCCAAGACTGAATCTATTAATATCTTGGCTGATGTTCTACCTGAAGAGATGCCGTAAGTACTCTCCATCAGACTCCTTGTGTTATTTGTATGTCCAACTGATTTGTTTTTCTAACAGAAATAGCTCTAGGTTACTTCCACACCATGGACTAGGTTCTTCGTCAGTTACAGCAGATTTTGCGCTGCTTTATGCAGGGCTGGCAGTCCTTCTTGTTCATCTCAACATGTATAGTAAGATTGAAATATCATATTGTAGAAGTATAACAATTATATCATTATTCTTGAAAAGATTTGGGGATTAACTTCAAACTTTACATCAATGTCTTTTTGGTATGTACCATCAAAGAGAATAAATGTTTCTCTTATAAAGTAGCCGAAAAACAAGCCTTTTGCTCTACCAGTAGATGTTCTTTTACGATCTCCCCTTTCTATTCTGTTTCAGAATCACTGTTCTACAAAGCATGAAGCTAGGAGTGGATGTCAACAGACATAAGGAGATTATTGTGAAGGCAATATCAGCTCTCTTACTCATCCTTCTCAAGCATTACAAGCTCAATCATGTCTATCAGGTAATCCGTCTCAAGCCCTTGTTCATAAATGATTAAGTAGTGAAGTATACCCTTTTCAAAAGGATTATTTCTTATATTTGAAAGAATTTGAGCACTCAGAATAACAATTTTGTATTCTGTTCTTATTTCAGTTTGAATTCATGAGCCAGCACCTGGTGTTTGCTAATTGCATCCCCCTTGTGCTCAAGTTCTTCAATCAAAACATCCTCTCCTATGTGGGAGCTAAGAACAGGTGAGTTTCATTATATTAATTATATTCATCATACATTAAACCTTTCCATGCCATGGATGGTAAACCCTGCCCTAGAATTAGAGTGTTGAACAATTTTTCAGAAGCTAAAATACATAGCTTCATACCATCAACAAACTTTATTATGTTGAAGCCTTGTTTTGTTATCTATTCTCTTGTAAATATGTGATATATTGTTTTTATACAAAAGTTTGAGAAAGTGGCATTGACAATATAAAAAAGCAATTATTAAAAATAGTTTATAAAACTCTTGTTTTTATTTTTTTGCTGGCATGTGACTTTGAAATATCACATTTATAAGTAGTAACAGATGGTCCAAATGTTTCCATTTGGGGTTCAAAAGATTTGTAATATATACTAGAAAAGGGAATTTTAATTAGTGTATCATGATCTGTAGCAGTTGGGGCATTCATAGATTTCATGTAAGGACTGGGGGTGGGGGGTATACTGTTGAGTACTTAATAAGTCTAGATGCGAGTGGTGAAGTAGGTGAGGTTTCACTTCCCCATGACAACACTGACATACTAATGATTTTGAAGGGTTGTATTGATACAATGTCTCAATGTGTTTTCCATTATACAGTATTCATGTGATAAACTTCCCTTCATGTGTCATTGGTGATCAAGCAGAGCTAACAGCAGAGAGTCTAGTAAGTACTACATGACAAGCTATTGCTTGAACATGTACCATATATAATAGTCATCTTGCCCCATTATGTCTTGATAGATACAATGTAGTATGATCAGAATGATAAAGAGAATGTTCTAACTAGAAGGTTGACTTTTAGGGAGATATTTTAGGACCTTTAAAATAAAGAATAGCTGGGTGTTGTGAGATGCCAACACTTCAACATTTTGAAGATCTATAATTTATTGTATTTTTATCCTTCATGTCAGTTCTGAACCAATCTACCACATTCTTAAAGTCAGATTCTGAGTCCTTACAAAATGTTTACAGAAATTTGTTTAATTTTGCATAAAATGAAATCCATACCACCACCTGTTCATACAATGAAACGATGTATTGTGTTAATTTGAATGTAGGAAGCAGGAGACAGCCAGCCATTCTGTTGGAGGAATCTCTTCTCATGTATTAACCTGCTCAGAATACTCAATAAGCTCACCAAATGGAAGCATTCAAGAACCATGGTAAGACAAGATGAGATGGAGCAGGAGTGGATTGAGTAGGATGGTGGTACCCATAATGAGAAGGCATCAACCCAGTTGTACATGCCAATAGGTGTTTAGCATCTTAGATCTTTTTTAGCAATAAAATGTGATCAGTATAATGGAACAGGCTGGAAGGTTAACTGAAAGGTTAACTGAAAGTGACAAACATTTATGCATATGTTTATATTCTTGGATGCAACGCTTGCTTTCAAGTTATCTTTATCTTTGTGTACTCCATTCACTCCCTCTAACAAAACAAAGAACTAATTACCAGCCAGTCAGTTGAGTTATTTATTGTCTTTCTACCAACTCATCAATGATTTCTTTGTTTGGTATCTTGTTATAATGTGTAGATGTTAGTAGTCTTCAAATCAGCCCCAATCTTGAAGCGCGCCCTGAAGGTCAAGCAAGCAATGATGCAGCTCTATGTGTTGAAGCTCCTGAAAGTACAGACTAAATACCTTGGTCGTCAATGGAGGAAGAGTAACATGAAGACCATGTCAGCTATTTATCAGAAGGTTCGTCACAGACTCAATGATGACTGGGCATATGGCAATGGTAAGTATGGTCATGCTCTTCTAAATCTCTACAAAAATAGCATTTTTAACTACATGACAACAAAATTCATCTTGAAAATTCCCATGACATTGATGTTTTTTCTATTTATGTATTCATTGATGCAGGCTAGGAATATGAAACCTTGCATTATCGTTTTCAGTATTTGTGAAAGTTTAAAGTCAATTAACACGGTAGCATTGCAAAACATACATGTGTGTGCAGATGTTGAGTAATAAGGAAAACTAATGAAAATGTAGAACCTGTCACAAATTCATCAGTGGTAAAGATATGCAGAAGTACCAATCCAACATAATGGAATTCCGACCGACACAACCACTTATTTGAGCGTCTTTTTCTCCCTCTACTTCCCACATTAGTTTCCTATTCTTACATATTATGAGAAGCTTTGGCGTGGTATGCACTTGTAGCTCAAAGAAAAACTTCTGCAATTGGAAGTGTTTGAGAGAATTGCTATGTTGTTATGATGGTTGTCTATCTTACCTTCAGACATGGATGCCAGACCATGGGACTTCCAAGCAGAGGAATGTGCATTAAGAGCATGTGTGGACAGATTCAACTCCAGACGATACGAACACAACAACTCGTCATGCTTACATCCAGAGCTGGCTCCGGTTGATAATAACTTACAGAGTGTACTTAGTCAGAAGGTGGAGTTGAGTGAAGAGTTCCAACGGTACTATGAGGTTTGGTTAGATAGAGAGGTCTTCTCAACACAGATCAACTGGGACCTGCTTCTTAGAGACCAGGTCTGCATATAGATATCAAAGAGCAGTTCCATAGAGGGACCAGGTCAATAGACCAGATCAACTGGTACCTGCTTCTTAAAGACCAGGTCTGCATATAGAAATCAAAGAGCAGTTCCATAGAGGGATCAGGTCTATAGACCAGATCAACTGGGATCTGCTTCTCAGAGACCAGGTCTGCATATAGACCAGGTCTATAGACTATAGGCCAGGTTTGTATGGAGAGACCACAGCAACTGGGACCTGCTTCTCAGAGACCAGGTCTGCATAAAGATATCAAAGAGCAGTTCCATAGAGGGACCAGGTCTATAGACCATAAGCCAGGTTTGTATGGAGAGACCAGACCAACTGGGTCCGTTTGGAGAGACTAGTTCTGTATGATCTGTGTATGGAGACTAGGCATCGGGGCCCATATTCATAAAACCTTATTTAGTCTAGTTGGCAACTAATTACATAGGCTATAGTACATAGATAGTTGACAACCAGGCTTAGTAATATTTTATGAATATGGGCCCTGGTGTGTATTTAGAGATCAAAGAACAGGTCCTAACATAAAGGCCAGAGACAAAATATGCAGAGACCCAAACCCAGATATAGGTCTTTCCGGACTAGACACACGATCTGTTATATAGAGTTGTGTGCAGAGACCGGACTCCAGGTCTATGTAGGGCCCAGCTGTGTAATGCTACTGATCAGGTGATGGTGATTCGTTGTGACAATATGACAGCATTAGGGCACCCCTCCTCTATCCTCCCCTAAATATTGGGGGGGGGGGGGGGAGGCAGGGGTTCATCATAGAATAAAAAGTTTAGATTTAAACAATGTCTTTGCTTAAATTACAATTCGCCTTTTTGGACACGTAGCAAAATCGTTTAAAAAAAGATGATAATAAAATAACAAATAGTGCTTATGAACCGCTTACCACCGAGTCTCTAAGCGGTAAGTGTTCCACGTGTTAAGTATCTTAGCACAAGATTGAATATCTTTTAGTTTTTAGATCTATTTAAGAACTCTAGGCCATGTTAAAACTAGACTTAAATACTAGTACTTGTAAATACAAATCTAAATCTAAATTACAATTGGAGGTTATGATGTGCTTATGTTTGGTTAAGCGTTTGATTTTGATTGTTCTTAACTATTATTCAATGGAAATTGAAAAGATTTTATATTCTTAAATACTGGAAATTTGCATTCTCGAGCATTACAGAATCTTACAGTGTTATGAAGCAATTTAAATTTTTTAAATTTTTTTATTTGTATCCAATTATTCATAATATCCCGTGGGGACAATACCAGCAGAAAAAAAATAAATCAGTCATTAGTAAAATCCTGTTAAATTCTAATGGTTCTTCTTCCCACAGACATCTTTGCCATACTACATGTATCTATTCATTTATTATAGCTTCACGTAATGTTTTTAGTGAAACGAAGTTGCTTTTAACTGATTAATTAACAATATTTATATTGACCAATGGGTAAAACATATTCCTCATGGTCACAAGTATTAAATTCAAATTTGTAGATTTATTCGGTTATATTTTATTTTATTTATATTGTTGCAATTTATTTTTAGTGTGCCATCTAGTTGCAGCTTTCTATGTCAGAGGGTCTTTTATTGTTTGAATGTATTACTAGGAAGCAGGTTGAATACATGAAGCTGGGATGAGTACAAGTTTGAAGATGAGTGAAATAAGTTTTAAAAGATAATCTGAAAATCTATTCTTTGTTGCAGTTTTATGGGTGCAGAATTAAGTTTGACTCAAAAGAACAGTGTGCTGTAATTCCTTCTACTTGGTTTGAAGCAAAATATCTCAAACAGAATAGATACCAAAAGATAGTGATTGTTTTTTGTTTTCAGGACTTGCATGAGTGTGATACAAACAACACTAGTTCTTCTTCATATTTTAATAGTTAAATACATCTGTGTATCACCCTACAAAGACATTCACTATCTGTATTTAGCCTTTTGTATTGATTATGTGGTAAGTCCAAGCTATTTTGTCCTGTAAGTTACCAACCACATCCAAAATGTTAGTGCATCTGAACATTGCATTAGGTTTAGAGGTCTATTAGACCTTCTACTCAGACCAATATAAAGTGACACATTCATTGTCAAGTATATGTTCATAACTCCTCAACACTTGGTAACATATGGCACACCTAATACATTGGACTTGACTTACTGCATGTAGTTCATTCCATAGCACATTCATATCGTTTATCAAATCATCCTTTGGCAAGATATTAACCTGCACTTGCTACTCTCCACCCAGGTGTTAAATGGGTACTCGGTAGGATGCGACCGTCATTGTTGGTCAAACAGTTTTGAGCGTCAAGTAACGCCTGGCTGGAATGCTCCCCAGGGACTGGAGATTGTGCACACAGTGTGTGCGGGCAAGCACTGAATCTAATGACCGGGGTAATAGTATATTTGTAAAGCGCTTAGAGACATCTTGTATTAAGTGCTATATAAAAATTAAATATTATTATTATCTATTATCTTGAACCTTCATGGATCCCAGTGTGTGCAAGGGTCCTTTTAAATGTGTCACACAGGCACAAAACTTTGTGACAGTATGGTGTATGGCATGGTCATATGGGCAGCTGCCAGTTTTTCTCGTTGGTTCTGTTGTCTTCATTCATATAATAGGATACTAAAAATTCTTACTTTACAAGAGGAAATTCAGTGATATCTTATCTTACAACTTTTGTTTTGTCAAGAATCATTTACAAGAAAGGAGTCTATATGATTGGGACAGATGCATGAAGATATTTTCAATATGTTGTTATTTCGAAGGACTAGCTACTGTTCATGTATGTATACAAGTATGGCTTAAGGGAATGACAACGTCACATCTATCACAATTGCATCTACTGGTATGTAGCTTATCACAATGATCCATGTATGTTTGTAATATTTGTACATAGTTTGTCCTTATTTAAAATTAAATAGATCATGCCATGTATCGTCGCTGTTTTCATGAAGTGACGGTAGTGAAAAAAAATTGCATTCACTTTGCGTTACGATTATTCTCACTACCGTCACTTTGTGAAAACAAGGACGGTATGATCTGCGAGCCAGAATCCTGCCTTGTGATGTGCCCATTTATGTTTGTCTTCTGATCCATTACAAATTCTACATCAACTAATGATTGACAGATGATGTCACAAGATCTGGAACATTTTTAAGGGTGGAGCTTAGAAGGTCTGAGAAAATTATTTTAAAAACTATTCAAAAATCTATGAAATATATTTAGATGTTTGAATAACAAATTGTAATTTTTATGCAGCACATCAACAGCAATCAACTTGTATTCCGATGTCAACCGACCTTTGAATAACAATACTTTGAATAACCGTAGACCTATTTTGACGAAAATATCAAAGTTGCATTTGGTAGGAGAATCGACAGAAAAGTCAAGGGGTAGATAAAGAATAGAGAAAAGGGAAGAGAAGAGAGAGAGAGAGGGGGAGACATACAGAGAGAGAAAGAGATAATAGAAGAGAGAGAGAGAGGGGTGGAGACAGAGAGAAGAGAAGAGAGAAAGAGTGGAGGGGGCAAAAAACGAGAACGTATGTAGGTGGGTGTGTGTGTTCTGAGTGAGAGAGAGAGAGTTAGAGAAGGAGGGAGAGAGAGGGAGGAGATGAAGGAAGAGGCAATGAGAGGACAATTTGTTATACGAACAGAGACGAATATTTACACCAATATTTCAAATCTTTAAATTTGTCTTTATTTCATTAAAATGTACAAGACCATAATACGACAACAAGATTAGTGTAACGGAGAGAATGTAATTACAAATGTATCATAAAGCACTTGCATTTTATTTCGCATCGTGTTATTTTTTTCAATAGTTTACTTAATTATCATTCTGCTTTATGATAAGCTTATCATTTCATTTGGATTGTTACCTATCCTCACATTCCTCATATAATTTCGACATTCAGAAAAAACGGATTAAACCCAAAATTTAGGATGCAGGAAGATTCACGCCAGAATCTTATTTCAGTTTAGTGTAGATTTCTCTTGCATAGCTGGATATGTAGACAAAAATCAAGATTATTTCAACATATAGTTATATCAAATATTGCACCACTTTTCAAAATATACAAATATCGTCCCGTCGTAATAATAATGCTCGTAATAACGAGATACTCATTTTCTTGCAAAGATAATTCACACTATATATTTGGAGACACGAGCAGTCGTTTCTTTCTTGTTCATTTAAGGCACATTGTGAAAAACCCTCTGCTGAGTTTTTAAAAGTTACATAATGATTTATAGTATTACCCAAAACTCGGTAATATTAAATATACTAAGCAGTAAATATCTTGTTGTTGCTAATATTAATGACGATGATGATAGATCTTTAATCAATTATGATTGAGATGATACAGATCTAATAGATCCTAACTTATGCATATCATTTGATTTTGAAAAATATCACATTCTTAATTATAAAAAACTTCATGAATTTGAATGGAAAGATGAAATGTAAATATAACCAAATCAATCAATAACGAATGATGAATATAATTTGTTTTTAAATTCATTGATAATTCACCAATAATTCACTAGGTCAAAAATTCCCAGGATATAACAGTTTCTTATCATACACGTACGTAGCACCATATTCTTAATCAGAGTATTTCTGTTCACTTCATATCAAACCTCCTCACCAATTTGACAACACTGCATGCGATTTATGATACACATTTACAAAAGTTAAAATATGCAAGCATTTAGGCTTATAAAATATACATCCCCCAAATTTATACATACATTCTCAATATGTTGTAATACAAATTTCATCATTTTACATCACGTATTTACAAACAAAAGGAGAGAGACTTGGTCATCTTTTTTCCGACATGCTGGATCTTGCTTTTAACATTATTTTAATGGGCACAATTGGAAATTACATGACGCCGTTATTGCATGTAGAATTACAAATATGTTATTTTGTCAAACGACTGAAGGAATCACTAAGAATGTGATAAGCTAGGGGACGAGTTCAAGTATATGTGAACATTATTTGTTACCTTTCTCTTGTTTTCCTAAGTAGAAGAATAATATAAATATCTTAATCATGTTAATAATAACACAAGTAAAGAACTGCTCTTGGAATGCCTCACATTTTAAACATGGCTGTAGACATAGTTTTAAAATGTAGGTGTTTGTTTCGGGTTTGTTTCGGCTTAATCCATAACATCGCACCATTCATGGTGTCGTCCCATACTGGTCCAGTGCTTTTAGTTGTAAGGATTCCAGCAATATTGAGTTATAAATAATTTTTATGATTCAAATGCCCCCAAATCACACAATTATTGTTGCTATTCACTACATAACCAACCATTCAGAATGTTCAGGCTGATCGTACAGGTCACATGCATACACTCTGTGGAACATCTACTGTATAGCTCATTCACTGGAAAAAAGACAATAATAATTATGAACAAAAAAAGGGGCGGGATCGATCCAGGTAGGAAGATGGAGTATTAACGTCTGATTTGAATTGTACCACATATCAAAACTCGAGAAGCGTTGTCTTATAAGGCCCGCGGTCCAGTGACCGGTCGGTCTCGTGTATCCTCACGTAACTTTCAGAAGTTCTATGGGACCGACATAATCGCTCTGATCATGAACTGTCTTTCCCTTGCTCTGTAGCAGTACGGACTGACCTGCCCTTTTCCTGCGTTCCTCGCTGGATAGGCCTACAATGGATGTGTGCGATTCCTCTTCCTGCACACCCCAAGGGATCAGGCACGGATCGAGCAGTAGGTTTACTTTCTAACCTTTTTTCTAATGACTAATTCGCTATTGTCCATGTCCATGAGGCCAGTTTCTTCTAAAATCCGTTTAAAGTGGTCTTGCCTCAGAGTCAGAGTTGCCAATTCCGCGTTGGTATATAGATCTAGAAGGGCTTTTTCAATAATCTTCATCTGACACGGGCGAAAGCTGTAACATGCCTTTTGACATAATACTGTTTCTGTCTAGATTATTAAAAGCAGTGCATAAATATAGGTCGTTAAAGTAAACAGCCCCATATTTGCTGGTTAGACCAAAGTAGTCCTGCCTCTTTTCCCCTTGCTGGTGTAGAAGGACTGTGCGTGTGGCTCACCCTCGTGCCACAGGATAAGTTCCTGGAACCGTGCCTCAACGCAGGACGCTGTCAGTCTCGCCTCTGGGTCCTCGTCCCAGCAGTCCACCACTGTGTTCTTGATGATCGTGAGACCCTGAAAGCAAGCAAGCAAAGACAGTATTTAAAGATCATTATCCAAAAGAGTGAATTTATCAAAATAATGTAGAATATAATTTATGTGGTATATTTTGCGCCGTTGTCGTGCAGGCCAATCGGGGATCATAGAACCGCCATGAATGATACCTCAGTCAAATGCACCGCCAGACCGACCCCACGACCATAAACGGGCCATAAACTGACTCTGTGCCAATCGGGATGGTGTCGGCAGGGGTCGGTTTGCTGTCATCTTTCAGAAACTGTCGAGTTTTTATCTTTCAAACATGCTCTGAAAATTCTTCCCCGATTTTTTATCAGAAATCGGTCTGGTATACTAGTCGGACTATGTCCCTTGAGGGCGGAGAGCATCCAGAATGAGATCGGTTTGAATGCCAAGCTGATCTCTAGTTCCAGTCAGTCTGTTCGATCGAATCGGTGTGACTATGGTTTTAACCTTATCAATCCTCCGTTTAGAGAAGGATTTTGTTGTTGTTGTCATTCATTATTGTTTATCATTAACGATAATTGTCGATGTTGATAGGTATCATCATTTCGTCATTCCTTGATTAATACAATAAAAGAAAGAATAATTCCGTATGGTATTCTGGAAAGACTTCGAAAAGTCAAGTATAACTTGAGCCTACTAATTTTTATATTTTTATTTTTTTCCATGTGTTTCCCATTCCTGATGAGATCGATGATGCAGTTGTGCTAGGGATAGAATTCGAGTCATTATGAAGATTTTTGTTATTTTAAATCGTTAAAAAATTCATGGTTTGTACCAGCAGTAGATGTCATTTATCAAATATACATACTGGATTTCTGAGCCACTCGTCTGTAATGGGAGGCCTTTCTCTCCTCAGGACCACAAGTGTCTTCATCATCTCGAGACTAGCCCTCCTATCGCCCAGACTGCGGCTGAATGGAAGCTCGTATTCGTTTATGTCTGAATTTGGGTGAGAAAATGCAAAAAACAATGATCATGAAAATGGTTAGTTAAATTACTATAGAGTGTAATTTCGTCAATTAAGAGCATAATGTTTGGAAAATAGATCGAAGAGCCTATATTTAAATAGAGACATTTTAAATGTTAGGACCATAAGCGCCTCCATCCTCTCCACACTAGCCGTCCTCTCGCCCATTATGGACACCGGGTAGAAGGGCATATTTTCAAGAGAAACCTTGGTAAACGTGACGATCATTAAGTGTCTCCATTTCCAAAATGTCCAGACTAGCCATTCTCTCTTCGAGACTGCGGCTGAACTGAAGCTCGTATTTGTATGTCCAGGGTAAGAAAAGGCAAACAAATTAAAGAGCATGAAAGCATAAGGTTTTAGAGCATTTTTAGATTGATGAGCCTTTTTAAGCTTATCATATATTACTTCTGTTTGAGATCTGGTTGCAGTGCCTATTGTCAAGAGAGAATCTTGCGTACTTATAAGGCAAACATGTAATCTGATTACGGAGCAAACAGAGGGCATTTAGACCTCGCATTAAGTATGAACCGCAGAAATTAACAATAAGTGAATATAAACATATGAAAAATAAACTAAAAATTAATGATTGCTTCATTAATCGATCAGTTAATCAATGAAATCGTAAATGAAAGAGGTCGTTTAATTACTATATACTTGTCGAAATAGAATAGCGGTGCTATATTTGGTGTCGTACAATGGTGGCTAGAAACACGGTACCGAGGTACCACTAGCACATAGCCTCCTGCTGATAAAGGTTTGAGACTGAAAAAAAAAAGTGGTGAAAAAAAACACATTATTGTTCATAATTATTGGCGCATTGCAAACGATATCAATTAGTCGAGAAGATTTTGATCTTATAATCCCATCGCTGCCACCTGATTGGTTTCTCTTCTCACACGACTTGTTACAATTCGGCATTATAGGCACTACTATGAGCAAAGACTGTTTAGTGTGTGAGAAGTAAGTGGGTGGAAATATGTGTGTGTGCGTGTGTGTGTGCGTGGGGTGGCTCAAATTTTGCATACGCGCAAAAAGGTGGCTTCCGTACCTTTAAAGTCCATTGTAAAATTTAACAACATTATATATATTTTTTATATAAAAATTGTTTTTTCAATGCTCGTTTCCTTCGGAATATACTGTTATTTCCATGTTTTTCCTCAAATATCTTCAACTCCGACCTCATTTGGCTGGGCTGGCCTTGGATAAGTAGGTCTGATTTCTCCTACGTCACTTCCTTTACAGGCTTAGCAACGGGCACCGGAAGTGAAGAAGCAGTCTTCTTCCGGGTTATGCGATCATTATTCTTCAATGCATTTGTACTTTTAGACAAGATGGGAAAGGAAAACTATAAACAGGACAGGAGGGAAGGGAGCGAGGGAGGAAAGGGAGAGGAGAATAAGGAGGAAACGGACAAGGGAACGCCTTATTAATCACGTTGCTACAGCTTGACTCTTGATTTTGAGATGTACACCATGCTTAGGACTACAGCTCAGTGGGTGCGTTTTGTTCTTCGATTCTCTGTCTTGAATAGGTTATGAGGAATCATTCTCTGTTAGCGTTTATTTAAAAACAGTACTGTTCAGAACATAATGGGGCTGTTTCCCCCATTATGCCCGATGTTAATCCCTCTATATCAATCTGTGTTTTACTCATTTCTGCGCCTATGATGAGTGGCAAACGAAAAGCTCAGTTTGTCTTTAATGAGAGAGATCTCGTTATTTTTTAGTACTAATCATCTCGTTATCCATACTCTATGGAATTAAAATTTATCCCAAGCAAATTATCTCGCCATTCTGAACAATATGATCAAGCACTCACCCATCACCCTACTACTTATCGCTGCTAGTGAAGATGTGCTATCATACCGAAACAGGGCTGTGCTTAGAAATATTTTTTTTTTAACATGAACAAAAAACCCGTGCAATTTAAAACGCATTTTCAAACGCATTTAAACACACAGTGTTTAAAACGTACCAACTCTGATACGGAACATACTAAAAAATGAACAGTGCAGACACTGCTCTACATTACTTATATTGGCGCATGGATTACTCTATTCTCAATGCTCGATTAACGCTCGATTGAAATGACGCCTCGTGTGCAATGGACATGATATTTATCGTTCACACTACGCTGCGGCTAACCCATCATTGCACATCCTAGAACAAACCTGCAAAGCTTCATGAGGAAGAGAGAGCCCGAGGTTACATTGTTACTCATCGTCTCATATAATAACGTCTTGAGAGGCGCATCGTCTTCATCAAGAATAATGCTTAGCTCATAAGAGTTTGAGACAGAGGGCGGAAATTGGCGGAAACAAGCGCTGGGCTTTGGATGCATAAAAGAAAACACACGTCTGGCTCGCGATCGAGCTGGCTAGCCTCACGTCAATTATAGTATCATCCATATACTGTACATACATGTACATGTACATCAAAGACTGAGAAATATACCTAAGCGATACACAAAATAAGATCGGAACTTTCTTGGAGGGGGGGGGGCAACCGGTCTGTGCTCCTCCCCCAGAACAAAAAGGCACGTAAGAAAAAAAAATGATATACCGGTATATACGTGTGTATAAATAATTTGTCAGATTGTTATTTTAAGAAGAAGCTATTTTTGTCCTGCTTCCATTCCCCATCGCCCGTTAACTTATAGAAAAGGGAGGGAAGGGTGCAGTTGGGCATTCGGTAACATTTCCACTCCAAAAAAGAATTTGCTTAATATTGTCTAGCTAGACTATCAACATGTTGCAGGGGCAAGAAAGGTTTAATCTACTATATTCATGATCAACATTTATGAATTGATTTTGTAATGTTTTCAAGAAGGCTTGTACCTATAGATACCTCCAAATCAAGAGTTTTATTACCAGGGTTCCACGAACTTTCAAACTAACTGTTAGATCAGGAGACCTGAGGGAGAGATAATCACGGTTATGATTTATGAAAGCTCGACAGTTTAATGATTCCAAGTAAATTGAGACTTAAATATACTGTCTCATCAATATTATTCAGCAAGTTATTTGTGATTGTTCTAATAGGGAATTTCCCAACTGCGGCCATGAGAGATTTTCTTAATCGTTTTACTGGCTTTTTCCAATAAATGACCATGTAGAATTCAATGACTCATCTTCTACACTTTGAAAGACCCTCCTGCAAACAAGTATTCCCCGATGCTGTGAGGTTGTAACTCTTTTGCGAGGGGAAAAACATGTGCGCGGAATTTTTTGAGCATAAGGTATGGATGAAAGATACAAGAGTTGAGAAACATAATTATAAATCATGCATGAAGAGAGTCGACTTATGGATTTCGAACAAACGCGGAAGGAGGCGTCGAGGATATAGGTCCATGATGAGAGCAACCCGAATTTTGTTCAAGAGACAGTTGGTCCAGCTTTGAAGGCAGCAAATTGGGTTATAGGTAAGGTCTAGGTTTAGGATTGTTTGGGTTCGGAGGTTGAAGTTAGGAATTCGATTAGTGCGGGATATTGACGACGGAGAAATTGTCGCCGGAGTTGAGAGTATCGTAGAACCTGAGAGTCATGCTGGGGCTTTGATAGCGAACTTTCTTGTGAAAGAGCCACCCCTCCCCCCCCCCCCCCAAAAAAAAATAAAAATAAAGAGGAAGAAAAAGGAGGGAACGCGAGGACTTTTGAAATCTCTTAATCTATTATATTTTATGTAATTTTCTTGTCAGAATGTTTTGGTTTGAAAAGAACAGACACCCTGAATACCCTAATAGGGGGAATCGGTTCTGGGTGCCTGTATCCTAAGGTTCTTCCCCCAGCGACTTCCCAACTAAATATTCTACTGCAAAATTGAACAAGTGATTGAGTGCACATTAGGTAGGTGAAGATGGTTACGAAGATTAACAAACCTTTGAGTAAGGTACACCTTGAGGTGATCTCCCAGAGGATGAGGGCCAGGGCATAGGTGTCCATCTGCTTGAAAGATTCAATATCCTGCAGATTGACCTTGCATTCTAAGGCTTCAGGAGACATGTAGCGAGGGGTACCCACCTGCAGAGATAAAGAGAAAGGCAACAAGAGAGAGAACGATAATTATTGATAGTTAAAGACGGTGAAAATGTAAGAAAGGGACAGGGACATGGAACGAGAACAAAAAGCGAAAAAAAGATGAGAGACAGAGGGTTAGAGAAAGGGATGAAAGGAAAGAAAGACAGAGGGAAGCGAAGGAGAGAGAGAGAGAGAGAGAGAGATGAAGACAGGGTGAAGACAATGTACATAGAGAAAGGGGAAGGGGAAAAAGGAGAGAGAGAGAGAGAGAGAGAGAGAGAGCAAAATAGGGTGAAATAGAGAGCGAAAGGAAAAAGAGAGAAAGAGAAGGAGGAAATAAAATGGTGTATACTTTATAAAAGCATATTATGTTTCAGCCAGGGGCGTCGCTATTAAATGTGTTGACTTCCTGCTTCTCTTGTCGACCCCCCCCCCCCCCTCCCCATCCAGCCCTTTCAAAATAACGAATTCAATGCAACGGAAGATATGCTTTTTTATCATCTGTTTATAATTTTAGAGCTTGACTGAATAAACAACAATGTCTATTAAATGGTGTTTATGTTTCCATTCATTTCGACTAGACAATTAAATCATCGGCAGACGTATTTTACGGGAACAGGTCATTATCTTATTATAACCAATTCGTTTACTGAAAACTTATTTATTCATCCTTCTAGTCTCATTATGACAAGGCTGTGTACTTATATGTGTACTTATATTCTGTATTACACTTTTATCAAATGTTACATGAACGGTGATCAGTGAAAACAGTGTTGTTTAAAAGAATATTGTGACTTTTAGAATTTGTTCAGTTTGAAGAGAACCATGGATAATTGAGGTCATCATTTTGCACTTTTCAGAGCAAGATTATCGTGAATTTAGATGGATTGTAATGTATATTATAGAGACGAAACCAAGCACTGAAGATATACGGCTAATCAAAACAGTTTTCCATGATTACTCGTGTTGTCCAATTTGTTGAAAACTATAACCTGCTTTATTATTAAACGTATTAAATCTTATCTTATCTCTTTTGAAACAAAGGGGATAGACATCTTTGATCAATTACATTTGAGCACATTATATGGGTTGGTATATGTTTGTTTAATTGTGAATGTTTTGAAAAAGAGGGTGAGAGCAAGTTGAAAGAAAGTTTATTCTAATATTTTGTGTAAACTTAATCATCTCTATATATAGAAACAATGAAGGATATAAACAATGACTTTATCCGTTTCCATATCTTCTTCTCAGATAGGCCTATTTACAAACATGGTTGTCAGCCGTCAGCTTGTATAGCTTCATCTGAAATGTAGCAAATATAAAATCTTTCCATGATTAACAGGTGGTTTTAGATCCATTTAGGAAATGATGCAAGTCTAGAAGCATTCATGCGAAATTCATGGCAATAATTGTACACGAGGCGTCATTTACTGAGGTAGTACTGCGTCGGCGAATAGCGCGTGCCATGTGGACTATTATAATTGTCGAATCTCTTTGATGATAAAATACAAACATTGCATTGTTTTTCTCGTGTATAATGATGCCAATTAATTGGCTTCATAATTATGTTTGATTGGTGTACTTAAAAGGCAGTTAAAATGTATGTAAGTGGCGTGAGAGACCGCAGCTCATGTTGATTGAATAATCATGAGTCTTTAACCAGAGAGTAATCCAAATAAAATCAAATGAAATATGATGACATTAAACTTTAAAGTCATGTCTATTCGAGATAAGGAGGGATGTAATCAATCTATTACAAGACCCCCAATTCATCATGTTCATAGACACTGTGATGCACCTGTCAATGTTATTTTAAATTGACGAGTCTTTTTCATAACAGACAAGACAAACACATTAATGAAAACAAGTGCCTTAGACCTTGATCCTCTAACAAAAACAGTTTAACGCTTGCTGATTTAACGAGAGGCATCAGGGCTTTATATGGGCTAAAATGCTTTATCACCAGGGCCGAAGTTATTTCCTTTCCATTTATTGAAGTTGATTTAATCCAGGACTGTCACGTTATGTATCAGAGAGAAAGCAATGATAGAGAAAAACAGGGAGAGAGAGAGGGAGGGAGAGAGAGAGAGAGAGAGAGAGTTGTATTACACTGCGTAAATTCGTCAACGTTAATTTTAGCGAGTGGGCTTAAAACTCCTTGTACATGTATAATACATTTATTACTCGAAAAGATATTACCGCGGTCAACTTCAACAGTTGACAAAGCATTGTAATGAAATCTAACCCTAAACTATAAACGGGTGGGTTGAGCTAAAAATGTTTGAAAACTGCGAAAATCCACCATAAAATCGGTATGTTTTATTATAATAACTCATTAATGGGTGCCTGTATCAAAGTGAATGCCACCATACATACCAAGGAACCCCCCCCCCCCCCCTGCGTCATTATGCTGTTTTTGCAGATGATGTTCTAATTATTTTGATACGATTAATATTATACCATGATCACGACAAAGAAACTACGAAAGGTAACAGTGCCCTAGCCTTTAGCTTTGTTTAACTAACTTTGTCGAAACAAACTTTAATCTGTTCCACGATTTATTTCGACCAATGAAGCGAAACGTTTCCTATCATTGTGCTCGTTTTGTGTCAGGTTTGTATTTAAGCAACCACTTGTAAAACCTTTCCTAAAAACCTTCCCCCCCCCCCCCCCCGCTGCTTATAATACATCCTCTCTTCCGTTAACCGGCCTTTTTCTCTCTCTCTCTCTCTCTCTCTCTCTCTCTCTTCCTCTCCACATATTCGGGTTATTACATTTGTCAAATTTTCCCTCATTTGTCTATTATTCTTGTCAGTGTCCCATCCTTCTCAGTCACCGGGGTCCCTAATCATCGCAAGCTGAAGAGGAAAGCAATTAGTCACACCAGATAAACGGCGAGTCAAGAGGGCACAAATTGTCTAAATGTAGACCTGTTCTTATCGGGGGCGGCTCGAGAAAAATCCGATGGCGAAGGGATGGTGTCGGACTATTGGCCGAAAATTAAAAAAACAGAGAAAATAGATTATTGTTTGAGGATTTCAGACAGGGATTTGGGGGAAATGCATCCCGGTAGAAAACTGACGGGTAGCTATGAAAGATAAGGTCATAATGCTCCGCCCCCCTCCCTCGAGCGGTGCCCCTGGCTCACATATCATAATACTTCAATGTTTAAATTAAGAGCATAAGATATAGCTTCCTTTGCTTTCATTGGCAACCCTGTCTTTTTCTAGACAGCGGAGGTGGATAATTGTATAATTATGGCTACATTTAAGGTTATAGATTACTATCAGCAATAATAGTGTACTTGACCCAGTCCTTAAAATCATCCCCGACATCATTAAAATCATTCGATTGGTGCAGTTTTAGACAAACATAAACACCATTGAAACGAGTTAATATGAAATAATTCAAGCGGTGCAGACAGAGTCTCTAAGATAAACAACATAGACTCGTCATGAGAGAAAGTAGTACTTTGCAGGGTCGTAGCTAAAAGATTTAAATAGGGAAGTTTGGAACATAAATGACAGCAAGTGTGCGCAGAAATTTCCAACAAGAGTTCCAAAAGGACAAGGAAAATGTCATTAAGATTTTTTAAATTACGATAGAAGTTACAACATGACAAAATATGTAACTAGAAACAAAGAAAACACCTCATTTTTCATAAATTTACCAACAAGAACAAAATATGGTGTTCATCCATTAAAATGTACAACATTTATGAATACGCAGACACACTATTGACAGGGTGGTATATAGCTTTACTTCTTACCGATCCTTTTTGCTCTCTGCCTTGTGTTTCAGATGAAGAAGGGGATCGCAATGTGTGACATAATATTTTGATAGTTTGTGTGATATGCGATCACTGTTTATGACAACATGAACTTGGTAACCAGATTTAAACAATAATTGGAGAATCATGTTTCTCTGATGACATTGAGCCAAGTTTTGAAACTTGATGCTATTCTCGTACATAGTTTGATAGTGTGTTAAATAATAAGTATGACTGCTTGGTATTACCTGTATAATTTTGAAGGATTATGGTAATCATGAAGAACTACAGCCAAGTAGGCCTATCATGAATGTAAAACATTGAAATACTCATACAGTAGGCTTGCGGTTGCGCCTTGTGAGAGGGGGGATTGGGGAGTAGAAACGCACCTGGATCTACATCAAATTGGTTGGTATACATATCTCTACCCGACTATTTAGAAATGTCCTCTTTTAAAACATAAGACTGTAACATTATTTTACGAAAAGGTCAGCTATTAATTGCGAATGCATTCGAAAATGTTGCAGTTCTAAAATTGACGTTATAAATATGTAAACTATTTTCCTGTTTTATAATCTGTATGTAAATTGAGTAATTATTTAGGTCATTTATTTTCAGTTCTAAATACATAATAAAATCGGTATGCATTAACACATACATGAAGAAATATGAACTTATTTTAAACAGAGCTGGCCAGGGCTCCAAGATAAGGAGAGAGAGAGAGAGAGAGAGAGAGAGAGAAAGAGAAAGAGAGAGAGAGAGAGAGAGAGAGAGAGTGAGATAGAGAAGAGAGAGAGAGAGAGAGAGAGTAAAGCAGTGGATTCCTACAAAAAGGAAATCGAAAGTGTAAAGTGAAATTGTCTGGAAACGGAGGTATGATCAGGTGACACATAAGCATTCAAAATGTTTTGAAATTTATTTTGTGTATAGGTATAAAATCTAAAATGACAACCCATGGACTAATGAATTCCTCTAGAATTCCCAGTTCTCTCCCGCAATACCACGAAAAGTAGGTTGACCCATGTCGATGCAACATCTGTACATAGCATGGCAGTTCAAAACTTCATGTTTCTCGTGAAATATATACGTCACCAGCTATGTTTTGACCTTTGACCTAGGACATGACGGTGGTACGAAATACTTCTGGTTTTCTTCGGAGCAGGGGTTCGCACCACGGACGAATGAGATCATCTCGTATTCCGTCATTCTGTTTTCTTTTGATAAAATTTCATTTTAATTTTGACAAGTGGGAGGTTGGGTAAATGTTTTCAAAGACGAAATATTACACCGTTGTGTTAATAGTTTGAGTGCTTCCAACATGAGCTTGGTAATTGACATATTGGAACATTAATTTGGTGTGCTCTTCTTTAAAAAAAACACACCTAAGGAAGCAACTGTCATAGTAGACAAACTTTATATCTCTATCTTTAAAATAGACATAACTTTTGAACACACTTAGGTTCTTCTTACATTGTAAAACGTGAAAAATCGTTCATCTGAGTAAATGCCCAAGAAAGTATACTCTAATGTTTGTCTGTTTGAAATTCTGCTTTATTTCCCCCTTTGGGTATGACCACCTGTATGAATGGAAAGTATGCCATGAATAGTAGTTCTTTATTCGCTATCCACCCTTCAATTGACATTGTAACATCAACGCATTGATTTTCTACATGATAAAGTTTAATATTAAGATTAATAGCTTCTCCAGTGAGAAAATAAAAGCTGCAATCTTTAAGTTACATGATATTTACTGGAAGCTGTTTTCATTGAATGCCTGACCTCTGTGGACTTGACCTGATTTTAGATAGTCTCTACCCAACTTCAAAGATATTCTTACGAAGAAAAATGACAAGGTAGATCAAGAGGGAGAGAGAGAGTAAGAAAGAAAGCTAATTGTCTCATTTGTTTGTTTCTCAAAATGTCTGTATCATATTGGGCGTCACTGACACCGAAATGCCAATTTGAGTTACTCGTACATCCTTGATCGCGACAAGGGTTTTCTCCCCCATCTATCAGTCTATTGTTTTCGATAAACTCACGGTCAATCAAGTATGGCAGCTAGCCAGGTGAATAATAGGAAAGGCCAAAATGATGATCCTGTATACCGTGTCTTCAAATCCAACTTCACCTTCTCGATATGATTCTTTCTTTCATTAATGGACTTTCGAAGGCTGAAAAATCGCATCTATTACATTTTTTATTAACCACATCTTCGAAATTTCCCTTTACACCAAAGACTGTAAACATTATAGAAAACCTAGGATAAAGATACTCCAAGGAGCTGTTGTAAAGTCATCTGTTGGTGGCTGCTGCATCCAAAACATACGTAAAATAAAATGAAACGAAAGGTGCATTGATACGTAATGAGACTTTGTGAACAATATGTAAACAATAGAACCTACCTGCCCACTGTTTGCCAGGTGATCCGTTGAAGATTGAGGATCTAATCGGATGGCCAATCCGAAGTCAGCAATGGCGCATGAGCCATCGTCCTTCACCAGTATGTTGGTACTCTTCAGATCTCTGTGCGCAACAGGTACCTTGTGTAACCCATGCGATCCATACGTCTCAGCATGAAGATGTGCCAATCCTCTGGCCGCCGAACCACAAAGCTTACAGAGGTCGATCCAATTCACAGAACGCTGGCGCAGATAGTCGTGCAGAGAACCATTCTTGTAATACTTGGTGATAAGCCAGTATTGACGAGTTGGGCTTGTCACGCTGACACGACGAACTTCGGCCGAGATGAACTGGACAATGTGCTCGTGTCGCATCATGACTGAGTGATCCGTGAAGAGCTCTTTCTCGACGTTCCACGATGCTGAGTCGTATTCTAAGAAGACCTTGACGGCGACGGTACGCTCTTTGGTACCATTGTTAATCTTCCAGTGTGCCCGCCACACGGCGCCGAAGCGTCCTTTTCCAATGAGCTCGTCCAGTGTAATAGGAAGGTAGTTACCATTGAGATGGAGCGGGCTGTCAGGAGGACTGTACTCCCCGAGTCGTTTCGTCTCGCTCTCATCCGTGGTCATGTCAATGCTCGTGCTCTCCGTGTTGCTCGTCTGTGTCTGGGTGTTTAGTTCGTCATTCATGGGTTGTCGGTATCGAGTGAAGTGGATGTACCCGGCGACGGCGATCACAATCGTGAGGAGGACTGCCGGCACTACGGAACAGACGACGATGACCAGAATCTCCCGATCCAACATCTGTCCCTTCCTACCTTCTTCTGTTTTATTTGGATCTAATGGAGGAAAGAAAAAACAAATTATTATACGATAACGTCATTTGGACACCTGCATATCTTCGAATATACAACTGATTTACATCACTCGAGCAAATAAAAGTACATACATGTACAAGTTTATTAATTAAAACTATTATACAATAACTTTACAAGGTTTCTCACACTTCACTCTTGTTATTTCATGAGCGCTGTAGCAGTGTCGAGATATCATCACTCAATACCTCAAGATCCCTAGGTGTTAAGATAGGTAAATAACGATGATATTACTGAGAGTCAGAAATTATTTAACTGTAATATTAGGATATGAGTTAATGCTTTTACATTTCTGGCTCTCAGTAGACGATGTCAAAGAAAGGTTTCATAAAACAATCTTAATTCCTTGTAAGCCTTTTAAGAATGTTAGTGTTATTTTATGTGCATTGGGCGAGGGTTAGAAACATAAAACAGTCGGGACATTAAAAGCATGCACAACTTTGGATATTCAAAGACAAACACACAATACAATAACAAAGTAATGGATATACATGTACAATTGCAGAAGACAAATTACATGAATTATTAGTTGCCAACTGATGCATTTGATGATTGTTTGCTTTCATTGACCACACTCCGCTACGTTTGCTACGCACTAGGCTTTATCTCCCTGACGCAGGACTGCGTTATTGACGCTCCATGCACGTGATAGAGATATTGTACAAAAATTGAATGCAGAATAAATAGTAAAATTGCTTTGAATTAATGATGTGTTCACTACTATCCTTCACAGGCTTGATCAGTAAAGGTACGTGTAATAGCGCAATCGATATGACGCGTCTCGTCATCTCATCATTATTTTGACGAGACGTTATTTTGATTGCGTTAGAGCATGCTCTAAATTGGCCTACACGTCACTACTAAACGCACTTTGTGCCCGATGTGTGACTCACACGGCGCATCAGTCAAAGACCGTACCAGCCATTGTGCGACTGACAGAAGAAGGAACTGCCAGCTCCCTGCACTAACCTGTGTTTTCAATTGGCGGACCTTTGGTTTTGGTGGGGGTTGCGTCAGGTTCACTCGAAGGTGGGACTGTAGGTTCTTCGGGTATAGTGGCCTCTGCCGTGTAGAGTACCTTGTTGCATCCGTCACTGGCGCAAGAGCACGAGTAGGATCCCTCCGCAGCGTAACTGTAGTCATCAGGATGCGCCTTTTATGAATGGGGGGGGGGGGAGTAGAAAATACAGTTATAAAGCTATCAACACGTGATCACCTATGCTGATGGTGGCTCCCACGGCAGAATGTATTGTATCAAGTACAGAAATATCGGAGCAAGAAATAGCCACACGGAGAATACACCTTTTTCTCAAAAGTAAAGAGTCTTATATAAAATACGAACAATTCTTCCTTTACACTACTGTATATGAGATACCATACAAGTGCAAAGACCTCTTAAAGACAAAGTGTGATTTTATTTTTTACATGACACAAGCATGACACAAGGAAACCAAATTGTGGTTTAGAAAATTACGTCCACTATATCCATGTTACCAACTGAACATAGCCAAGGACTAACTTATCCACACAATATTTCAATACCTGACAATGTTTCTTTCCGCCTATCTCAGGGTTTGTTTCGTTGATGCAGGCGAACATGCCATTGATGTTCTGGCTCGACGGATCGGAGCCATTGGTCATAGATGATGACGTCATATCAGGGAATGTAGCGATCAGACAATACCCGACACACGGCACCGACGTCGTGCAGCTAATCGGAACGCAGGATTCGGCGTCGCACTCGACTGGGACTTCGCTGCAGTCGAGACACTCGAAGGCCGAAGCAACCCCAAGGGATACCGTAACCACGAACGGAACTGTAACAAGAAACGAAACGAACATAATAATGTTACTTTATGTATATAATATACCGAACACCCTCCTGTAGTATGTGTAGTGTTACCAGTCCTCTGTTAATTGTCAATTGGATGATGTCTTACCACTATTCTCATCGGCTTCGACATCATACGCCATATATAAAGTGCATGGTATTTTCTTTTCTTTTCTATGAAATATTATTAAATTCCTTTCGTACAAATCGGTACATATATTCATCAGTATCATCACTGTTCGAAATTTGCATCGTTGGCGTGAGTCCTGGAGATGAAATTTCAAGCCCGAAATATATGCTTTAAAATGAAAATACATTTATGATAAAATATGTGTTCTGAAAAATGACGATTTTTGTATGTTTTGTTAAATAATGATCTGTTAGCAAAGTTGTAGTAATTACAAATACGCGATCGTGGTGATAGCAATACAGTTTTTGTTAGTACAAGTTTGAGAGCAGAACAGCTAAAGAAGTAATATCCAATTTTTCAGGGATGATAGCATTAATCGAGAAAGGATTGCCAAAAACCCGACGTCTCGAAAGAAACTTAAAAAATATCAACTCCAAGAAAGAAAATAGAAACTGCTTAAATTAATGGCAAAGCAGCAATGTGCTTCCCATTTCTTAAATTTTGTTGAAACTTTACAATTCTATACAGAGACAGAGTTAAATGGACCGAATCATGGACGGAAGACGAGGTATATACTATAGGTCACGGGAAGAGAGAGAGAGAGAGAGAGAGAGAGAGAGAGAGAAGAGAGAAAGTTTGGGCTTGAGAAAGCGACGAAAAACGCGGTGATGACAGCCAATTGCAGCCCAACCATGTGATTACCATTTGGGAGTTACATCTAGAACAACAGTCAACATGTCTGGATATCGCCTCGTCTCGTCGAGTTTGTAGTTTTTCTTCTCTTTCTCTGTTTAGGGAATATTCACCCAAAGAATGTTTTCTTAAAGGGGACAGATTTGCCTTTCTTTTCGGCCTCAACAATGTCGATCTTTAATACTGATTTTCTCGGTGAACTTACCACGGCGGCAACCCTTTCGTCTGCGAAGTATATTTTCGAATTATAATTTTGTCTATATTGTATCAATATCTTGGGATTCCAAAAATTGTTTTGCTAAATGAAGTTACGCCTTAAAACGATGAAAACACATTGTAAGATTTAAACACCGTAAGATACCACCCCGTTTCGCAATTATTGCCAAACAACTGCAAATAAGGCATTTTTAATAACTTTATAGCAACATGTAATAGACTCTGATATATCATTTGATTTTATTTTATCTATTTTATTATCATGATCTTTCTCAAGTCACTGAGAAACAATGTGCTTGTGTTAAGCCCCAATGTGTTTCCCTAACTCCTACTTGTTTGTTGGATATGTAAAGACAGTTTACCATAAAATTGTATTGATTGAAAATAAGTGTATGATGATTGTTTAAAGTAACCACAAAACAATAAACATGCAAAATCATTCGTTCACTGGTTAGAGAGAAATTAATTGTGCTCTCACAACCTTATCTTATATAGTAATAAAAGTGCCCTCTGAAATACATATGTTAAATAACCCCTCCCTCTCCATTCCCTTATTTGCCCTCCCCCTCCCTCTTTCTCTCTCTCTCTCTCTCTCTCTGGCTCTCGCAAATATAACTGCCTTAAAACAAATGCCAAGGGACTCCTAGTCTACAGCCCTGGATGGGCTCATTCTTTCACCCCTATATGGAAGCTTCGTTCCCCCTTGATCAATGACGTCATCATATACTACCGGTCATCCATCAGCAGTAGACAACCCCCGACTAAAAAGTGAGTAATACATCCCTCACAAGTCTGCCACAACTTTTTCGTGTGTGGTAAAAGTTCTCCGTGTCCCGATTTCACTTAATATCTCCATTCCAATCGAAATGCAAATTCACTGGTCTACAGGCAGATCAAAAGTATGGAACAACGTAAACAAAATATTTTGTAAGTGCGTGTCGTTAATAGAAGTTCAAATTTCTCGATGGGGGGGGGGGGGGTTCCCTTGTGCCTCGTACACTTATGTCCACCTTATTATGATAGCTTTGCACTTCATAATGCGAGAACACCCTCAGTCCTCCACTTCATGAGACAAAAGTTCCTCACAAAAAGGGGATTGTGATATTCCAGGAAGCTATTCATTTGAGAATTATATGTTCAAGATGTTAGGGTTAGGAGAAGTTGAAGCTCGGCATTATCCTAGATTACTGTCGAACACATATTCAACCTTTCATGGATTATGCCAAAACGGAAGGTAAAAAGGTTTTTCCGGTGACGATAAGTGTCATCAGAACTTTTAGGAGTTTAGGCAGTGCCGTATCCATAATTCTCTTGCAGGTTGGACACAATAATCTTTATGAGAAAAATGTTATGAAATCTTTGATAATAGACCAGTTTACTAACATCTTCAAACTGTTTCTTTCCAGGGGACCTAGTGATGAGTTATTCCTTTAACCTTATATTAATGAATGAATTACAATACTTGAAATCTTGTCTGCATACATTACTTGTTGCTATTTCGGGTAAGCCTCGGGCAAGGTTTTTTTTCAGGCTGTCAAGAAAAATCTTTGTTTAAAAGTATGCAAAAATGTGTTACTTGTTCTGCCGGTGACATGCCACGTCCGACCCCCACCCCCATCCACTGCTGATATGGATGAATCGGGCAAAATGTGTCAGGAACATATTATAAGCTCACTCTAAAATGGCTACTCTAAAGTACAGCAGCGCCTTACATACTATAATGACATATGAGTTATTCAAAATTTAGATCTGACGTGTTGTGATTGAAAATGAGTAGTTATTTTGTTTTCATCGTATTTTGGTTTCTCTCTGCTTTGGGTGACTCATGACTACGTATATAGCAATCTCTGCTCTAACCCCCCCCCCCCCCCCCCCGTGTTAACATGATTATTCAACATTCAGAAATCGTTCAGGGATAAATAAACAACAAAAGTGATCTCGTGATTTCTACATCACTTGGCCTATATTCTTTTCTTCACTACTTTACACAAATCTGGAATAAGCTGCATATAGTTCAGTGCCACGCAAACAAAGTGCTGCCAACTTGTTGCACTTCAAGTTCGTGTTCTAGATCAGACCCATATGGATATAGAAGCAAACGTGCATGAAAACAATCGAAATTACGAATTTTAACCAATGCAGAGCTTAACGGAAGTCCGTTTACCCTCATCAAAATAAAAACCGCTTTTAGAAATGTGTTTCGAATTATTTTGATTTCACGATTAGTCCATTAGTCTATACATTTATCAGCTGAAATTGATGCTAAACTGGTTAGAACAGGTTTTTATCTGCAATTAAAATGTGTATTACCCGGCCGGATTATTTCATTATTATATGGCAAGAGGGTCTACGAAAACTCAGGCCCCCATAATTGCATTTATGATGCATGCTTTGATGTTTTATTCGGGAATCTTTTAAATCTGAATACATTGAAGTGTGCTAAATTTTTTTTTTTTTTTATTGTAACAAATTGATTTGAAAAAGAAAACAAATATAAAAAAAGAACCCCCTTTATTAAAATTACTGATACAAAAAGCTTGTGTACTTCACTTAAATTTATTCTGGCATCCACACAAATCACAGATTTTGGCACTTTTGCAATTTTTTGGTATAGAACTTAAGACTCAAAATTCGTGCAGTCATGATGATATGTGCACCATCCAATATTCCCAGGTTCCAGGACATTTTTTTTCTTCAAGTAGGCCTATGTGATACATTTTGTGATCGCGGTCGGGATAAACCCCAGGTTTAAAAAAAATTGGGGTTGTTAGACGGGCAATAGTTATGAAATGCGACAGAGACTAGAGAGAGAGAGAGAGAGAGAGAGAGAGAGAGAGAAAAGGAGAGAGAGAGAGAGAGAGAGAGAAAAAAAGGGGGAGAGAGAGAGAGAGAACAGAGAGAACAGAGTCGGGGAAGGGAGATGGGGGTGGCAGAGAGAAAAAAAAAGGCGAATCGATAGGATATGCGGGTAGAGATACCAAAGGGATAAAAGCTAGATCAATCTGATGCACAATTATCATGAGTCATTCTCTGAAATGTCAAAAATGATTTTTACTCCCTCTGTGTCGATCCTCTGCTCATCCGCCACCTGTTTGTAAATGAAAGACAATGTTTGTCAAACTGTGGATTAGAACCGCATGATTGGGTGCTTCCACTTGTTGGACCCTCATTAATAAGGCTAATTATGAACCGGGGCGGCAATGATGAGGGCCAGTCAAACAAAAGGTATAGGGGTTTAGCACTCATCACATCCAAACGCCACAGGCTGATATAAGGCATGCCCTTATCAGCGCCATGTCATGTATTTTCTACAATAAGGTAATTTTGAAGTATTGAGGGAGGGGGATTTTAGATCAATGTAGTTAAAAGGTTTGTCAACCAAATATCTAACACCTTACCCCACCCCCCCCCCCCCCAAAAAAAAAATATATATATATATATATATATATATATATAAAAATATTTTTTTAAAATCGTTGAATAAAAGAAGGGGGAGAGAGAGAGAGAGGGAGAGAGAAATCATATTATTTAAAATAATTTTGCGATCATCAAAAGATTTGCCACCAGTGGTCGCAAAATGGAATCCTAATCATTGGAATTAACTTTTTTTTCGTCAGCCGGTCAAGAGAAACAAAAAACTAAAGTTGCCATGCACAGTAATCATAGATTTCCTCAAAATAGAGGGCATCACATAATACCCCTCTACGATGCATTCAACAAAAACTAATCCCTTAGTAAGTTCACAGACATTGATGAAAATGCCTGTCGCAAAAAAAAAGACTGCTGACGTGACTCTAGCCATGTGCTTTCATTGCAGGCTAAACCAATCTTTTACAAGGAAACGGTGTTGGAGGAGATTGTTTCAGAAAAAGTTGCCCCTGCAATTTACTCCAAGCAGTATGATTCCATAGCCAATATAATTCAGTATTTGCATTCTCCCCATGAGATTGATGATAATCTGTGCAATTTCCTTTACAGTTATCTCGAGTATAACCTCCGAATCTGATTGCAATTTTTATATTTAGATATGTAGATTATCGACAATGTTCATTCCTTCCGTGTAAGGTTGCTATCAGATATTCTGCCTCT